AAGATTAGAAAACTTAGAAATGATAAATGCTGAAAGATTTAGATGTAGAATCTACTTTATAAATCTTATAAAATTCACATTCTAAATATAAATTGAGAGAAAATGCTTGGTTATGATAAGAATAATACCAAAAAAACAGTATACAAAGATTTAAGATATTATTGCATTCATGCAACTAATAATTATTATTGTAATTTTTAAATGTGCTAAATTAATTTCCATTTTAGTAATGCTTCAAGATTGTTAAAAAAGAAAAAAACCATAATATTAGATGTATCTAAATTTTAAATAATATTCTTTTACTGCAATGGGGTTTTAAAAAAAGGATATCTTGTATTTTTAACCTAAATTTCTTTAAAACTATAATCTGAACAATAGTTGTTTTTGATATCCCAAAGACGGATAGACTTATCACACTACCAGAAGCTAATGTATTTCCATCAGGAGAGAAACAGACTGAGTAGACATAACTAGTATGACCATCTAATTTGGCTTTTTATAATCCTGTTTTGACATCCCATAGACGGATTTCTTAATAACTACCAGAAGCTAATGTATTTCCATCAGGAGAGAAACAAACTGAGTTGACATCATTACTATGACCATCTAATTAGGCTTTTTATTATCCTGTTTTGACATCCCACAGACGGATAGAGTTAAATTCATTCACTGATTCTGCCAAATAAATTTCCAAACTTATAAATAATAATTTTTTCAATCACTAAAATTTAGAAAGATTCATATAAATAAATTAATTGATATATTGATAAATTACAAAATCTATACTAAATCCACCACAACTCTTTTCTTTCAGGCATAACCTTTAGTTCTGTTATTCAATTCAAGCACATTTATCATTAAATTCTTGCCTAATAAATACGATTAATTCCATATTTTCCCTTACTTGTAAATCCATAATAATATGGTCATCAACATGACCAAAAATCCTTTTCTAGAAGAATTTTATGAATTTCTTCTAAGCTTACTAATATATATATATCAAGGTAAACTTAAATTGGTAGACATTCATTTTTGTAATTTGATTTAGGTAAAAATCAAAAATTCATAAAATATTGATTACTCTTTAACTTCAGCAAGTATAATTACAGCACATTAATTTCTTCTTCAATTATCATTTTTAGAGCTGAGGTTCTGTAGTCAAACGATTATCACAATTCATTCTAGACTTGATTAGAAGACAAATGTATCTTAAAATTTTCTTTATTGGCATTCTATAAAGTTTTGGTAAAAATAAGAATCTCATTTTCTTTAAAATTTTTAAACAATGCTGCAATCTAACCTTAATATGATATAATTTAGTTAAGTGCTTATCAGGTAAAATCCTATTTAATTTAGACAGTTATAGAATAAAAATGTGATTTGACTTCTCAATATTGGCTTTAAAAATTTAATTCTTCTACCCAATCCAAAAATTGTTCTAATACCCATTAACTTATTTTCTAAAGGCAATAAATACATCATAGCATAAAAAATTTTCATTTTTTTAAATATTTAAAAAAGAATTATTTGTAATTTCATTATCTGAGCTAATAGTTTCAAAATTATCAGAACTCTAAGTTCGATGGAACCAAATATTTTGTATAAAGGACAATGTTAGAATTAATTGTTATTGTTTTTTTCTATTTTTCTGCTCAAACTACTTGTAATTTATACATTATTTATATATATATAATTGCCTCTTCGAATAATTTATTCTAAAATTGTTGGAGTACCACAAAATAGCGACATGGACATGGTTATGTATTTCACTATAAAATAGTACAGGTACAAATAGGAATATTACTTCATTCTACAATTTCCCATTACAGTAGATAAAATTAAACCTGAGTTGCCTAAAACTGTAACAAAGTTTATTCATTAATTACTTCATTCCAAATTCCAAGTGAACTATCTCCTTTAAACCATGGTCTCTGAATTTGAGGTAACAACCTATACATTTAAATCTGAAATTAAATTATAATCCAAAACCAAAATAATGCTAAATGGAAACAAATATCCAAACTAATTAATAATTGTCAGCTACAATCATCTATAATTCCATATTTTTCTTAACTGTGTTAAAAAGGGATTTTTTATTCCTGCTCTTCGATGAATTCGATTAAACTTAGGGTTGAAGACTGTGTTTTGTTAATTTTATAATTTTTTTATTCTCAAAGATATATTTAAACGAACTTAATCACTAAATGCAAAATATATAAATAATTGTCTTTCTAAACAAAGTCCAAGGATCCTGGATTGATAACTTCAAGACTTAAAAATTTATTGCCAGCCTAATCTAATTCAGTTTCCAAAAAAAGATTAAAAAAATAAAGGCCATTAATAATTCCTCTGTCTGAACCAATCAAAAATACTAAAACAGATGCTCAAATAACAATCCTTTGAATCATCTAAGAATGAACCATCCCTTAAGAGTTTAATTAATCACTTCCTATTTATCTCATATGCTTACCTTTAAAAACTGTTCTGATAAAGCTTTCTTTTACATTTTTATTTATACATATTAGTAGTGCCATTTCATTGTCTCCTTGTTATTTAAATAGAACTCTTAATTATATAACTAGATAATTTACCTCTGCACATATAAGCATCAGCATCATTTGGATTCAATTTAATGATCGCGCTGAAGTCTTGCAGTGCTTTTTATTTTCTCCTTGTATTAAAAATAGAATTCCTAATTATTACACTACATGATATACCTCGCTTTATATACTCATCAGCATAATTTAGATTTAATGTAATAGCCTTCCTATAGTTTTGTAGTGCATTTTCAAAGTCTCCTTGTTGATCAAATAGAATTCCTAGTTCTTAGACACATGATATACCTCGATTGTAGTACAAAGTAGCATCGCAGGCATAATTTATTAATCAATTATCNAAAATAGTACAGGTACAAATAGGAATATTACTTCATTCTACAATTTCCCATTACAGTAGATAAAATTAAACCTGAGTTGCCTAAAACTGTAACAAAGTTTATTCATTAATTACTTCATTCCAAATTCCAAGTGAACTATCTCCTTTAAACCATGGTCTCTGAATTTGAGGTAACAACCTATACATTTAAATCTGAAATTAAATTATAATCCAAAACCAAAATAATGCTAAATGGAAACAAATATCCAAACTAATTAATAATTGTCAGCTACAATCATCTATAATTCCATATTTTTCTTAACTGTGTTAAAAAGGGATTTTTTATTCCTGCTCTTCGATGAATTCGATTAAACTTAGGGTTGAAGACTGTGTTTTGTTAATTTTATAATTTTTTTATTCTCAAAGATATATTTAAACGAACTTAATCACTAAATGCAAAATATATAAATAATTGTCTTTCTAAACAAAGTCCAAGGATCCTGGATTGATAACTTCAAGACTTAAAAATTTATTGCCAGCCTAATCTAATTCAGTTTCCAAAAAAAGATTAAAAAAATAAAGGCCATTAATAATTCCTCTGTCTGAACCAATCAAAAATACTAAAACAGATGCTCAAATAACAATCCTTTGAATCATCTAAGAATGAACCATCCCTTAAGAGTTTAATTAATCACTTCCTATTTATCTCATATGCTTACCTTTAAAAACTGTTCTGATAAAGCTTTCTTTTACATTTTTATTTATACATATTAGTAGTGCCATTTCATTGTCTCCTTGTTATTTAAATAGAACTCTTAATTATATAACTAGATAATTTACCTCTGCACATATAAGCATCAGCATCATTTGGATTCAATTTAATGATCGCGCTGAAGTCTTGCAGTGCTTTTTATTTTCTCCTTGTATTAAAAATAGAATTCCTAATTATTACACTACATGATATACCTCGCTTTATATACTCATCAGCATAATTTAGATTTAATGTAATAGCCTTCCTATAGTTTTGTAGTGCATTTTCAAAGTCTCCTTGTTGATCAAATAGAATTCCTAGTTCTTAGACACATGATATACCTCGATTGTAGTACAAAGTAGCATCGCAGGCATAATTTATTAATCAATTATCTATTATTAATTTTTTTTTTTTATCAAAATTTTCACCCCCTTTCCGACATAGTAAATGTTATTATTTATTTATTTATTATTTAAAACTTAATATTAATATACTTGAATTTTAAGTTTTGTAGATTAATTTTACATTATACTCTAATCCTAAACAAAAATGTTGATTTATTTTCAATTATTTATAGCATAGCACTTACTTATCTAAAGATTTGAATAATTTCTTTGAATATTTTTTGTGTATATTTATCACAAGATAATCAATTTTAACAAATAAGACTAAATTTCTTTTTTTTTGTTATTCTCGAATAACATTATCAATACTGGTTATGCGTATATAAAATAAGGAGATCTAAATTGTACCAATAATAATAACTATTAAAAATATTTAACCATTATATCATAAATAGTATTTTTTCAATTATTTTCAAGTTATCAATTAGAAAATTCAAAGGAGCATACTTACTAATTAATTCATCATAAAATAATAAAGAAGAAGTTTGGCTATTTGAAAAAATAAAATAGAGAAAGCTAATTAATCTATTCTCAAATTGAAATCAAATAATTTGAAAAGTCATTCAAAATAAGAAATAATATTTATATAGAAGCTGTTTACTATTTAGATAAACTGAAAATATTAAATCTATAATTATAAGAAATAATCGAAGTATCTACCAGTATAATCAAACCATTTTCATAAAATACATAAAAAAATCAAATCAATAGTCTAAATTTTAAAATGAGAGGCAGAATTTTAATTAGCAGTAATAATTATAACTATTTAGATCTTTAGCAGGGTTGTATGCAATTTAGAATTGAAACAAAGTAGGGTAAAATATTCGTAAGAATTTCTTTCAAAAGGCTTATGGATAGTTAGACAATAATTCTAAAGATCCAAATGATGAAATGCTATATTTAAAGGAGTATGAAAAAAAAGTAATAGAAAATAATTATAAAAATATTGATTAAGAAAACGATTCAAATGCAATAATCATAGCCAAAATGAAGAGCCAACTATTTAAACTTATCACTAATATTAATATGTTACAAAAATATCCAATATCAAATTTTTTATTACTATTATTAATAATGATTAATCATTCTTACATTCAATAGCCCACTATCCATATGAATGATATTGCAGTTTAAAAAGATGATGAGTTAATTTAGAATTCTTTGAAAAACCTACCCAGATTCAAAAAGATGGAAATTGTAGGAGAAATTTTTGCTCTTTTAGTACTAATTTTATGTTGGGCTTTTTTTCATTAATCTGTAAATCCATTTTAATTATTCAGTTTGTATATTTGAATGAAAAAGTTCCAACTGAATTTGATTATAATGGAAATGCTGTTAGGTATGCAGATAAAAACATTCTTTTTGCACTACCAGCAGTAATGACGATATCATATATTATCTTTACTATTTTATAATTTGTTCCACATAGATTTAATTATGATTGTGGTATAGATTTTACAGTATTCAAGTTGGTTTAACTGTGTTTAATGCATAAGAAATATATAGAACAACAAGAATTACACTTTTAAGTTGTAAATTAATCACAGAATTTTTATTTACTTATATAACTTTTACTATGCTACAAGTTGTTTAATACGAGTGTGAGCCTTAAAGAATGTATTATGCTTTTGTGTTCATTCTTCCCTATTTAATTATAGGGGTGTTTTATTATCGAAAATTAAAAAACATTAGCACTTAGCCATAATAATTATGATATATAAATTATTAACAGAGGAGTAATCAATGCATTTCTATTTCTTTGTTTAGTTTCTCTGGTTCATCATCGAGTTTCCATTCTGTTATTATGACAACTATTAGTAACAATCCTCCAACCACAGCTAAAATACCGCAATAAAGAAATAGATAATCTTTGACGTACGGAACAATTATTTGATTCAAAGCTCCAAACAGAGTGCCATATCCCATTATTAATGAAGTTACAGTTGAGGTTGCATGCTTATATTCTGAAAGATATTTATTATTATATTTACTTTTTAACGCTTTATTGTTACTGAGTTCTACAGCGATGGCAGCAGCAACATTATTGTAGCATCCTCCAATAAAAAAACCCACACCAAAATTAAGAGCCATATATCCTCCATATGGATTATCATAATCTTTTAGGAAATTTATTGCCACCATTAAGATGGTTCCTAGCCACAATAATGGGACAATAATTGTTGCCCTTTTTTAATATCTAACTCCTAAATAACTAAAAAATAAGTTTTCTTATTATACCAAACTATTACTCCCCCAAATCCAGCTCCTAAATCAAGCATTATATTGATTAAAGCTACATATGTCACATGAAGATAGTCTAAATAAGCTGGAAGCCACAATCCAACAATCATTGAAATTGCTTTAATACATCCAAAAGCCAAAGCATATATTGCCACTCCTGGTAAAAGCCAAGCTTTCCAAATTTTCAATTTCTTCACTCCTACAACTTCTTTGCTCACTTAAGGTTCTTATGAAGTATCAGATATGATATGCTCAGATATAATAGGAGGTCTTGGTTTGATGAAAATATGAAACAAAATAGTCATGAAAAATAGCAATCCTCCACTTATATAAATTGGGGTTAAAATGCTGAGATCACATATCTCAATGGTAATACCAGAATTAGCAAAACCTGCTATGTTTCCTACATTGATACAAGAAGCAAAAACACCAAGAATAATACCTTTTTATTCTTTTGGCATCCATGCATTCATTATTGCTTGAAAATATTATAATAAAAATGTACATAGTAAGCCTGGCCATGCAGTTGAAGAAAACATTCCTGCTAAGAGCAGTAATACTAAATATAGTTCCTTTGGGGCTGTTGTAAATTCAAAAATTAAGGCAAGGATAATAAATAATGCGCTTAATGGATAAGTGCCAATGATAACAAATAATTTTGGGTTAATCTTATCACCTAATTAACCAAGCCTCATAATAAAATTATATACAAAAAGTATGAAACTCCCATTGACAATAAAAATGTAAAATTGACATACCCCAAAAATTGAGGAGTAAATCCTTCAAGCTTATTTTGCTCAATTATCAATCCTGATGCATAACTCCAAGTTGATCGACAGCAATGTACCATAATATAGAGAGTATAGCAAAGTGCAAATTGCTTTATTCTTTCATTTTTCATGCCAGGAATTTCATTTATCATTTTATTAACTAAATTACCGGATATTAATAATATAAAATAACATTTACTATGATCCACCTTTTGAAAGAACTAAATATTTTTTATTCAGTCAAGCTGAAAAGATAAAATATTCATTTAATTATATAAATTGAACAAATAAATTATAAATTGCTTCATTTCTTTTAAATTTATAAAATCAAAATTCATTTCAACCATTCTATACATTTGCAACATATACCCAAGAGTTTACAAAAACTATCGCATATAGGATCCAAAAATTAGCAAATCTATTCACAGGAGTTCTATAAACAGTCACAACAAAAAGTACAAATCTGAGTAACACAGTCACTCAAATTATTTAAGATGAATTCACAACATACTAAAAGGATTCCACAAAAACTCGAACACATTGAGAAACAGAAATGGCTACAAGAATCCCAGGATGCCAAAATGTATTAACTCACAGCTGAACAATTTATGCAACAACAAATTTATGTGCAAATAATATTTGAGTTCTTTTTTAAACTATTGTAACATCTAACTTAATAAATTTATTTTTGTTTTACCACAATTAAAGCTTAAAAGACTGCAACCTGTTTAACATGATTCATTACAACTTGGACACCAATATTGGCAGCAAGTTTCTAAGCATCCATCCCAAATACAAACCAAAAATTTTTTGAGCAAAAATAAAGGGAGCGTTAAACAATATACAGTTAAATCACATATCCATTAACAACAGCTATCAGATCGATTTAGAATACCAAGGCAGCAATAAGCAGACAGATTAGAGCCTAGATTGATAATGGCATTTTGTGGAGCTTCATTTTAATTAATTGGTACAATCACAACATTATTTTATTATTCCTTATCACTATTTTCATCAGCTTTTTTTTATAACTTTTTCTTTTATTTATTTTATTTTTTTTCTTCTTTCCTTGTTTGATCCTATTTATTCTCATATTGATCAGTTGGCTAGATTGGAGTATTAATTTATTAAGTAGGTATCATAGCGATATTATATTAATTAGGAACAGGTGAATAATGTATTTATAGTTATTAAATCTAGTTTTGGTATTATGGTTCTTACAATATTGGAATATTTCTATCATTTAAATCTGTATTATTTTAACATTGGAAAGCAGATATATTTTTTACAATAATTTATTCTCCTATTTGTTATGGAATATTGTTATCAACCTCCTCTTAGTTATTATCAAAAAACATATCTCTATTTTCAGCAAATTAAATTATCTCTATTTCTTCTTCCTAGTGTTAAGGAGCTTCATTATGTTACTGTTTGATATTAAAATCATCCTTATGTTCTATAAAAAACATTGAATTTTCATGATCTTGTTAATTAACTTAAAATTTATAAATTCTTTAATCTCCTTGCTAAGACTATTCTTCACTGTAAAACTAACCATTAGAAATTAGGTACTTTAACTACACTAACATTTTGTTTGTCAATGTTATCAAAATTCTCTTCTTGCATTCAAAAATTATAATAAATTAATCTAATTAAATTTAATCAATAAGTTTCATCTTGATGTCTTAATAATGATGAAAATAATAGAATTTTATAAATTACAATCAGTTTATACATTTGATTGTAAATAATATATGAAAAAGTTAAAGATTTTATATATGTTTTAAATGATAATATTTTGAAATCAAGGCGTAATTTCCTAAATTATTTTCTTTAGATAATCTCGAAAATGAGTAATTAGAGTATATGATGTTAGCAGAAAGATAAATAGTTCCACTATGATAAATTTAATATATTAAAATAATTCATTACATTCCCAAATCATCATCATCATCTCCTTCTCCACCATCTTAGGTAGTTCCATATTCATCTTCTCCATCTTCATTTTCAACTTCATCTATATAGTCAGCTTATTAGTTTCCAACAACTTTAGGCTATTTAAATTATATTTTTATATATACTTCAATTTTCACTTTCATCTGTCCTTAATATTTTTTCATAATATTTTCAATTTCAAGCAAAGCATCCTTCATAATTTTAACCCCATCCCTTGAGATAGTGGTTGTCCTACCGGTATAAGATGGAGATGCTTTAATTTCAAACTAAATTTAAATGAAAAAATACTGATAGTTTGCATTCTTCCGTGGACTTCTTAGTACCAGCAATGAGTGCTTCTTTAATAATTAAACTTCCTGCATAATCATGACTGATTAAGTCAAATTCAGTTTTAATGGTAACTGGTTCTGGTTTAAGTCTTCTCTCAATCTCTTCCATTAATTTTACTTAAATTTATTCTGATAGATTCAATTTTGATAAATGCTTTTGATCAGTTAGAGCATTTTTAAAAATTTAAAGAACAGATACATTTTATTTATTCTCTTATAATGGCCATACAATAGTTTTATATAAATCCTGAATATTGATATTGCACTTCTCAGCAATAGCTCTCATAATAGAATGAATCATTTTTCCATCTGCAAATTTTTGCAATGACATTTGCTCTTCATCCTTTGCCACCTTTTTTTTAGACAGATCTATGTATCCTTAATCTTCATCAACTCTCAACACTCTAACAACTTGTATTTTTCCTATTTTTAAAGCCTTCTGAATTCCTCCTTTCAGTGCTCTTGTTGTTTCATTAGGTGGGATCATGCCTCTTATTCTATCATATTCTAGTAATTCGACATAGGAAGCATTTTCTTAAACTTCAACTACCTCTACAACTACTAAGTCATTTTCTTTTGGATATTGATTCTCATAAAATCTGCATCTTAGATTAATTCCTTCATCTATAACAGGTTTAATTTCTTGGTTCATTTAATAAATTTTATATATTATTATTTTTCATTTTTCTTTCTTATTGTTGGTATTTTAATTTTTCTTATCATCACTTGCTCTCATATTTGAATTGTAATTCAACAGATTTTTACTGTTAACTTCTTTAGTCACCTTGAAAGATCTCACTATGCTCTAAAATAAATTAATATAAAATTACATTTTCAACCAAATCCAAACCTACTTAATATTCACCTGGAAGACTGTGAGGATCATTAATATGGCTGCCTTAACCCACATACAAGTTTAGTTTATTTATTTGGCCATCAAATTCATTCTCAATTGATAGAGTTAGATCAGTTGTTGGATAATGTTTGACATTATGTTCTTGTAATTTTATGATATGACCATTGATCCAGACAAAACAATTGAATTCTTCTCTCAAATATGAATAACTCATATAGATGTAGTGCCAATCATCTGTCTATTCAAATAATTCAGCTTTCCTTAGTTCTTAATCCTTGCTGTAAGTTCCAAAACTTAAAGAATTACCACCATAAAAACTTAAGGCATAATTTTTCTTCTCATCCTTCAATCTAAAAATTTCAATATTCTCAGCATCCAAATATTCTATTTTAAACCAAGCACTAATTGCAAATTCATCTATGAAATCAGTGTGATATTCCTTTTTAAACTTCAATGGGAATTGCATTTCTTCTGCAATTAACCCAATTTATTATTTATTAAATTAAGGTTGAGGAGACAATTTTGATACTTCTTCAATAAATAATTGTGGCTTGTCTGTTATGTATTATTTCCCAACTCCATATGTCAATTAGGCAAATTAACCATTTAATCCTTAATTTTATAAATCATTCCCTCCAAATTTAAAATATGCTTAATTTAATTTAAAATGTTCCACATGAAATTCTATTTTGCTTATATCATCTTAATCTAAATATACATATCCTGTTGCCAATCCATCTTAATAAGAAAAGTGAATATATGTCCATTGGTTTTTTTAAAACAATAGCTTTTATTCGATAATTGAATTCATTGTTTTAATATCATATGTAGAAAATACTAAACTATTTTTTTGAATTGACACCACAAGTTTATTATCTCCTAAATCGTTTCCTGAATAGTTCTCATTTTCAGAAACACGGGATATAAAATAAGTTTCAGTCTGATAATCTTCAGGATAGAAGTTAAGTAATCTAAACCAATAACCATATCCAACCTCATTGGTTTTGCTCTAAATCATCTATTAAAGGATAATTTTATTATGATAGGCAGGTTTCAAGGACCTATTACAAGTATCAACTTTCTCTGTTATTAATTTGAGTTTCTCGCTTAACTCTTTTTTTTCAACTTTAAACAATTAATTTTTTTCACTATCTCGTTAATCTAAAATTTTATTTATCCTTCTAATTGTGTTATCACAATATTATAATGTCAACTCCTTTTTATCATTTTATAACTCTTACACAATATCTTTTATTTCATCGCTAACTTTCTCTAAAAGTATTTTTGTAGTAGTTTTTTTCAAAGTTGATTTACTTAAGAGTAGTTCTTTATAGTTCAATAGTGACTCTTTCACTTCTAATATATCTGAGATTTATTGTATAAGATCCATGTCCTTTAATTCATTCCAATATAATAGTTAATTTTTGATCTCAAACATATCATTTAAGTTGTCACAATCAAATTTGCTATAATCCAATATATCTCTTAATTCTTCAGTTTATGAATAGCCTAATGCTATTATGAAAAAAAGTAGGGAAATTGTTTTCATAGCAAATAAAAAACGAATATATATATATATGAAAATTTATAATTGAATGAAATGTCATGTATTCAGAATTTTTATTTCCATTTCTTTCATATCGTTAAACCTTAACCTGAGCTCTTTAATAATACAAAATTTAAGTAAAATAAGTTATAAAACTAAACATTTTCTAATATATTTTTATTTACTATTTAAAAAACAATGTCTTAAAATAAAAGTAAATAATCTATGTTAAATCATTAGTTATTATGTTGGGAGATTGCGGAGTAGGTAAAACAACAATCTTAAATAAGTAAGAAATCTATTTAACAAAAGTTTTTTGGATATTATAGCAAAAACTGAGACAACAATTGGAGTATAGCATCATTCATTCACAAGAAACAATATCAAATTTTCAATATGGGACACTGCAGGATAAGAAAAATATAGATCTATAGTATCAAGGTTTTATTGTTGTTTTATTATAGCCATTATAAAAGAGCAAAAGCTGCGATTTTAGTTTACGATTGTTCAAATGAATAATCATTGTTGCATATCGACAAATGGATAGAAGAGCTTGTTTTCTAGGCTGGTGCTAATGTAAAAATTGCATTAATAGGGGTAAAGAATCTTAAATGAAATGTTGGTTAGAATAAAACAGATTTATAAAGTTTCGATATGAATGAGCATGTACAAAAGTTAACAGAATAATATGATATAGCATATCAAATTTAAACTAATCATTAAGATCCAGAGTTCAAAGATAAGATGAATTAATTGCTAGACTAAATTAGCATGAGTACAATATTATTTTATTTTTATATTTGGGATTGATACCTCCTAATCAGCAAAATTAGTCACCAATATCCAATATTAATTTAGTAGATAATCATAATCAAGTTCAAGTGATGTAATTCGCCTATTAGGAAGAAAATTAATATACAGAAAATAAACAATTAAGCCCAATTGAAGTTAAGGCTAATAATGCCAGTCAAGAACAAAAAAGTTGTGAATGCTGAAATGATTAATAAAAAAAATAATAAATTAATTTTGTAATTTCTATATATGGCAATAATTTCTTCAGAATTCTTTTTAGATTTTCATAAGAGTATTAAGAAATATATTTACAATACCATTTCTTATAACAGCTATAGAAAACCCTTTGTAAAATAATGCCAATGCTCCTCTTAAAATAAAGTAGAATTTATGTGCAAACCATTTTCTTATGTGTTCATAAGTGGGAAAATATATCAAACAAGTGCAAATAGAGTTTAAAAGCTATATTGATAACCCTGTGCAAATGAATAAGATCTAATTCTTCAATAAGTTTTTTGTCCTTAATCTCTCACTCTTTGAATTCCTGTTTTTATTATGCCTTGCTGGTTATATTTAAATTCTGGTTTTGTTAAAATCCAATATATATCCTATCAAATATGGATATAGCCTATTTCATTAAGTCAATTTATTAGTCCCAGAAACAATCTTAATTATGAAATATTTCATGAATAATATTTCTTAGTGTAATTTGACATAAAGAATCAAGCAATAGGATTATTTTTTTAATAAAGAGAATGTAGATTTAAAGTCTTATTTAAAATATTTGGAAGGTTCCCAGCTCATAATATTTCTTTATCTTAAATTATTAGATGTGTAACCAATCAAGCAAAGATTCACAATAATGAAATAATTCACATATACATTAAAACCTACTTGTAATTCTTAAACTCCAATAATAATTTATAGAGATCAATAGGATCTTGACATGTGCTCCTATAATAAAATTCTTATTAATATATTATTTTATTATTTACTAATCACAAATTTATAACTTAATTTACTATTCTACTATTGTTCGGAACTAGAGACGAAAATTTATGGAAGGCTGATTTGATTTTCAGAAATATTCTAATCGAAAAATAGTAGATTAAATCATTAAGCTTATGAATTTAAATTGCTAGATTAATTGAGTTCATTTGATTGGGTAAGTTCTTATATTTGCTAAAATTAGCAGATTCCCAATCCAATTTACAATTTAATTGCAAAATCAGATAATACAAAAATACACTTATTTTATTAAAAGTATAAATTAATCATAATATTCTATAAATAGAATCATTTCTATTGATTGTTAGCCCATTTTCTAGCAAATAGGAATGGATCATTTTGATATTTAACATTTTCTTGCAATATATCAATTATGATTTTGAAATCTTTATTTTATTCTTTAATAATAATTTGAGTTAACAGACTAATTAAATACATGCTTAGCAACTTTCCCTAATCTTCTAATTGAATATTAAAAAATATTAAAAATGTATTATCCATAGTAAAATTCAAAATGTGCTCAACTTTTTCGTAATAGTAGTTTAACTAATTAATCCACAAATTTAATTATTCTTTAAATTATTTTGGAGCAAAAGAATAGAATACCTTTGCTTTAATTGCTAACAATTTTCTAAAAAGAAAATAGCATTTTTATTTTTGTTCATTTTAAGTGTTCATATTATTAATTACATTTTCCAAAAACTAACAAAAATTAAATGTTGGAAGAATAATAGCTGGTAATTATTTCTATTAATATTGCAACTTTTATTTTTATTGCTATTATTTTAATCCTTAAGTTGAGAAAGAACATTCTGTTGATATCTATCCGAATAATTCAAGATTTTCATTTTTTGTATTTGAAGTATTTTTTATGAGATCCTCATTAGTTGTAAAATCAGATAAAGAATTAACTTTACAATCAGTTTTTTAAAATATTTATTAGAAATCAAACTTATTCTGATCAAATGATGAAGCTTTGTTATGAGAATAAATTTATTATTAGTATTTTTATCTTTAGCTCACTTATGGTGATGGTTACTTAGAATTTGAAAGAGGAGAGTTGAGATTCGATTAGACAAATTGATAATTTAGTTTTTATAAAGGAGATTGAACTCTTGGAGAAATTGTATCGCTTTACTTTTGTTATTATCTCAAAATTTAGATAACTTAGGTAATATTGAGTCTGTCTTAAGGATTTATCTAAAGCATTCCAAATAGCAATGATTTTATTATCGATTAGTATTTGAATTCCTAATTTTGACATTTTTTCAAAATATCTTCATGAAATTTTTTTATTTCTTATTTATATGGAGGTATGCAATTAAATAACATTTCATATAACATGATTCCTAAAGCCCAAATGTCACTAAATTCTGAATATTAATTGGTTAACGTAATTTCTGGGGCCATATACATAGGTGTCCCGACATTAAATCTTTTTATTATACTTTCAATTTCATCTTCAATTAAGGCAAACCCGAAATCTGCTAATTTATAAATACCATCCTTAATTAGAATGTTAGCTGGCTTTATATCTCTATGGATAATTTCTAAATATTTTATAAATCTTACTTTTTTCATGCAAAGCTTCTACACCTTTAGAAACCTAAAATAAAATTGATAACACTTTTTCAGTTGTTAATTCTTTTTTTTTCATTTACTATTCTAAGCATCCTTCATTGCATAATTCACTAATAATATAAGTGTTGTTTGCACTCTAACTGATTTCATAAACTCTCAGTAAGTGAGGATGATCGATTTTTAACAATATGGCTACTTCATTTTTTAGGAGTGATTTTTGGATAGGTGTTGTATATGATTAAGAACTAACTACCTTTATAGCAACAACTTGGTGAGTTTTTATATTTTACCCTTTATAGACTTTGGATGAGTATCCAGAACCTATTTCTTACGAGAATTCGAAAATATATTCTCCAATTTACTTTTTTTTGCACTCCAATTTATCGTTCATTTGTTATCTAATAATTGATGTACAAGATTTCAAATAATTTTTATTATTCAATAATTAAGGAATAATTTTTAGTAGCAAGTTAACAAGAAATTAAAATATAGTAATATATCAACCCATTTGATATTAAGAATTCTATAAAGCAAGAAAAAGTCCTGAGATGGTGAGAAAAACATAGTTCTAATATACATGTTAGCAAGAGGTTGAACTTATTATGTGTTCTAGTAAATTAGAGAAACAGCTAAATTATTTTATTGTTTAATTATTAGAAATTAATTTATTTTTTTTATTGATATTTAAATCATTAATTTTAAGCACTCCTAATTTTTAATTAAATTTAACAATTACATGAATTTATATTACCGTTTATTTACATGTTGACACAGAATTTGAGAATATATATTATATTTTTAATTCATTTTATTTTATAATTCTACAACTTAAGATTCAAATTCCAATGTGTCTTAACAATTTTAAAATTAATACTGGATATCTTTTACTATGCATTAGATAGACAAAGAGAATACTTATGGAAAAAAAGGTGAAAGTATGTAGTTTTAATGATATTGATAATTTAGGACATAATTTGAGTTTTATGAGCTTGAAAAGTTGAACATCAATATTCTGATATAAAATAAATTATAAAAGGAATTTAATTCATAGGGAACTAAAGTTAGAATATAAAAAAGTAATATACTTTCAATTAGGGATTCCTGTTTTTTAATTCAAAAGAAATTAAAGTAGTTATCAAAATATTAAACAAAAAAATAAATATTGCAATTTAATTAAAGTTACACTGATTCAAAGGAAATGAATTATATTTATACTATTTAATAAATGTAAAATCTACTTGATAATTTTTTTGGTAAAATCTAAGTGATTTAATGAAAATAGTATTGGAATCAAAAGTTTAGATGTTAATAATTAAAAAGGAATTTAGAGGTGAAGCATTTTTTGTGATATTTTCAAAGAATTGAATTAAAGGTTTAAGTTTCGATTCCTTTTTAGCAAATTTTGAAATTTTTGTTTAAATTTATAAAATATTGAATGCAATTAATCTATTAAAATTTAGTAGAGAAAAATCAACTATAGTAATTGATGAGAATAATTTTATTAATAAGTTTTCATTTAAATTAATTTAAGGTAGGCTATTTCTAATAGAAAATCTAGAAATCACCTTAATACTACATAATTATTGATTATTGTTTTAAATTATTAACGAAAAATATTTTTTAAATTTATAAACAGTCAAAAAAGTATGTCTAATTAGCCTAAATAAGTAAGCAATCTTTATCATTTTTTTAGAGTCTTTATGAAGCTTTTAGTAGACAACTTAAACCGTAAATGAGCACAACTCTCTCAAACTTAAAGCCAGTCGTAAATGAACGACCCTCAACATCTAAACCCCTCAAAAATCTATCAAATGCCCCTATACGAAATCATGAAGATTTAACTAAAAAAACAGTTGGCAGATCTCCCAAAAGATCAACATTTGAAAAATCTAGTGCTCAAAATTAGCCAATAATTTAAGTTATAGATGAAAGACCAATACCAAAAGTATTATAGAAAGCAAAATCGCCACAACCTACTTATTAAATATAAAATTCAAATGAAATGATAAAAATTAAAGATTAGAGATAATTTGATGATAGACCACTTCCAACAAGCAAACCATCATTAGATTCATAGTTATAAGTAAATCAGAATCAGAAATTTCAAAATGAAACTCTTATTAGTACTACTTTACCAACATAATCTCAACAATACTTCAAAGTATAACCGAATATTTAATAAACCGCTAATCAATAATAATAAAATTTAGTTGGTTATAATTAATAACTTCCTGCCTAAGAGTAATAGTATGCTCGATTATCTCTATAAAATAATTAAACATAAAGACCTCAAGTTTAATAAAGCCAACAACAATAGCCATAAGGTTAATAATCTTAAACAATTAAATCCTAAGGATAATAAAAATAGCCTTAATTGGAAGAATAAAAGTCATAATAATTTTAAGGACAATCAAGATAAATTAATTAAGAATAGATACAAAGATAATAAAAAAATATAGATCAATAATAGAGATAATAATAATAACAAAGATCAATACCATAATAAATATAATTCTAAAATTCATAATAATCATCTCATTAATAACATTAAGAATATTAGTAATAATATAATGTAAAAAAACCAATAAATAATTAATAAGATATGAGAGGATTATAACAATAATAATAATTATAGTAATAATAATTATAATAATAATAACTTGTATATTAAAAATAATAACAAATCCAATAATTTTAATAAAATCAATAATAATAATAAACATAATAGATACAAGAATAACCAATAAAAACAACATAATAATAATAACCATTATATTAATAGTAAATACAATAGCCATAATATTAAATGCAATAACTACAAAACTAAAAAAATCAAACTACTCAAATGGAATAGGAAGGTGATGAAATATTGCTTGAATGTCCTGAAGGTTGTGGTAGATCTTTTAACAAGAAAGCATTAGAAAAGCATGCAAAAGTAATTTACTTATAATAAACTTTAGATTTGCTAAAAGGTATTTTAATAGAAAAGAAAAGTATTTGATTCTTAACAATAAAGATAGCTAGATGAAGAAGAAGAAGGATTTAGACCTCCTCCTCCTCCATAGAAGAAATAATAATAATAAAAATAAGTTTAGAAATAAAATGAATCTAAAAGTGATAAACCAAAATGGAAAGCCTAAAGTGAAGCCTTTAGAGCTATTATTAAATAAGGAAAAGGAGAATAGTTAACAAAAGAGGAACAAGCATCATTGAAGAATGCAATGGATGCTACTTAAGATTTAGTTTTATGTAAATTCTGCAACAGAAAGTTTAATTCAGAAACAGCAAAAAAACATATAGCATTTTGTGAAACAAAAGCAAAATAGGCTATAACTTAAAAGAAAAAGAAATGAGGTATCAAAATAGAAATTTATTGAATATATATTTATACTATTTATTATCAACTGCTCCCTTTTCACATATGGATAGGTTTGAAATGAGCACTCATGCATGCTTCCTTCAAAGCTTCACTTAAGGTTGGATGAGCATGGCAAGTTCTAGCAAGATCTTCAGAAGCAGCACCATATTCAATACCTAGAACAGCTTCTGCAATCATTTCTCCAGCATTTGGTCCCTTATATTTAAATCAAAAGATTACCACAATATGAACTCCCAACAATTTGTCAGTTTTTTTATCAGTCAAAATTTTAACGAAACCTTCAATATCATCATTGGCCTTGGCTCTAGAATTAGCCAAGAATGGGAAAGATCCTTTAGCATATTAAACTCCAGCTTTCTTTAATTCTTCCTCTGTTTTTCCAACAGTGGCTACTTCTGGACTAGTATAGATAACTCCTGGAATAGCATCGTAATTGACATGACCAACCTTTCCAGACAAGATTTCAGCAACAGCAATACCTTCTTCCTCAGCTTTGTGTGCAAGCATAGGACCTTCAACAACATCTCCAATAGCATAGACACCATCAACCCCTGTAGTGAAGTTATGACCAATTTAAATTCTTCCTCTATTATCTAATTTTACACCAATAGACTAAGTTATAGATAATTAATACTTCAGCATTCAATCCTTAGGTATATGGACGTCTACCTGTGCTCACTAAAACATGATCTGCTGTTAATGTAATTTTATCACCTCCTTTCACAGGTTCAATAGTGACTTCAGCAGCATTACCAAGATTCTTTCCACCTAAGACTTTGTGTCCAATTAAGAATTTGATTCCTTATTTAGTTAATATTTTTTAGAATGCTTTAGACACTTCAAGATCAATAGCTCCACAAATGTTGTCTAAGTATTCAACAACTGTAACTTCTGTTCCCAATCTTTAATATACAGACGCCATTTCAACTCCAATAACTCCTCCTCCAATAACAATCATTTTTTTAGGAATTTATTAAAGAGATAATGCTCCGGTACTTGAGATGATTATTTTCTCATCAAAATCTAAACCTGGGAAGGGTGTGGGTTCACTTCCTGTTGCAATAAGTGTATTCTTAGTTGTTATTGTCTCCTTCTTTCCATCATTTAAATCAATGGCGATTTCATTTTTAGATGCAAATTTACCCCATCCCTTATAATAGGAAACTTTGTTTTTAGCAAATAGACCTTCAATTCCTTTTGTAAGTGATCCAACAATATCACTTTTCTTCTTCTGTACTTATGTCCAATCAACTCCTAAATTATCAACCTTAATTCCTAATCCTTTGAAGTTTTTGTGAGCATCTTCATATTTATGGCTGATGTTTAGAAGGGCTTTAGATGGAATACAGCCTACATTCAAACAAGTACCTCCAAGAGTACCTCTCTTTTCAACACAAGCTGTTTTTAAACCTAATTGAGCAGCTTTTATGGCAGCAACATATCCACCTGGACCACCACCAATTACTACTAAATCAAATGGTTGACTTGAGAATGATGATCTTTAGAAATGAGTTAATTGGTTGGTTATTAAATATCTTGTCTTAAACATAATTTATTTATTTTTAGTTTTAAAATACAAATTAAATAAAAATGACGCTAATTACGATTAATAAAATAATCATAATATTACAATGACTTCATTTGAAATGCAAGAATAATACTCATTATAGGATTCCCTTCTGTCTGATGTATCTTCAATGTCCATTGAATAAAGATCAAGAAGCCGTACTCTAAATAAAACAGTGAAGTGGAAACTTGAATAATTTCATGAAAAAAATGTGATGCAAGAAGAATAAGAAAAAATCTAAAGAGTCATTAAAATATATGATGATAATCTTAATGATGAACATGGCCATAGTGATAACAATTTTTTTGAGGAATATTTATCATGGCTACCGGTTATTCTGCCAAAACGAGTTTGGCCTTGGAAGATATTTGTAGCTATTACTACCCTTTTTGTCTTTTTCGAAGTGCCAATATATGTAATGTACGGGGAAGATTTCTGGAAGGTATATTTTCGATATAAATTTAGGAACTCATAAATGCAGGAGGACGATATGCATTATTTTATGGAATTTTTATAATACTTTTAACAGACATGCTTCTTGATTTTGTAACATCTTATTATAAACATGGGAATCTTGTTTTGGATAAAAGAAAGATAGCCATGCATTACTTTTATGGATATTTTGTTTTTGATTGCGTTGCTGTATATATTTTTATATTAACAATAGTTATTCTCTTGTGTTGTTAGATTAGCAGTTGATACAAATAATTTCAGATTCATTTTCTTTATGTTCTATTTCAAATTACCCTCTCTACTTAGAATTGATCATCAAATTGCAGAATTAATATTATTACATAAACGATTAAGAACATTTTACCAAATCACAAAAATGTTAATATTTATGTTTTTCTGCTTCAACTTTTATTGTTGTATTTGGTATGTATTAGGCATTTATGGTGATAAAATCCATATTAATACTTGGCTTAATGTGCCAGGTAATTTTGGTATTATCAAAGACAAATCAATTCATGAAATATACTTTTATTCCTTTTACTTCAGTTTAAATGTGCTCTCTACCACTATGGGTTTTGGTGATATTGTAAATACTTTACTCTATATATTAGTCTCCTATGAATATTTATGAATGTTCCTTTGCTCTTTTTGGAGTAATGTTTGCAGTTGTCGTATTTGCATTAAATATCAACAACTTTTAAAAGATGATGGAGGAATATAATTCATATTATATGCAACGATTCAAATAAAAAGTATGTTCTAATCTTCAAATATGAGGTTTCTATTAATAAATTTATGGAATAAAAGAATGTACCTTCTGAATTAAGAGAACGTATAAGATAATATATAAATGAACATTGGGCAGAAGAAGGAAGTAGAGATTAGGAAAGTGAACAATAAGTATTTGAAATTCTAGCACCTGAATTAAAATAAGAATTAATGTATCAGTCTTTAGGATAGTTTCTCTAAAGAACTATGTTTGCTAATCATTTCACTAAACCATTTTTGAAAGAATTAGCATAGAAAATTAGAGAACAATCTTTTTCTTAAGGAGATGAAATAATTGGGGTAGGATCTACAGAACAAACTGATGATTTAAGTATCTATTATATTGTTGGTGGTTCTGTTATTGTAAAACCAGGAAATAGTGAAATTATAAAAAAAAAATTAGGATTGTATAGCTATTTTGGAGAATGGTCATTCTTTACAGGTTAGAATTTTCATAGATTATAGGTTTTCCAAGAACTGGTACAGTAAATGCTAGAGAGTATTCACAAGTGTATGCAATTACAAGAGCTGACTTTTTAGAAACATTGAAGAAATTTCCTGAAGATTTTGAAATGTATTGTCAAATAAGAGATAAATTATTATTTACTAAAGAATACAATTTAGTAGAATAACAATGCTATACTTGTAATAATTCAGATCATTATGCTGATTAATGTCCTAAGACTCATTATATTCCATTAGTTTAAGAATTAATTGAAGAATCTACAGTTTTGGATTTAAAATAAGATCGAGTTAAAATTTAGAGATTTGATAGAAAATAATGGGCTACTAGAGCTAATGCAACCACTTTAATCAAAGGATTAAATAATAACAAATTGAAAAAGAAAGCTAATTTAATGCTCAAAACATAGAGAGCTTTAAAGAAAAATACAGTAAAAATTGATAAACCATTAATTCCTTAATGGCAAGTAAAAGAATTTAAGAGTTTAGACGAAGAATAAGCGGCTAATCCTATGGTCGATGATATGACAGAGAGTTAAAATCTCAATTATTAATCTATTGATAATGATATCCCTTAAAGATAATAATAGAATTAATAATTAAAAAGCTTTGCAATTCAAACTTTAACTTAATCTGCTATGTAACAATCAGCTCTAATAAGTTCAAAAGTTGTTGAAAATTCTAATTAATCTTAATAATAATCAAGAGATAATATGTTGGCTGAATACCAAAAAATTTTACAGCCAACAATCAAAACTGGAGTTGAATAATTTGATGCACCAGCTAATTATAAGAATTATTATCGAAAATACAATAGCAATAATTATTAAGAGTTTAAAAATATTAAAATAATAGAAAAAAACAAAATATAGAATATGAGACAGTCAATAATATTAAAATGACTACATTTATATGTAAAAATAATTAGATCAAATTTTATTATATTAAATGAATTGATAGATTTTCTACAAAGGAATTTTATTCTTAATGAAATATTTTACTAATATATTCTTAGTAATTACGTAATTTTATATGACTTAATGATACTGATTAAATTATTTATATATCAGAGTCTTTTTATCTATTTTTTATAAAAAAGTTCAAAAAACACACTGGCTCCAAAACCTCCACCTAATGGACCTCCTACATAAACCCATAAGAAGTCCATTCTCTGTCTATCTCCTGTTTAAAACGATTAAAATAATTGTAATGAAACTGCCATACCTGGATTTAAGCATCCTTAAGATTTAAATAATTATTTTACCTCCTGAATGAAATGTAAATTCTCTTGAAAAATACAATGCCAAAGCAACTAATACATAGGTTGTCATGGGTTGTCCTCCTGGAGTTAAAGTAGTTTCTGGATCTGTTTGGATGAGTATGAATAAAATAAATGTAAATGTTCCGAATGCCTCTCCACTTATATCTGATAATATCCATGAGTACTCAGTACTCTTAACTTAAGGGCTATCTACTTCATTCAAAATTAAATAGCAACAGCAAGCTCCACACAATGCTCCTGAAAATTGAGCCAACCAATATATAACTGCTTATGCAAAATTAACCCTTCTTGACAAAACCATAGCCAATGTAACAGCAGGATTTACATGTGCTCCTGAAAATGGAGCAGCCAAACAAACTGATGCGAAGAAAAATAAAGCTAAGAATTCATCTGATCCTTATGAACAGATGATTCTAAATTGTATTAATTAAGTTTTACCCATATGCAAATAAAGCCATTCCAAAAAATTCAAATAAAAAGATTCTCATTTCATCTCTTGATTTTCCTGTTGTTGGTGTGATCTATTGTTTTGTTTTTGGTTAACTTATAATAGCATTTTCCTCCATGTTTATATGATAAATTTATTTATATATAAATATTTATAATTATTGATCAATAAGATATTTTCATATATTCATTATTTTAGAATAAAGGTTCTCAACTGTGTTATTTAACTCTAAATTATATAATAATATCAACAGTTCTTATTTTTGACAACCCTTTTTCTTTTGACGTTAATCAAATTAATATTCAATTTAGGATTTTCAATTTATAAATAAAAAGATATAATAAGAGTTGATGATAAATGATTATAATGTTTATAAACTAGAATAAAACATAAAAATGAAAGTGGAAAATAGATTTTATTATATAAATCATTGAAAAGATATTGATTTAATGAATCAATAGCTAGGATTACTAAAGAATAACAAAAGCAATTATAAAAGTTAAAAGATAAATTAAAAATTATATTTAAACATTTATTGATTGAATTAAATGAGATGTAGGAGAAACATAGACTACTTTTTATGTAATTTGTTTATTTTATATACCTTCATAATTTATTAATGGAGATATTTTCTATACACTTTTGGAATGTTTAAATATATAAATAAACCAAAGTCTAATCTTATTATTACAATCCAGATCTTAAATAATTGATAATAAGCTATATCAAATTCTTTTAAATTGTTCTTGTATTTTTATTGCATATTTAAATGATTAAATAGTGATAGTTTCCAATCAATTATATTTTGTTTATTATGTTTCAATTCTATTTAGTTTATACAATTCTGTTTTGTTATTTGTACTTATACGCAATTTTACTAATTTAAAAGTTGTAATATGAGGTAGTATAAAAAAAGGAATTTAATAATAAATTAAATGGATAATAGGTAAGGTATAGAGATGGAGGATGAGTTTTATGCATTTTAAAGTCCTTAAAACTTGCTTTAAAAGATCGATTGCTTTGTAACTTTAGGTCAATTTGATTTGGATGAAGATGAAAATGAAAACTTTCCCCAACATATTCAGATTGAGCAGCCAGAAATTAACAATTTTAGGCTGCACAAATTTTTTAACGCTGAGCCTGAAGTTAATTAATTTGTTCAAAAGTAATAAGAGGTCCAACATGAACCCAGGATGAAACCTCAACGTAAGATGTCCCAAAGCTTACCTTCATTTATGGAAGAGATTGATACATTAATTTCTTAAGCTATTGAGAGATAAAATGGATTCTTAGAATAATAAAAATATAATGTAAACAATTCAGATTACCTAAAATTAGGATGCATTAAATAATATTGATAATTTTACGTTTTTAGAGTAATCTCTTTCTCAACCTCAAGTCTTCAAATCTTTTTATTCCCAATATATCCGAACTATAAATAAATTAAGAATGTATAGATAACAAAAAAGGTATAAATTTTTGAAAAATATTTAGATTGGATGTTAAGTAATTTATGGCATTTGTTTGTTCTTTAGGGATTGATTTCATTTAAGAAATATTTAATTTAATTCATAAAGCAGATAGCTCATGGTGTTTTGATTTACTTAAATCAGAAGGTTTAACATAATAAATGTAAAATGAAAATTAAAATTAATCGTTTTCAGATTATAAATTATAGAAAACCTAATTTTAATAGCCTTATGAATAAAAACAACAACAATAATAATAATAATAATAATAATAATAGTCATCATAAATTGATTCTAAAAATGAATAGTTTTAATAATAAAAAATATAGTAAGTTCAATCACATAAAAATTCAAATTCCATTAATTAATAAAGTGCCTTAAGCATTGTTAATGAAGCAATAGAAAAAAAAGGAAGAAAAACTTGGTCAAATAAAGAAATGGAAACCTTATAAAATTTTATAAATACTTATTAAAATAGTTCAATTACTAATTAATAAATCTAGGATTTATCAAAATAGTTAGGAAGAACTTGGTATTCTGTCTAATCAAAAATATAAAAATTAAAAAAAAATGTATAGGATTAAATGAGTGATGTTAGAAGTTTGAGTATGAAGGATGATCCTTCTAAAGAATAATTAAAAATGTAAAGAATTAGTACTAAGTATGATTATACTGTAGAAGATATGATCAAAATAACATTGCAATAATTAGAAGGAAGATGTGGTACTAAATAGAAAATTATTGAATCTATAAATCAAAATTTCTTTAATGGATAATTATCTGAAGATTCAGCTTGTTTAAGATCAATCTCAATAACACTTTCAAATAATCGGAGCTAATTTATTCGAAAAATAAAGGGCTATTTTGGTCTCAATGAGAATTATTAAGATAGAGGTGAGGATGACAATAAAATGAGGAATAAATTAGTATGGATTCTATAAAATTTACCAGAAGAAAGAGGAACATTATAATAAATAGTTGCATCTTATACTGAAAACACATTTCTAGATGAAGTCAATCTAAAGAAGTTATAAAAATAAATAAGTTAAACATTAAGACTCAGCAATCGTTTTGACAAAAGAAATGCAAAAACAATATACAAAATACAAGAATGAATTGATTAAATTTGTTTGTGAATATGACCTAGTTCAGAAATTTGAGAAATGTTATGTATTTATTATTAATCATTCAGAATTCATTCTAAATTTTTCATATGTTTTTCTACAATAAATAATTCAGATTATTTCAGAAATCTTATTTAAAAAATAAATAACAAAAATTCATTCATCTTTTAACATTTCTAAATGCTTTTAAGTTTTATCTTAGTTGAAAAAGCAAGTAACAGTTAAGATAATAATAGATAATACACACATAATTCCGAAAGGTAAATATGGATCTATATAAAATAAAGGAAATAAAAAATAAGGAGATGGTATTGCACCAATTTTCCCTATAGCCTAAACTAAACCACAACCTTAGGATCTTAAATAAAGAGGATAGGTTTCACAACAGAGTAAGCCTATAGTTGAAAAAAGTCCTCTTGTTGAAATTTTGATTATAAACAAACCTATATACAAAAATTAATTCTTCAAAATATATAATAAACCATTAGCAATAGTTAGTGCAGCAGCTGAAAAAGCCATAATCTTTATTCTGCCTCCATAACGAGGATTGTCAATCATATAATAAATGATCAATGCAAAGAAAAATTCTATTATGAACATATTTAGCATAGGTGCAAATCCTGAGTTATTCTCAGCAAATAAGAAAGGCATCAATAAATATATACTCATATTTTATAGATTAGTAAGAATGCAAACCAGCCACAATAATAAAGTTTCTTTTCTATATTCATTGGATAGAACCCCATATAAATGTAATTCTTATTCTCTATGTTCCTATATTTATTTTTGGGACCATTCCTATAAACCTTTTTTCTTTAAAATAACAATAAATGTCATACTTCTTCGTCTTAAAATTATGCATTCTCTTTTCCATTTAACTTAATGATTTTTTCAATTTCTTCAAATGCTTTTTAATATTCCTCTCTATTTAAATAGTATCTTATTGTTTCTTAAACGAAAAATAATGATAATATAAAAGCACTTGTGATAGGTATTCCATTGAATCTAATCAAACCTCTCCAATTACCAGATGTATAACTATCTAAAAAGAAGAAACAAAGAAAGACAAAGTATATCTTTCCAAAAATATAGAGCAATGATAATCCAAAAGAAAATCTTCCTCTGTATTTAGCTTCTGTCACTTCAGATATAAAAATAAAACCCAAGGGGCTTGTAGTTCCAAAAACTAAACCAAAGCAAAGTCTAAGCATAATCATTTCTTCATAAGAATTACTAAAACTTGTGTAGAATACCAAAAACGAACTTAAACCTGTAAATATAGAGAATGTAATTTTTCTGCCTATTTGATCAGCTAAAAACGCACATAATAAATTTCCTAATACAACTCCAAAAAGAAAAGATGATCCCAAAGTTGCAACTTAGGCTTAATTCAAATTCCATTCAGTTTAGAGAATAGCAATCAAAATTGACATAAATGTATACTCAATGCCATCACAAAATTCAACTAAACCGATAATAAAGAGTGTTTTGCCTTAGTACAATCCGGTCCCAATTTTAGTTTCAAGAATTTGATCAAATGAAATCATTAATAATGATTTATGTAATATAAATTTATCATAATCCATAGGGATTGTTGGGTACATGAGGAGGCTGTTTTGGTTATTAATACGGATTTGTTTAGGGTTATATTCCATTTTAATTCACTTATTCTTATGGGGGATATTAGAATTAAGGCAATTATTAATTAAGTTACTATTATTGAGCATCCGTTATATGTTATCCTAAAAAATTAGTATTTGCAAGTCCTTAAACAAATTTATTTTAGAATTCAGTTTGTTAAGGAGGGTATATTTATTATTATTGTTATTATTAATAATTAGGAGGAGGGTAAATTTATTATTATTGTGGATAGACAGCAGGCTATTATGGAGGGAATTAATTCAATTATGAAGTAGGGTATTGAGGCATCTATTAGGATGGATATGAAGATTATTGTGGTGGATATACTTATTAAGTTTAAGTGTATGGTTGAGGTAAAGGTTACTAAAATTAAGAGGGAGGTGGTGGAACATTTTAAAATTATTATTATGGGATTTAAGGTACTTATTATTATTAATTAGGTTATATTATTTATTGTTATTAACCATACTATTATGAATATTAATTAATGTCAAATTATCCTAAATTAATAACTAAATAATGATTAATATAATTACAATTTTTTTATCCGGGTTTTCTACCAATTAATAACATGTAATCAACTAATTGATCTGGTAATTCTTAGAGAACATTTTTGGCTAACAATTCTGGATTACTTTTAAATTGGTTGAATGGAACAAATTAAACTAAATCTCTTTATGTTCTTTTTCCAAAAGAATCACGAAGATTACCATCATCATCATCTAATATAGACATATTGGTGAAATCTGCATCTCCAACTCCAACAATTATTATTGATATTGGTAAATGTGAAGCTGCCACTATGGAATCAATGGTTTACTAATATACATTTATAAATTAAATACTTTCATATCATGGATTTCACCGTCTGTTAAAATAAATAATACAAAGTATGTATTTGTACCCATATCTTTACAAACTTATGCTATTTTCATAGATTCTTAAATAATAGGATTAAAATAAGTAGGACCATCAAATTAAACATTTCTTACAGCATAATTATAGGCTTGCATAATTCCATCCATTTAGAATACTTCAGGATCTTGAGGATTACCATTTAATGGAAAACAATGTAAAGTTTAAGGAGTATTTAAATTATGGAGTCTTGGTTTACATCCAAATCCAAAGAGTGGTACTTTTTTATCATGATCATAATTTAATAAGATCTCTCCCACGGCTAATAATGCTTATTGATATTAATTCATTCTATGATATTAATCATCAATATAATGAAGAGAACTTGGAGTTTTAGGAGATTAATTGGATGCTGTAAAATCAATGGCAGCAATTAAATTTATTTATGTTCCACTCTACAAATAATCTAAGAAACTTGGTTTTTCAATTAATTTTAACTAGAATATAGATAATAATATATATTACATCATTAAATATGATAACACCAGAATATTTTTTATTTTTATCCAATAATGCTTTTTTTATATTATTTTTACCCTATAATTCATTCACTGAAAAATCAGTAGAACAAACATGTTCATGATTTCCTGAAGTTCTGTAATCCCAAATTTCAATTCTAATTGGCATAAAATAATCTCCATTGCACAATTTCTAAGCTTAGATATCTAATCTTTTCCATATAGGTTTTAAATTAGATTTGATAGGTTCACTTTCATAAACTAAGAGTGATTAATTTGTATCCTTTCTTATTCTATATAATCTAAAAAATGGTGATGTAGAATGCCAAGGTAAAAATCTTGTATCAGGTAGATTATCAGCACCTAATAAATATAACAATTAGAATTTACTTATTTACATTATGATTTTATCATTTATAATCCTAACCTAATCTGCTCTTACTACTAATACTCCAGTTTTCTTCTGTCCATTATTTAAATTTAACATTACTAATTAATCCCTAGCTCCTGCTATATTTGCTAATGTAGTTTCAGCACTTCCAATAAACTATATTTTTTTAATTAAAAATGTACATCATATTATCCATGTCCATCATCATCATTACATGTGAATTTTAATGGTTATTAACATTCAAAGTAATATTCAATTATAAATGACTTTGAAAAGTTTGGATTCAAATTATCTTTAATTATTTCTGTTCTTCCCACTTCTGACCATTAGTTATTTCTTTTCACATACATTATTACATAAGGATCACTTTTTGAAAAGGTATCCATATTAGCTAATCCACGACAACTTATGAACAATTCTAATTTCTATTAAGATTCCATAATGCTTGCACTTCTTCCATATAAGTCATCCATTATTATATATTATATATAATTATTATTATAGTTATTGCATAAAAATAATTATTAGATTTTTAAATTTATCAAAATATATCACAAAACAAATAGCTAAATCAAAGAGATTATTATTAATTTTATATTTATATGTTGAAAAAGTACTCTTCAATAGCCTAGATGCAGCAAGATAGTGCCAAATCTGATAGGTAGTATCCAGTTTTGAATAAGATTTCTGTTTGCATATCGTAACAATGTCTATGATCTAACACATTTTGTAGATGATCATCCTGGAGGAAGGTTCTCTCTCTAAACCTTCAAGGGTAAAGACTTAGAGAATGTACCTTCATTTATTTTTAATTCAGATTCTATTTAATGCATCCATCCACAGACACTAACCCTCAGTACTCTCTTCTCTTGAACAATATAAATGTGGTGTCATTGAAACTAAAAATCCATAAGACAATAAACCTAAGGCTCAAGTTACTGCTACACCTAAATCGAAAACACCTTAAAAGAATGACCAAATCTGTAAAACCTAAATGTCTGATGACAAGACAAATAGATCAAATCTAACATCAAAATCTAAAGTCAGTATTTAATAGCAAAGCAATTTACTATCAACTGAATCAAATTAAGTAAAGAAATCAAACTTAAAATAAACTTCCAAAACCTAATCTATCAATAAAACAGAAAATATTATTGCAGAATCAACTACAACAATAAAATCTAAATCTGATATAAATATCTTAAATCAATAAAGGCTTTACGATACATAACAACCTTAAGTTTCATCTAGTTAACTTTCTATAGTTTCTAATCCTAAAATTTCACTTTTATCCCCACAAATTATTCATGAAGAAGATGAATCTTAACCTTCTCCATTAAATAATAATGTCGATAAATTTGAATCAGGATTTATTCCAGAAGACTTAGTGAATTTAAAAGTTCCCATTTTAAATTACTAACTTAAAGGATATCTTAGGTAGAAATATACCTTAAAAAATTGATATTTATTTAATTGTATATGATTATCTTGTTTTTTTTGTTTAATTTATATTTTTATGAATACTAACTAAAGTTATTCCTTAAAATTAAATTTGAATGAACACTTATATAATCATAAGAATTACTTCAGTTATTTTAAACAATTTATTTTTAAATTATCAAGTTTATAAATTATAAGATAAAATGAATTAAATAAAACAATAATTCTCATTAAAATAAGTGAAATAAGATAGAATCGCATTAGAGTATATCCTATACAATAGGTTTGTATTGTTAGCAATTAACTTTTTGTTACAATATTTATCTAAGTATATTCACAAATTCTATATAAATTATTTAAATAAAATACATGCATCTGATTTTGAATTTATTAGATCAATCATCTTTTATTCTTTAATCATATAGAAATTAGTAGTATTTTGTATTTAATTAATTTATTAATTAATTTAGGATTGAGTATTTCCATTCATTTTAAATTGAGTTGCAAGGATTTTCAAAATTGCCCATCGAAGACATATATCGTTAATGTTAGTCTCAAAATGCTATAAGTTTTATGCGAAATTGCTTAAGAAGTTAATTTCTGATTAAGAAATATTTTAAGTATTTTAATCGATTGAAATCATCGATAACAATTATTCTACAGTAAATCTAGTTTTAGGATTTGGATCAAGCATTCCTTTAAGTAATGGAATGAATATTGATTAAGGTATTCTTAAGATTGGATTATTTACATAATCTCGAATTATTTTCTTTAATTCTGATTCTTTGCTATGATAAAAGGGTACATTCCCATATATGAGTTCATACATAGTAATTCCAACAGACCATACATCAGACTAAAAGCTGTACATATCATTTAATAATGATTCAGGTGCCATATAGAGTGGAGTACCAAATGACGATTTTTATAACTCCAAAGAATTCATATTAACACTAAAACCAAAATCAGCAAGTTTCGTTATACAATTGTGCATCATAATATTTGGAGGTTTGATGTCTCTATGAATGATATCTATGATTATCAATTATTATAATTACTCTTAGATTTAAGTTCCTTCAATGCCTACAGTAATTAATGGAAAATCCTTAACAATTATTAATCTGATCGATTCTTTACAAATTTCAATTCTCCTTCATTACAGTATTCAGTTATGATGTATTGATTGTTAGGAGTGTAAATGTAATTGATATACTATAAGATGTATGGAGAATTGAGTTTCTTTAATGATTCAATTTCATTACTCAACATCTGTCTTGAGAAATTTGAATTCAATTTAGAATTCTCAATAACCTAAACATATTATTATAATCTTAATTACTTTAATTGCTACTTCTTATCCAGATCTTCTGTCTTGGCCTTTAAATACTGAACTATATTCTCCTTACCCTAGACAATCTTCTAAATGATATACGAAATCATTGATTATTTTTTTTGGTAACTATTTGCTTGGTTTTTGAATATTTTTTGGAGATAACAAGATTTCTAACATTAAAGTTTTAAATTTTTTATTTATTATTATTTAACATTTTGATAACATTTTAATTAAAAATGAATCAAATTACTTAAGGATCTTTCACATCAAAAGAATAGAATTTATTAATAAGATACTGTTTGGAATATCATAAACATTATAATAGATTTATTGCTCTAAACCTTTTATACTCTTATTTGATATACTTTTAATTATTTTGTTTGTTGTATCAGTCATTACTTTCATATAAAATTATGTTACATTAATTATAAGAAAAAGAGAGTTTGTTTTATTCAATTGAACCTTATCAATATATAGCTATAAAACTATATTCATTTTTATTCTTTCACTAAATCTAAATAACATTAAATAACTTTAAAGACTGTTTCAAAAGACCCTAAATCTTTAGTCTCGATTGCATTTTTTATATAATTTAGTTTAAGTAGACTTTGTTTGCCCATAAATAGTTGCTTAAATTTTAGTATCTTATTTTAACATTTTTGATTAATTGATATTTAGATTATTAAGAAATTTGCTTAATGATTGAGAAAAATGAATCATACAAAATTTATACGATCTTTTAATAAAGTATGTGAAAAAGGATCAAATACTAAAATTAAAAGTATTTATCTATAAATCTTTTCAATAAAGAAATCATAAAAATTTGTAATAAATTATTAATTTAACAGGATTATTCTATTTTTTGTATTAATTCATCTACAATAAAAATAAGAAATTTATATGTCTCTTTTTTAAGAGACATGAGAAAAATTAAAATTTATATATTTTTATAGAAAATAATACAAAAAATATTGTTATGATACTAAGTAGTAGATATTTTAACGATATTATTGATGGTAATATATATTGATGCATATCATTAATTTCATGTTGAAGGCTTAAATAATTATCTTTAAACTCTATTTGATGAATGTGAAAATCTAAGTGTTTTTCCAAAAAGTGTTTATTTGCTTTATTTATTTTAAATTACTTAATTCAACTTTTCTTTTGTTCCTTTAAATTATCCCTATAATTTATCTACATTGGAACTCTGATTACTACTAAAAAAGCAAAGTTTTGGTGGAGGAGAAAAGCTTTTTTGATTTAATATAACCTCATTTTAGTGTATTTTTGTATCCAAAAATGTTATTGTTTTACTTCTTTTTTTATTATTTTTTTTATTTATTATAGGAGTGAGACTAACTGCAGTTGATTCTTTGAAATAAGTTTAAGATTTCTTAAAATGTTTAGAATCACATAATCCCATTTATCTTAAGTATTTAATTAAAATCCTTTTATAATTCAAATATTATTCCTAATATAAAAATAGAAACTTTCATTTAAGAAATTACAATTAAAAAAACATATATATATAAAGTATTCTTTCGACTATAAAAATGATCATTTAAAAATATCATAAAAAATAAATTAATATAATTAATTGTTTGAATATAAACATAATACTATTTCATTATTATTTGAAACTAATTTCATAATCTTAGAATCCATTATTTTTTGCTTCATCTAAATATTTATATAGCAATGGCCTTGATACATTTTCAATATATAAAGTTGTTAAATAAGTGTACATAAATGTAACACTTGATGCAACTAGTAATCCTAAATATAAATGTTTATATTGATTTAGATGTTCATATGCATTAGTGTAGTATGGTTTAAAAACATATCTTAAAAGTAATTGAAATCCACCTATTGTCCCTATCAATGTCCCTCCTAAACCAAATGCAAAATATGCAGAATATTTAGAGATTCTAAATTAATCATCTTCTTATAAATGAACATATTGTTTGACTGAATTAAATTTATAAAATATTTTTGATTCATATGGATGATCTATAAAGTTATTACCATAAGGATTTAATGGATGATTTTCACTCATAAATGGTGTTTGTGATCTAAGAGCATTATTATTATTATTTTTATTCATTATAAAAATATTAATAATGATAATAAATCTATGAAAATAACTGATCTCATGATTCGATTTCTTAATGTAAAAGTAAGGTTAAATGAGTATCTGAAGTTATTTCATACTCTTTCAACTCAGCCTCATCATCTAATAATGTTTTTTCAAGAAATAATGAAGATCTCTCTGATTCAATACCACATTTTGTTTTAACTTCCTCTATTTTCATATTGGGTTTAGCTTTAATGTAATACGTATTATGATTTTGATCTTATATTGTTAACATCATTAGTTTTCGTTCTTTACGAGATCCACACAGTAAGCAAAAAAAGGTGCCTAAAATACTAATCATTAAGAAATTATAATTATTATTAATCTGAATTTACTCATCAATAACATTTGAGAAATAAATCAAATAAAATTTTGAAGATTATAAGTAATAATAACTATAGTTAAACTATTCGTTATAACAATTTGAGTATTAATAAATAATAATAGTAATTTTAGTAATTGAATATTTGATAATGAATTAAATATAAGAGTAGACATAAGTGTTATTCATTGAAGAATACAATGTATAATTAGTATTTACTAAAATAATATATCTGAAATGATTTAATTGAGTGTTTGGATATATTATAAACAATCAGAGTTACTTCTTAATGGACTATAGTTTCTTCTATTTCTATTTATCTCTTTACACTAATCTTAATTGTTTCTTAGATTTCTTAAGTTCATGTTCCATTTCCTTTTTTCTAAAGACATCCTATTTTTAATTTAATTTTTTACTTCATAAGCATCTGACTTAGTAGCTTCAATAATAGGAGGTATTACGGAATCTCTCTTTTTTAATTTTCTCAAAATCCAATCCTTCTTTTTTTCATCCCAAACCATTCGACTATAAAATTTAAATTATGGACAATATACTTTTTTTTCTTTTTAGCAAATTTACTATCTTTTACTTTCTAAATATATGTTTGTTATCTTGGCAAAATAATATTTTCTTTATCATATGGAAGATCTGTTTCTTATTATCCTTCAATTAATCTTTGAGACACATATTTAAGCTACTCTGATATTTTATCTACAAAAATGTCAAAATCGTATTATTCTACTGTATCCAAAGCTGTTAAAGTAAGCTTAGGTTTATCAAATAAGATGTTAATATTTGAGGTCATTTTAGGACTTAAATAAATAATAAATAAAATGAATATAAAGTTAATTTTCATATTTTTAGTGTTACTTACACAAGGAGCTTTCGGTATATCTATATAATAGCAAAAGGTGTTGTAACCAAAGTGACAGAATGTTAGGCTAAATGTGATAAATAAGTGAATGGATGCATTTACACATGTGCATAAACATAAATGCGATAATCATTAGTAACTTAAGAAAGATGTTAAAAACTATGTGCAGGAGTTAATAAGGAATGCAAAAATACAAAATGCTACTTAGATCCTTGATTAGTTATTTTACATAATTTTAAAAACGTATTATATATATTCTCTAACCCATTTATCTATTATTAATTAAATGTTTCAAAGAAAGAGGATGCAAAATTAATGAATTAAATATGATCTTTCCTATTAACCACACTCAATTTGTGCTAATAATCAAATTTCATACTATACAACAATACTCTTAGTCTCATAAATATAACTTTTTAATACTGATCTATTTCAATTATTGAAACAAAATTAATAGAAGAATTGTAAAAAAAACATCATTTAAAATAGTATTAGAATCTTATGCAATAACATATTCATTCCAATATAGTAAACACATCCAAATTTATCTACATTATCTATTAATTGAAATAACTGATGCATTATTATAATCAAAATTATTATTCAATATTAATAATACAATACTTATTAATTCTTTATTCAATCTATAGATTTTTACATTACTTTATTAATTAATAAAAAAGTATATGAATTTAATCATAATCCAAATTTTATTAATACTTTTTTAACCTTTAGATTTAAACTCTAGATATGTATTTTAAAATATAAAGACTGTTTATAATATGTTTAAACAAAATAAACTTTAGATTCTAAATAAAATAAAAGTAGAAACAAAAGAAAAATCTAAAAAATTAATTAAAAATTAACATTCAAAGAATATTAAATAATTGTATACAATTTCTTTTGATTTATCATTTATCATTTAAGAATCTTTGTATCGTTAACTTCTGACATTTATTAATTGAACCCAAAGAAGTGCCATCAATAAAAAATGGAATTCATCAATATATAAATCTGCAATCAACATTTGATTTAATTTATTAGTTATATTTCTAATCAATCTATATGTTAAAAAAGAGATTTAAGATTATTACGAATATCATTTTTTTTAATTAGGTTTCTGATTGCGATTTCATTCCAAAATTGATTTTATAAAATTCAAAATAATCTTTACTACAATGCTTCTAAATCAATTATTGAGAACATAAACACTCCTTTTATCTCTTTAGATTATTCTAAGTGAATTGAGAATATTGGTATTTCATTATATTCTCTTATTGATAAAAATTTAATCTTCAATGCAATCAAACTTGATGAATACAAAATCACAAAGAGTCTAATTTATCTAATACAATTTAATCTTTTTTTTAACACATTAAGATAAACCGAAGTACTAATTTATTGTCTAGTATTATCTTTGAATTCTAATTCATTCTTTTTTTTGATTAATAATTCTCTTCTATTTTGATAAGCTTTGTTATTCAAGTAGATATATCCAGTGATACTCTAATATTCCAGATGTAAATAGAAATAATTTATATTATTTTAATAAAATTCATTATTGAATTCAATTATATCATCCATATTTCTATTTAAATTCACCTGCCAATCCTTATCTTTATTATATGAAATGCTTTTCTCCTTCATTGAATCGTGTTTAGAACACTATCTATTAAAATAGTTAAATAAAGAGATTACATCTTTGGTTTTGCCAAAATAAACACTATCTAATTAAGAACGTAGGTAACTTTCTACATCTTCAACTAAAGTTCCAATTTTCATAATATGGAACAACTCTAAATCTTTATTACCTGCTGGAGCCTCATAAGATTCTTCTTTCTAAATCAAATAAATGATAATAAGTACTTATTTAGTTAATGTTCCTGTTATATTGAATTTGCCAACATCTTGATTTTAGATTATATTCATTTCCAAAACAACTGATGTAGTTATCTTATAAGTCCACTTAGATTTTCCATCTGTCTTAATATCAATTACATTAATTGAACTCCATGATCCATCCTCTATTCCCTTACTCTTTTCTACATTTTTTCTAATCAACCAAGCTGTAGCAAATCCACCATCCTCTTTATCCCAAAAGTAACATGATGACAATCCTCCTTCATAATATCTATAAAATATATAATATATATATACAATCTTCTATATTCTTCAAATACGGCATTTGCTTTGAGCTCTAATTTACGTAATGCTTCTGAAGGATAAACTGCGTCATCAATTGAGGGATAATATTAATTTGTTAAATGAGATCTAAATGAATCTCCATCTCTATTGAATTCAGATTATATAAATTGATTGCCTTTTTCATCTTATCCAATATCTAAATTTTTTCATTTGTTGTCATACCTAATGGTTTGTCTATTTTCTAATATAATTCTTCTGCATAATCTGGAATCAATGATGCTAGTGCTGTAGCATTCTTCTAGATTTGAGTTGGTGGTAATCTTTTAAGGATATTCAAGCAAGAGAGGATTTTTTCTTTCGATTCCATTATTAATTAATTATCATTACAATTATGATTTATATACAACTAATAAAGCAAGTGAAGCAGCCAAAGTCATCCCATAATGAGCCATCAGACAAGTAATGAATCCATACTTTTCTCTTATATGTTCAAACGATCCACCAATTGATAGAAAATATGTTGAAAACCCTATAGCAAATTCTAAATCTGATTTAAATATCTTAAATAACATAATAAAATGGAACAAAGCATAAAATAGATTTATTAACAATCTATATTTTTCACTTTCCTTATAAGTTTTCATCAAAAACAATCGCCTTTATTTTAATATTAATTCATTACCAATACCATTCCTCTAAAAATGGGTTGCATATAATCAATACAAACATAAATACTCCAATGTAAATAGGATGTTCCAAAAGAGGAATCTTCAAATAATCCATGATCTCCTCTTCCCAATAATAGGTGAAAATTAATGATAATAATACAATCCCAAATGCACTTCTAAATAATGAAAACCCTCTCTTAATCTATTCTTATCTTCCTTCCAATTCATTTATGAAATAAACTATTTGATATTGTTAATACCTCTTAATTCACCCTCTTTACTTAGATATTTGATATAAATTCCAGGTATAATCACATAAAATAATTACAAAACACATAAAGTTGTTAATGCTTCATCTAAATAAAATAATCCAATTCCTGTAATGTTCGCAGGTAATATTAAGCATAAAAAAAGATATGTATGTTATTTAAAATTTAATCCATAAAGACCTCCTAACATTTTATTATATTTTATTTAAGTAAAATAATATTTATTTATAGACAATTTCTTAAGAAATATCAAATTATATCTAGTACATCTATCATAATATAATAATTAAGTTCCATTTTTATACTATTCAAATATCTTGTAGATTTAACTTAAATATTTAGAAGATGTTAAATTATTTATTAAATATTTATAAAATATATGAGTTAGATATAATTAGAAGTTAAAAATAAATCATCATATACTTACAAATATATTAACTTGTTTAAATCTTAAAATCTGTTTAATAATTTATAAAAATGCAACCACCATAGAATCTTTTAATTGAAAAGAAGACTAAATCTCTCTCTATCTCAAATCTAAAAACTAACTTAAACTTAATAAGTTTAAAATTATATACAAATTTATATAATTAGAGAAAATATTTTAAAAGAGAGTACAAAATTATATTTTCGTTTTTTATGATAATCTAATGATTCAAAATATATGTTGATTTTAAAACATTTGACATTTTGGTTATTGAAAAATTAAAGATTACTTTGAATCTCCTGTTAATAATAAATAAAGGCAAAATTATTTTCAATTCTTAATAGATAAAGGGTTATCGCTTTTCTACATGATAATTGTTATTCCTATACATATTGAATACTAATAATTTAATTATCTATAGAGAATTCAATATCATAACTCACTCCAGAAAAAATTATTTTAATATAAGTACGAATTGCATAAATAATAAAGGTAGGGGAGGAGGAACTTATGAAAATGGAGTAAATTCAATAGAAATAGTCATTAATGGATATGATTGAAGGATTGAAAATTGAACTAATAATTTAAATGATCTTGTTTTAAAAAGTATGTTTAAACTGGTTATTATTTATTATTATTATAATGAATTAAAAACTTTGGATCTAAATTCCCAATGATATTAAATAGAGAAATGATAAGCCTATCTTGAAATCTGAATTTATCAAACTTAAAAAGAATAAAACAAGAATTTTATATGGTTATGATTAATACATTCTTCTTGCAAAAGTATTTCCAATTTTATCATATCAATTAGAAATCTGATTAGCCACCTTGTAAATATCTAAAACTAGATTTTGAGACTAAATTTGAAATCATTAGAACATAGATACAAAAAAAAGACGAAGAAGATGACTCCCTTGGTGAAATTATTGGTATGATCTTGATGAGAGATTTTGGTTAAGCAGAACATCCAATCTACAAATTGTAAGGCAATGAAAAAATAGTAATTCAATGGAGGGAATTTTTTTAATCAAGAATCAATTAATGGCAATTTCATTCACTCTTTAGAGTATTCAAGAAAATAGGAAAGGGCAATTTTGCATCTGTACTCTATTATTCTAAACTGTTTAGGTTTATTTGGCTGAACGAATAGAAGATGGCGTTTAAATGGCAATTAAAGCTTTTTCAAAATAAGCTGCTTATGCTGAGGAAAATGGAAAATAAGCTATTGTAAATGAATTATCAATCATGAGAAAATTAAATCATCATCATTTAATGAGAATGTATGAAATTTATGAAACAAATAATTCATTATATGTTGGAATAGAATTGTTGTAAGGGGGATCACTTTATGATTTGATAAAGGAAAAAGTGATTCTGTCAACAAAATAAATACAATAGATATTAGTAGGAATTTTATAAGGATTATGTTATATGCATTAAAAAGAAATTATGCATAGAGATTTGAAATTAGAAAATATTTTATTTAAATAATCAAAGTATTGTATTAATAACAATAATAGAAAAATGGATTCAGTTGTTGTGGCAGATTTTGGTTTGGCTACACATGTAAATGAACCTGTTTATTTATATTGTAGATGTGGAACACCAGGATATGTTGCACCAGAAGTCATAAATATGAAAGATATGAAAGGTCACTATAGTTCAGTTTGTGATATTTATAGTCTTGGTCTTGTATTTTACTTATTATTAACTGGTAAACCACCATTTCCAGGTAAAAGTTATGCTACAGTTGTAAAATAAAATAGAGAAGCTAATGTTGATTTTTCAATAAAGTAATTATAAAATGCTCCTAATTTTGCTATTGATCTTTTAAGAAAAATGCTTGAAAAAGATCCTTAAAAAAGAATAACTGCCAATTAATGTTTGTAGCATCCATTTTTATAAGAAATTAATTAAATTATGCTTGATGATAATTAAAATGATTTTATAGAAGAAGGGGAAGAAAATGATTTATGTTCAAGAATGAATGCATTAAACGAAGAGTATTTATTTATTATATTAATTAAAGATCTGTTAAATTTGATGCCTTGAGAAAGAATTAATTAATTAATTCTCCATAATCTTCTCCTGGAGTTTTAGCAACAAAGTAATTAAAATAATAAAAGAATATTGATTCATAGAACTCTTTATAAATGAATTCACCTCTATTTACTGGAAAAACTGATAGTGTTGATTCTATACCTAATATTGGACTTCCTTAAACTAAATAATAAAATTAGTTTTAAGCTTCCCCTATGATTAAACCTTCTCGCTTTAAATAGTATATAAATATCATTTAATATATTTTAGAAATATTCCCCAATAGATATAATAATAAGATAATCCATTATTAAAATATACCAACAAAAAAGAATGAAATTAGTTGTCCATGCATAATATATTTTATTTTTTTAATCTTCTCATAAATTAGATCTAATATTAGATTTTAATATATCTATTAAAATTCATCTAAATTTACTATTTCTTATTTCAATCTAATAATTTATAATAATTAATTTTTTTGATTAAAATATTATTAATATTATAAGAATAAATGTATTAATATCTCATTTTCTTAATGAATTTTCAACTCTGTTGCATGTTTAATCAATTAAGTTGATAAGACTCTCTTCAGTTGATTCTCTTTCACTTTTCTCACTCTATAATTCACCATTTAAATAGTGATTCATTTCATCTAACATTCTGAACATTTAACTTTATGCTTATTCTCTCTATTTCTTCTCTGTAGTTAAGATTTCTTATAATTTTAGAATAGAATCTCCTAATCTTCTAATTGTATCCTAATTTTATTATTCTCTATAAAAATAATAAATTTCAATTACCTTTATCTTCTCTCTTCTTCAACCTCCTCTTACAATTATAACACACGATCCCCAATTTCTTAAGCATTCTTCTCTTCTGTTTCTTCTCTATACTTCTTTTATCTAGCTAAATCCAATCTCAAACTATAAACTTTATCATCAGTATTCTTTATTATTTTCCCTTCAAAATCTTTCCTGTTAACTTTTTCTTATTATAGTTCTCTATTTAAGAAACCTTCCAAACTCTTCAAATCTTTAGATCTTAATTTCTCATCTCCAGCCTATGCATAATTATTAATAATTATACTTCTCTTATTATTTTCTCATTCTATGCTCCTTCTTCAACTTTTTAGAGTTATTCCTTCAATAACTTAAATTTTGAATCGTCTGCCTAAGCTTATTTAGTAGCCTTATCTTCTAATATCTTAACTTTGCTCTCAAATGTTTCCTTTTTAAACTATTGATTCTTAATTATAAATAAATACGGCCTAATCTTCATCAATTGAATGCTATAGATTAGATAATTTTTCTGATAATTGTGAGATTTTGGCTCTGCTAGGTGACAAAGCTCTGTCTCCTCCATAAGCTTAGACATTTGAAACGTTAGAACGTGAAGGCGAATAAAAGATTTTAGAAGCTGACATTATTAATTAGCAATAAAAATTATTTCTAAATATTTTATTATTTTTCCATAAATATCTTTTTAGTGAGTGACTTTTATTCTTAATAAAGATAAAATAAAATTATTTACTAAATCCAATATTCATTTTACTTAAAATTCATTCTATTACCATAACTTTGAAGAATTTAAACCTTACTCTTTTTAACAATAATATCTCTTAAAAATAGTTTATTTAATAATATGAATTAATTAATTATTTATTGTATATCTTCTTTATTTATATATTTATATCTTTATATATTGAATACAATACATTCTATTAATTATTTTTATCTTTAATTAGAGTATTTTTCATTTTATAGTTTTCTCACTAATATGATGTATGTATATATATATATAATATCTCTATGATTGTTAGTTGTAAATTCTATTTAATAATTATTTACATTATTATATGAATTCTAGTAAATATATTAATAAATTATTTTTATTTATTTAGATCATGATTTTCATTCTAGATTAAATTCTCTGTTTTAATATTGATGAATATATTTATATTAATCAGATAATATGAAAAAGAATTGTAAAGTCATTATTATTTAATTTTTTAAAGAAATATTGATAAAATCATTTAATTATAATTATCTTTAATAGATTGAATTATTCTAAGCTCAAAAATATTAGATTATTTGTAAGATAAATTATATATATATTTATTTGAAGATGGTTTCTATAATTATTTTGATTAAAATACTATAATTATTTAATATAAAATAATGAAGCCTATATTAGCAATCGTAAGTGGAAGCACTGCATTATTTGCAGTATATTTTTTAAATGGAAATCAACCATTTTTTGATACAAATTCCAACCTAAAGTGTCCAGTTTTGAAAGATGTACAATCTGTCAAGAATTAACTGAGCAATCCAAAATGATCATGAAATTTATAAATAAATAAAATCAAAGAATTATCAAATAATTTCATACATCTTATGTTTATAAATAAAGCATCATTATGAGATAGGTGTATATTTAATACTAAAATAACTTTTCAATTCTTTCTCTAATTAAAAATTTCATAATTTCACTTAACTATAATCTAATAATTATTTAAGAATAGGATTATTATATCAATTCAATTTGATTAAGAATGAAAATTGATTGTTTTTGATCATTATTTTTGTTTGTATTATCAAATTAATATATATTGAATTCATAAATAAATATTGAAATTTTTGAGTCTTATAACAAATTCTGATATAAATTTATTATTATTTAAATGAAATAAAAAAAAGCTTAAGATTGGGATTGGAATAAGAAGGGCACTCTTATTTATGGGACTATTGTAATAATAACATTTAATTTAAGGATTTTAAACCATAACCCTTGGTTTTAGGGTTTGATATGGATGAAACCTTGATTAAAACTAAAACTGGAAAAAAGTTTGCAAAGGATGCTAATGATTGGCAATGGTGGAATCCAAAAGTAATTCCCACAATTTAAGAATACTCCAAATAAGGATACTCTATAGTAATATTTACTAATCAAAATGGTATAGAAAAGGGACACACAAAAGAATCTGATATAAAAACAAAAATTGAATCTTTATAAAAAGAACTTAAGATACCTTTAGCTGCATTCATAGCTTCAAGTGATGATAATTACAGAAAGCCTCGAGTAGGTAATACTCTAAAATTAAAATTAGATATGTGGACAGATTTCTAGGAATTAACAGGAACTAAAGCAGACATGAAAAAAAGTATTTATTGTGGAGATGCTGCAGGAAGAGTTAAAGGGAAAATAAAAGACTTTACAGATACAGATTTGTATATATTATTATATGATTATTTAAGGAAATTTGCATTAAATTTAGGTTTGATATTTAAGACTCCAGAACAATTATTTTTAAAGGAGGATGTTGATGAAGATTATTCAAAATCACTTGGATTTAATCCTAAGAGTATTCCTAAAGATGGATTCTTATTTAAGGAATAAAATGTTAACAAATTTACAAAACCTGACAAACCAGAAAGTAAGTTTTAGTAATATTTTAAGTGATCATTATGATAGGAGCACCTGGATCTGGTAAATCAACATTTGTTCATAATCATTTAAATGAATATACTAGAGTTAATAGAGATGCTTTAAAAACTAAAGAAAAATGCCTTAAAGTTGCAGAATAGGCAATTTAAGAAAAGAAATATATAGTAATTGACAATACCAATCCAACAGTTGAAGATAGAGCAGCATTTATTAAATTAGCTAAAGATAATAAATATCCAGTTAGAGCCTTTTTCTTAAATGTTTCTAAAGATTTATGTCTACATAATGATACATAAAGAGATACTAATAATTTTAGAGAACACTTTTCAAAAAAAGTTGGAAAAATGCCCATTAACATGATCTATTCAAAAATAAAACCACCTACTTAAGATGAAGGATTTTCTGAAATTCTTACTATTAACTTTTTAGCTGGACCATTTAAAAATAAGGATGATGAAGATGCTTTTTATAGTTTTGTTCATGGAAAAAATTGATAATTATTATAATGATATATTGAATATTATGTTATGTAATCTAAGTGTCTGATTGACTAAAAAGTAAATTAATTATAAAAAATAAATCAAAAAAACAAAAAATCTACTTTTAATAATAATATTTATATGGGAACTTGTGCTGCTCAAAAATAAAAAAGATCAACAAATGATGGTTAATTATAATAAGTAGTAGCTCAAGTTAGACTATCATAAGATTGTAATATAATCTTGAAACAGAGAGCAAGTTAATCATCCCATTTAAATCCTTATAAAAATCCAATTCTTAACAGAAGATTGAAAGAGATTCCAACCTCACCAAATCCATAGACTTAAACAGAATGATATATTATTTTCTTATAAATTGATTTATTTACCTTGTGCGTTATATATAAAGATAAGGTAAATATCAAGAATCAATATGTTTTATAAATTCTTTTATAGTTTAATCAATCTAATAATCATTACTAATTAATATTTTTATAATTTCATAATAAATAAAAATAAATGGGGTTCTGCTATGTGAAAGCTGTAATTAATGTAAGATAATTACTTTACTAAACATAATGATTAAAGACAATATTACAAAAATATTCAAGTAATTAATAAGAACACTATACAAATCAGAATTTTATATTTTATTGATAATTTCATCTCATTTAGAATACGGTTTTAATTTTATACTTGCTATAACAACTAATTATATTACTTAGTGAATAATTAAATTATCATTCTTATATAATAAATAGAAATTCACTTTTAAAGAGAGAATACTTGATAAAATTTTGATTTTTAATTAGATCTGCTTTAATTTATTAGAATTAACATAAAAGCATATTGCGTTTATTTGGTTTTAATTTCTTACAAATATTTATTTCGTTAATACTCAATTAAAATAATTAAAATAAATTCTTAAATGGGAATTTGCATGAGTAACTAGAAATAAAGGAAAGAAAAGTAATTAAAAGAAGGTGAACTAGATTATATAGTAAAACAAATGAAGACTTCTCCTTGTCCAGAAGAAATTTTGAATTAGAGAACGTCTATTGATATTCCTTATAATGCATATAGAAATCCAATTTTAAATCGTAGGTTAAAAAGGAGTACAACCTTGACTACTGCATAATGAAATGATGGTTTTATTTATAGAGTTATTTTTTTAATGTATAACTTAACATAAAAGAGTATAATTAGATTTCAATGAAAAATATTTTATATGTTGTTAATTTTAATTCAATATTTGATTAAAATTCATTCTTATTCATCCTCTTATCTCTTAAAAGAATAAATAAGTCTATTTATTTTTTCATTTAAATTTCCTTTTAGATCAATGTCAAAAAATTCTCTTTTAATTGAATTCTCAACTTATTTTTGTATAATGAGTTTTTAACTCACTTAAATAAAAATTCTTAAGTTGTAAACAATCTTTTATATATATATTAATTGGTTTATTGTTCAAACTCTTGGTCATTGAAAATAATTAAATTAAGAAGATGAAGTATTTTATAATTTAAAAGGAATTTAACTACATTTAACCATTTTATTCTTTTAAAGATACCTCTTATCTAAATACGATTGAGGTAAACAAGAAAGAAATGAACTCTTTTTTATAGAAGTTTTGAAGCATTCTATTGATTTAACTGAATTATCATTTAAAAATGAGTTAAATCAATTTTTAATTATTAAATTACCTATAATATTAAATTCAATTCTACATAAGGAAAGAGTTCTTATCATTCTAGTCTATAATAATATTAGTTATTTGCAATTTTAAGAATATTATACCTGAACAGGAATTTTCGAGTATTTCAATTATTTATGAATTAAATAATTTATTTTTTGATCAAATAACCAATAATTAAATAAATATGAAAAATATAAACCTATTATAACCTTAAACTTTGCATTATATAATTAAGCTAGAGTCTATAATTTTGAAAATAATATAAATTTAATTTATTTTAGTATAAATCCTTATGCGTAATTATTCTTGTGTATATATATATTAATTTTGGAATTTATAAGTTCATTATTTATTATACTAATATTAAAGACTAAACTATTGTGAAATTGTTATCTCCTATTTATTTGTATTTTTTCATATTCACAAAATGGTTGACTTTCTATTAATATTAAATTAAAAAGTTTTTAAAAATTTGAAAACCACTATAATTGAACACACATTTGAACTAAAACCTTCATATTATAACACATTTAATAATTTTATTAAGTTTAGTAATTTAAATAGAATTTTAACAATTATAATAGATTATTCAATAATGTATTAATAAATCTCATTTATTTTAAACAACAGCTTTAATTGACTCAGCCAAATATCTAACATTCTTGGATGTAATTCCAGCCTAATAATTTATTAATATATAATAATACCATTGACATTCTTCCAGATCTAAGTAAATATACATGATATTGTTTTGTTAATAGATCACATTATTCTGGAGTTAAACCTGTAAATGTAAAGAAACCAGTTTGTCTAGTGATATGATCCCAATTTCCTGGAACTTTTAGATTGTCTAATTCTTATTTAAGAAGAGTTCTCATTTTAATAATTCTTCCAGTAACAGTCTTTAATTCTTCAACCCAAGCATTAAAATTTTTTTCATCTGTAAGTATTTTAGCTGCAATTCTAGCACCAATAGCAGGAGGATTAGAACAAATAGTTCTAATAACAATTTTTAGATTGCTTAAAACTCTTGCAGAAATATCTTTATTGGATGTAACAATATGTACAGCTCCTACTCTTTCATTATATAATCCCATATTTTTAGAGAAAGATTAAGCAACAATCATTTAGAATCCAAGTTCTGCAAATTTACGAACAGCAAAAACATCTTTTTCAATACATCCACTTGCAAATCCTTAATAAGCACAATCAAAGAATGGTACTAATCTTCTTTTTTTACAAACATCAGCAATTTATAACCATTCAGCTTCTGTTGGATCAACACCTGTTGGATTATGAGCACAAACATGTAATAAAACAATTGATCCCATTCTTGCTTATGATAAACATTCAATAGTTCCTGCACAATTAAAACCTTTAGTTTTTGGTTCAAAATATGGATATTCGAATTGATTTAAACCAGCTCTTTCAATGACTTGATTGTGATTACTCCAAGTAGGTTTTGATACATAAACATCTCCTGGAATATGTCTTTTAACAAATTCAAATCCAACTCTGAGTGCTCCTGTTCCTCCTAAACATTAAGCTGTGACAATTTATCCAGATGCTATTAAAGGACTGTTTTATCCGAACATCAATTTTTAACAACCCTTATTGAAATCAGCTAATCCTTCTATTGGTAAATATTCCTAGAATATTCATAATACATCATACTTTATTTAATGTTGGATCATTAACTATTTCTTTTTCTAATTTCTTAATTATTTCAAAAACGTAGGGTTTCTCTTCATCTGTACGATATGCACCAACTCCTAAATCTATTTTAGTAGATGATGTGTCTGCTTTATATGCATTAGCTATTCCGAAAATAGGATCAGGAGGAGCTTAGACAATATGAAAGAAGATATCGTCAGAAGTTGGGTTGAACTGATTTTAGAGCAATTAGAGCTTTTACATTTAATATTAGGATACAAATCACGAATACCTTCATAAAGTACAAAAATTATACGCATCATTAAAATACTATGCGTAACATCATAAATAAATTTAATTTTATTTATATTGATAATACGTATTTTCTATAGATTCCAGTTTTAATAATGATGATTGTGTTTTATTTTATGATATTTCATGATACTCAATATTTGTAATCAGCTACAAACAAGGATTCGTTGGATGCTCCACCTAATCCACCTTGATATTTTCCTATTTTTATAATATTTATTAAAATACCTAATTAAGCTTCACTGTTAGCCTTAGCTCTTGTCAATAATGCTTATTAACCTGCTTCCCAATTTTCTTATTTTCCAGCCCATGTCTTCACTGCAGTATTTTGAAGTGCTCTACCATAAGAGAAAGTCAAAGCCCATGGTTTTCTCACTGTGGTCAATTAATTCATAGCATTCAAATTTAATGAAGCTTCTTCTTCAGATTATCCACCTGAAAGGAACTATATACTATAACTATATTTAATTACTGTGACTCCAACAAGAGCAGGGGGAACTGTTCTACTTAAAGCCAAAGCTGTTCTGTATCCAATTTCTTATGGTGTAATCTTGTTTCTATCTGCATTTGTTGAACCTGCAGTAACCATATTGGGTTTAAGAAGACATCCTTCCAAAAAGATGTTGTTTTCATTCAATGCTTTGAATACGGCAGCCAAAACTTTTTCTGTGACCTTTTAGCAGACTTCAATTGAGTGATCTCCATCAGCTAAGATTTCTGGTTCAACAATTGGAACAAGACCATTCTCTTAACAGATTGCTGCATATCTGGCTAATCCCCATGCATTTTCTTAGATGGCTTATTATGATGGTAAGCCATTGCCAATTTTCAAGACTGCTCTCCATTTGGCAAATCTGCATCCAAGTTTATAGTGTTCAGCAGCCATACTAGCTAAGGAGTCTAATCCAAGAGTTGCTGATTCATCTTGTGTTCCTGGAAGTACACCCAAACCCTTATCAACTTTGATTCCTGCCACAATGCCTTTCTCTTAAAGCAATTAGACGAAGTTCTTTCCATCTTTGGTAGCGTGTTTAACCTATAGAAATAATTAATGAATGTAAATACAGTCTCGGAGAAGAGGATGACACCACTAATGTAATTTTCAATGCCTGGAGCAGTGAACAATAATTCTCTGTAGGCTCTTCTGTTTTCTTCGTTGTTTTCAACATTAATTGCGACAAATTTCTTTCCAATTGTTCCTTAAGACTAAACTTTAAAAATTTATGAGATACTTCATCAGCTGCCAAGATTCCTTTTCCTGGAGTGCAAATCTTTTAAGCTGTTTCGGCTAATTCCTTTCTGAAGTCTGGCTTTTATTACATAAAGATATTTAAAATGAATTTATTTATCAATATTTTTTTTAAATCTAAACCTTATGACTTGAACTTTTCTAGATTTTATTAAATAAAATTTTATAAATTAAATATTTTCATACACTTCTGAATTAACATAATTTTATCTCTTTATTATTATATAAATACTCATTTTTCTTCAAAATTTTTGTTTTGTTTCATAATAATTATAGTAAGAATATAATATTTAGGAATAAAATCTTATTTAATTTTTAATACTTTTTGATAAGGTAATTAAATAGAAACCTTAATCTTTAAATGATAATATCAATTTTATAACTAGATGTTTTGTTAATTATGTAAACTATTTTATAAATTAATATATTTTTGGAATCCAATAAAAATGAGACAATCTATTTTAAACAACTATAAATTTCAATCCATAAGTAATTGATTTAATTTCATTCTTATTCTTTCATATTTATTAAAAATAGAAATATCTATCAATTATCAAATATTTTTTTTAGTAATAAAGATTGATGCATATATATTACAATTTTAATTTACTTAAAATAGATATATATTTAAAAGTTTATTATAGGTATTATTTACATTGTTATATAATAATAAGACTTTTCTACTTTATTCAATTATTAGATAATTAAAAATGATTTTCAAATATTTTAGTATTATATAAAGATAGATATTATTCTAAATTTTATTAAAAAATAATTGTTATATGTATATTTATATTGTTCAAATATTATATTTCTACTTTATAGATGGTAATAATTATATATAATAAGATATTTATTTAACAACTTGTATATATTAAAAATGTTTTTCAGAATTGAATTTTGTTTATTATTAAATATTGTAAGTTATTAAATTAGATATTGCCTCCAATATTTTTAATGATTCTAATGTAATTATTATATCATTTAAATATACATTTGATTTAATATATTATGATTACATTTATTTATATAATATATTATGATTACATAACAACAAACATTTTGCTTGTTATTTCTAATCATGACCTGTATATCAGCATAAAAGCCATGTGGTCTATTTATTTACGATGAGGTTGGATGTGTTTCATCAACTTTTGAAAAATGTAATGAAATTTGAAATAAAATAAGGTTCTTGGAATGACTTTTTGAGTGCTTGTTAAGCAACAGAATCCAATAATATTGGATGTTCTGCAACACTCAATAGATTAGCATGCATTAATTAATTGTAATATCCGAACTAGGATTGGGCTTATTGTAACAAATTTAATAATATAATAGGTCGGTTTTCTGGATATTGTCGTGAAATTACAGGTTCAACATCTTGTTCTTCATCTCTTTCAAAACCAGCATGTTTGGCTGTTGTTGGAAAACCTTGTTAATGGTAAGGATTTTGTTTGGACATGACAGGATAACAATTTTAAGAATAATTAGCAAAAGCTTAAACTGACCCTTCATTCATGAATTAAGCCAATATATCAATATGTCAATCAATCACAGGAATTTCTGTAGTTCATTAATCTAGTGCTTTTCCTTACATAATTCAATTAATTGATAAGTATGGTTCAGATAATGCTATGCTAAATAAATACAAAGCTATGTTGGCTATTCCAGGATGCTTTGAAGTTGATGTTAATTTATTAAATCTATTATCTTGTACTGCTGCTGGTTTGAATTCAGCTGCTTGTAAAAATATTACAACTCCAGGAATGAAATGTAAATTTTAGAATGGTTAATGTGTTAATGTAACAGATTTTTCAAATCTATTATGCCAAGATAATATTAATAAGGAAGCATGTCTTAGTATAACAAATATAAAATAACCATGTTTTTGGAGTAATGGATGTTAATTATATACTGGTACGGCAGATTGTAATATTAAAATTTAACCTGTTTCTCCATCATTTTGTGCTGCAATTAATTATGTAGACAAATCTGGAAATGATTAAGAATGTTTCTATTATCAAAAAAAATAAAAATGTAGTGAATTATGTAGATCAAAATCACTTTAAGTAATTACAAGTTAAAAAAGTTGTAATTCTTCAAGTTATAATTGTGTATATTAAAATAATTAATGTCTTTTTAAAGGTGTAAAATCTCAATGTGGATTACTTGGATAAAATTAATTTTCTTGTATGAATGTTAATGAAAATTGTTAATTTGTAAATGGAATATGTAGATAGATTACTGATTTATCAACAGTTAAATGTGGTGATAATTTAAACAAATAAGCTTGTTAAAATATAATAGCTGTTGGATAGGTATGTAAATATGACAAAAAGAATAAAAAATGTGGTGTATTAAAATTAGATTTTTTTGAAACATGTGAAAATCTATAATCTGTAAATGAGAATGCATGTAGGAGAATTACTGATTCAGCATGTTATTGGGTTGATGGAAATTGTAAAATTGCTGTTGCAAAAGTTAGTTGCACAACTAGAGGATTGAATAGAATTGGTTGTTTATAAAGTAATATGGGACCATGTTAATGGAGTAAAGAAGCTGGTATGTGTTAAAATGTTAATGTTGTTGAAAATTAGACATCTTGTGAATCATTAAAATTAGTTAATGAATTTGCTTGTAGAATGGTTTCATTTAAAAATAGTGGATAAGAAGAACATTGTAAATATAATCCAACTAATTACTCATGTTAATTATTTCAAAAAGAATTAGTACCTCCCTTTACAATAAATTGTATCACTTAAGGATTAAATAAAAGAGGATGTTTGGATGTAATAGATCCTACAATAGCATGTAAATGGACAAGTTTAGGATGTACATAACTAACATCTGTGACATCTGCTTGTTCAGGACTAGTTAATGTAACTGCTAAAGCTTGTGCTTTAATTACAGGAGAAGTATGTGGATATGATGAGACATAAACTAAATGTACAACAAGTATAACAAAGACTGCAAAGAGTTGTACATAATTGGTAGTTGGTAAAGATAGTGTTTTGAATGGAAATGCATGTGCTTTTATAGAACCAGAAGGTGATTTATCTTGTTATTTTGATACAACAAATTTGTAATGTAGTCCAGCTGCTACTTAATTAAATAAAATTTATTGTGGTAAATCATTCCCAAATAAATTTGCTTGTCTTTCAATAACTACTCAGGGATAAAGATGTTAATGGAATACTTTAAAAAGATTATGTGAAGAAATTAAGATGCCAACATATGAATCATGTGAATATTTAACAGATGTTAATGATATTACTTGTCTTGGTTATGAAAATGATGTAGAATATTACATAAGTGAATATTCATTTTGTACTAAACCAGGACCTACCGATACAAAAAATAAATGTATTTAATATGTACATACTCTTGGTGACGAAGCTAATTGTTTTTCAGGTAAGTTTCCCAATTTACATGCTTGTGTTGCAAAAACTGAAGGATAAAATTGTTACTTTAATACTACTTTATTTTAATGTTTGAAATTAGAAGATGCTGATAAACCTACAATTCTAGATTAAATAATGTGTAAATAAGCAAATAAAGATTTATGTCTATAAGTTACTACAAATGATTAAAATTGTTAATGGGATGATACTGAAAAAAAATGTTATAATCCAGATAAATGTAGTGAAGCTTTCGATGCAACCACTTGTAAAGCCGTTAGTTAACCTTGTGTTTTCGTTGATAATAAATGTATTCTGATTAAAAGTTCAAATGTTAAGGATTATAAATGTGCAGATGCAAATGATAATGAAAAAGCCTGTTATAAAGTTGCTGGTGAATCTTGTTCATTTGTTGGTGGTTCATGTAATCCCTTAACTTAAGATCTTGATAATGATATATGTACAACATATACAGATAATGTGAATGCTGTTTCTTGTGCAAAAATATAGAAAGAAGGTGAAAAATGTAAATATAATAAAATTACTCATCAATGTATTTCAACTCCAACCTAGTATGCTGAATGCAATATTGGATAAAATGAGTAAAATTGTTTACAAGAGAATAGTTGTGAATTCAATTAGTTTTATTATGTTATTTAGGGAGATGCTTATGTTGAAAAACCTTTGTTTTAGTGTAAAAAGATAGATAGTTCTTGTTAATATGCCACTAGCAGTGATAATTGTATGTAGGTATAGAGTTGGTGTGTTTGGGATAAAGTTAATTCACTTTGTCTAATTGCTCCAAATGTAGAGTGTTTAGAATATAACAATCCTAATTATGAATACAGTTCATATACTTGTGGAAGTGTATGGGCATCTATTGATACCAAAATATGTGCATAAAATGAAACATCAAAATTATGTGAAGAAATAGTTGCTGTTAGCTGCAAATCTACAACTGATTCATTAGATTGCAAGAATGTTAAAGCTGATTGCAAATTTGAAAAATCTAAATGTATTTAAAATCTTGTGAAAGCAAAGGTATGTTCAGATAATTATACATAATATGCTTGTTTGACAGGATCCCTTTTTTGTTAATGGGATTTAGATAGTTTATTATGCAAAGACTCTGAAGATGAAACTGAAATTAAATGTGTTTCAAATGATACACCAGAATCAGAGGTTGAAGCAATAGTTTCAGCTGAACTATGCTATTGGGAGGGTTGTTATTTGAAAAAAGATACTTTAAAATGTACATCTGATACAAGCATACCTACAGAATGTAGCGAAGCAGTATCACCTTTTGGATGTAAATCTCTTCCAGATGAAAAATACTGCTATTGGGATATTGATTCAATTTGTAAATCATAGACTGATCTCACTTTAGCTAAAAATCTTACTTATAAATAGGTTGCTAATTCTTAAAGAACTTTATGTTTATCACCATAAAATGAAGGAGAGTTGACTGAATGGTGGGAAGGAGAGTGTTATTCAGTTGATTCGAATGTCTCAAGATGTTAAGATGATATTAATATAAGAGCTTGTGAAGCAGTATTGAATGATGAACCTATTTAATTGTGCATTTATAAGGATAATAAATGTTAATATGCAGATCCATAAAATACATTATGTACAGATACAATAAATGTTTTCACTTGTGTTGCTATTACAACTCCAGGATAGTTTTGTATTTGGTTAGGATAGTAGTGTTCTACATTAAAGGATGATGGATTCCCTCTTGGTAAATATTCAAATGTAAATTCAAACACTTGTACAAAAACATATACAATTGATGGTTAACCAAATAGTAAAATAACTAATCCAATTGGAGTTAAATTTGGAACTGATGGTTGTATATAATCTGATCCATTAGTTGATTTATGTGATACTCCTGGTTTAAATTATTATGGATGTTTATAAACAAAGGCTGGAGCATGTACTTGGAATGGATCTAAATGTGTTCCTTTTACTTAATTTAATGGTAAGATTAAATGTTCAGATTATTTAAAAGTATCTGCTGGTGTTTGTGAATAAGTACCATCTTTAAAATGTACTTGGAATAATTTTAATTGTATTGATGCTACTAATTAATAATAATGTACAGATAGTTTAAGTTAAGAAGCTTGTGTTTAATAAATTACAAATTCATGTTAATGGTTAAATAATAAATGCATGCCATAAAATATAATTACAGGTGTCACATCTTGTGGAGATTATGGTACATTTTCAACTGCTGAATATTCTTCAGTAATGAGTTGTTAAATGATTTCATTTGGAGGATTACCTTGCAGACATACAGGTAAAGGTTGTACTACTTAAATTGATCTATTAGTTGCAAAATGTAACTCTCCAGGTCTTAATGATATAGCTTGTACAATGATAACTTTAGAAAAATGTATTTATTTAAATGGGTAATGTTAAATTTATTAACCAACATCATCTTAATGCAGATAATTAATTAATGTATCACCTTAAGTATGTGCAGATATTTCAGATTCTACTTAACTTTGTAAATTTAGCAAATTAAATAATAAATGTGTTTCTGTTTATAATTATGATTTATGTTCAAGTCCAGGAATCAATGAATTTGGATGTAATTCTCTTAGTGTATGTAAATGGCATAAAGATGAAAAATATTGTACATGTTCATCCATATTATAAGGAGTTAAATTTTGTGCAGATTATGATTATACAACATGCAAAATATAATCATAATAGTGTTTATGGGATGATACTTCTTAAAAATGTAGAGCAAAACTCTGTTCAGATTTATCAACTTCTAATTGTACCAATGTTACTATGAATAATTAATATTGTTATGTAACATCTAAAAATACATGTCGTGGAGCTAAAACATGTAATGAAGTTAGAAATGTAACTGATTGTACTAAATATTTAATAAATGGATAATATTGTCAACCATATGTTAATGATGTTTGTAGAATTAAATAATGTATAGATAATTTAACAGATGCTTAATGTAATGGATCTTGTTATTGGACTGGTTCTTATTGTGCTTAAAGATTATGTTAAACATTTACTAAAAAGGAATAATGTATGGGTACCTATGAAGATGGTACTTGCTTTTGGTTTAATGGATTATGTATTGGTTTAGATTCTTGTTATAAATTATAAATGTATTATGATAATCCAGATAATTTGAAAAAGGATTGTAATACTGCCAAGATCATGGGAAATCAATGCTATTGGTAACGAGCTTATTAATATGCAGATTCATATGAATGTTCTCATAATTAATGCAAGTATACATATTATTTATTAATTAGACCTTTGGGATCTAGCAAAATTAATTGTGTTGGTACTGAAATTAATGATCATGTTTGTATACTCTCTTAAGATTTTCAATGTTTAAGATGTGAAGATGTTGTAGATAGATGTGAATGTTCAAAATATAGTGGAAATTGTTATTATAGTAATAATAAATGTAATTCCATTTAATGTGCTTAATATGTTGAAGACTCTTGTGGTATACTTTGTTTTCTATATTATATAGCTTTGTTCCCTGATAAATGTATATGGCATTCAGGATCAAAGATGTGTTTGATCATTTGTGCTAAATTAGATTAAAAAAATTGTGAAGCCAGATAAAGTGCTACATCTCAATGTTATTGGGATTCTAAACTTGAAAGATGCAATTCTGGACTTCCTAGTAAAATTGTTATTGATACTGTCACTCCATAAATTGAGGCTGCCAATATTACAATTACAACTTCATCCTCATATTCATAAATAGCTATGATCTTTATTGGATTATATTTATTGGATTGACAATTTATATGAATATATATATATTATATATCTATTTCTGTGAAACTAACTCATTGTATTTTATTCAATTCAAATGGCTTGTTGTCCTGATGTTTATTTTTTTTCTATTGTCCCTTCTTTCTCCACATTAGTTGATTACCCAAAGGAGATTAAAGCTTTAATTAATATTCAGTTATTTCTTACATCTTCTTATATTTACAAATCCGCTTAATATTCACTGTCATCCTAAACTTATTATTCTACATTAATAATTAATTATTACACTCTGAATTTGGAGCTCCTCTCAATAAGATTATTATTGCCTCAGCCAAATCAAGTTCTGTGTCACTCTTTGGATATTATTTTAAAAGATCATATATTCCTTAATGCTCCTACAAAACAAACTCTACTATCACAACCTATACTTACATTTCAAAGTGCATTTCTCTAATTGTGTGATCATATTCAGTCTATTCATTTCATTAATAAGATAAAGCAATTTTGCTGATGGTTATTCAAAATGATCCATATTAAATATAATAATTATATTAATTTTTGTTATTTATTTTTTTTTTAACATATTCTTTTGAATAATATCTAAATAAATTAATCATTATCTAATGTAATTAATAATTAAAATTATCTAATAATGTATTAAATATATTGTATAATCCTTTAATGAAATTCTAGAAAAAGTGGAGGACACCAACATTCTAAATCCCATATAAAATATTATATAATCTAATAATTATTTATATAATGTATTATCAATTTCCTTTAAAATAGATGTCTACAAATAAATAAATTAACTTATTTTGTTAGAGAATATTCTATTTTTTTATTTCCAGATGTATTTATTTTCATTTAAATTAAAAAAAATATATTTAAACAGTTCACCTATTTCAAATTATACTATTCACTAATTTATTAACAATTTTATGAATCTTTATAGAGTAATCTGATTTAAAAGGTCAACTTTAGTTATTTTCTTTTTTATAATGTATTTTCATCAAATAAATTTTAATAAAAAAATAATAATATAAAATGAAAACTTATGAATTTGAGTTGAATAATAAAAGGAATATTTAAAGAGAAGAACTCTTTATTTTAACTATAGTTGAAAGGGTCTTAGCAGGTTTCTTATCTTCAATATCTTTTGTTGATCAAGCTTAATTTTGTGAATTATTATAGAAAAAGCAAAAGGAAAAAAAGTTGATTTAACCATTACATTAATAAATCTTGGGAACAATTAAAAGAAATCTATTGAAGAATTAAACACCAATCAAAGATCTTAAAATAAATTATGAAATTAGAACTGTCGTTTCATAATCAATAGATTCAAGAAAAAACTATATATGTTTATCTAGTAAGAAGAAGTAAGATAATAAAGAATAGTAAACAACTGAAATAGAAACTCAATTCTATGCTCAACCACAATCGGTTAAAAGTAGAAGATTTAGATTAGATAAAACAAGTAATCAAGATGGGCATAGATTACTTACTAATGGAAGTTATCAATAGAATGATTCAACAACAACAAGAGTTATTAATCCATTTTAACTGAATAGTCCTAATAGTACTTAAGCTGATAATCAACTAAAAGAATTGTCAATTTAAAAATAGTTTACAGCTATCGATAGTAATTTTAAGAATAGAAATTAGAAGCCTACTATCAATATTGTAAGTTAAGATGGGGAGATAGAAAAATAAGAAGATTTTACAAAATAATTAGGTAAAAATTATAAAAATAATTTCAACGATTAATCAATTAAAGGAAATAAAAGTTATGAAAACATAGGTTAAAAACATAATCAACCATATTTGGAACCTTAATTGAATTTATAAAATATGAATGGTTAATCCAAGATAGAGATTGTAGATTCTAATTTAATAAGTGAATCAATTAATCCATAATATTCTTAAGCATAAAGTTATTCTAGAAAACAATCTTAAAATTTTCCTATGGGTAGTGATTCTAGTAAAATGGATTTAAAAGAGAAATTATAAAAATATTATAGTAATGATGATGATTTTAGTTCATAAAGAAGACCTATGACTTAAAGTGATAGGTTGAAATAAATAACATATGGTACTCAAACAGAATTACCTTTTTTGGATAAGGATGTTAAATAAAAGTAACAAACAATTTAGAGTGCAAAATGTTTAGATAAAAATCAAGAACAAATGTATTTAAAGTAAAACAAATAAGATAAAAATATATAATAATAGAAATCTGAATATATTAAGTAAGATGAAACAATAATAAAGAGTGAATAGAGCAATAATTTAATGAGTCCAAAGGTTGATGAAGTATAAAAAAACCCTATTTTTCTATCTCCTCCATAATCTTCTCGAACATTACAATCAGGTAAATCAACAAAAACAAAATTAAAAACTTTGTAATCAAATGAATAAAAAATAACAGAAATTTAATAATATTAATAATAAAATTCCATATCTAAAGAGGAGTCTTAAATTTCATCATTAGATCAATCTTTATAAAAATAAGAGAAATTACATTCTCATTTAAATGCTATTAGACCTGCTACTACTCATATTGAAGCAAATATATAATAAGATTATCCATAATTTTAGACTCATGATAATATTGATTAATAATCATAAAAATATCAATAGATATAATTGATGTAATAAATTAGTATGACATCAATTATGCATGATGATGAACATTATTCAAATTAAAGTCAATAAATAAATATATAGGTAAATTAATGTGAACCTACATAAAATACCAATAATGTAATTATTGAAGAANGTAAGTTAAGATGGGGAGATAGAAAAATAAGAAGATTTTACAAAATAATTAGGTAAAAATTATAAAAATAATTTCAACGATTAATCAATTAAAGGAAATAAAAGTTATGAAAACATAGGTTAAAAACATAATCAACCATATTTGGAACCTTAATTGAATTTATAAAATATGAATGGTTAATCCAAGATAGAGATTGTAGATTCTAATTTAATAAGTGAATCAATTAATCCATAATATTCTTAAGCATAAAGTTATTCTAGAAAACAATCTTAAAATTTTCCTATGGGTAGTGATTCTAGTAAAATGGATTTAAAAGAGAAATTATAAAAATATTATAGTAATGATGATGATTTTAGTTCATAAAGAAGACCTATGACTTAAAGTGATAGGTTGAAATAAATAACATATGGTACTCAAACAGAATTACCTTTTTTGGATAAGGATGTTAAATAAAAGTAACAAACAATTTAGAGTGCAAAATGTTTAGATAAAAATCAAGAACAAATGTATTTAAAGTAAAACAAATAAGATAAAAATATATAATAATAGAAATCTGAATATATTAAGTAAGATGAAACAATAATAAAGAGTGAATAGAGCAATAATTTAATGAGTCCAAAGGTTGATGAAGTATAAAAAAACCCTATTTTTCTATCTCCTCCATAATCTTCTCGAACATTACAATCAGGTAAATCAACAAAAACAAAATTAAAAACTTTGTAATCAAATGAATAAAAAATAACAGAAATTTAATAATATTAATAATAAAATTCCATATCTAAAGAGGAGTCTTAAATTTCATCATTAGATCAATCTTTATAAAAATAAGAGAAATTACATTCTCATTTAAATGCTATTAGACCTGCTACTACTCATATTGAAGCAAATATATAATAAGATTATCCATAATTTTAGACTCATGATAATATTGATTAATAATCATAAAAATATCAATAGATATAATTGATGTAATAAATTAGTATGACATCAATTATGCATGATGATGAACATTATTCAAATTAAAGTCAATAAATAAATATATAGGTAAATTAATGTGAACCTACATAAAATACCAATAATGTAATTATTGAAGAATCAATAGAATGTTCTCCTATATATAGAATGCCTAATCAATAACATATTACACCATCTTTCAACAATCTAAAATTGGAAGATCAAAAATAATAAAGTGCATCTTAATTTCATTCTTAACAAAGATAATAAATATCTCCATCAGATAGAAATTAAGCATCACATTCTTAAATACCTTTATAATCAAATCAATTTTCAACCAATTAAACTTAATCTAGGATGTTGATTCCAATTAATAATACATAAAATAGTACTAAAAATAATAAATCATCATCTAAATAAAAGACTTTAGTAAGAGAGTAATAATAATAGTAATAATAAAGATCAGATGAAAGCTAACCTGAAAGTAAATTAACAATAGAATCTTCTTAAGGTGAGAAATCAAATAGATCAAAGGCAGTCAAAAATACAAAGTAACTCAAATTACCTGTTGCAGCAGCTGCTTTAAATTTTGCTAGACGTAAATCTTCAAATTAAAATTCACCTCATGATGTATGACTAAATTTAATTTAAATTAGCCAAAAAAAATTGAATAACAAGAAAAAGAAAGATAAAGATAAATGGAATATTAGAAATAACTTGAAAAAATGAAATATGAAAGGGAATTAATGGAGTAATATAAGATTCCTGATGATATGCCATTATCATAAAAGCGTGCTATTATTGAATAGTTAATTAATCAATTAGAATCAATAGCAGATCAAGATGTGAAATATTAGATTATGTTATGTATTATATTAAATATTATTTATTAGACAAGTAACGTTAAGAACAAATTTAAAATGCAGCAAAATAAGAATTAATATTTAATAATAATTTAGATAATTGTTATGATGAATTGGGACACCTTTCAGAATAAAAGTTGAAATTATTGGGAAAAGATGATTCAAATAAGATTTAGTTTTTAAAATTTGAAGATTAAGTTTAAACATCTTTTCCAGGTTAATAGAAGGCATTTTCATAAGATATCAATTCTCCAATAAAAAGGAATTTGAAATTTTTAAGTAAATTAGATCCAGTAGAAATAGAAAAATAAATGAATAGAATTAAAGAATTTAAATAAGAAACAGAAATGTTAAAATTGTTCTAATCTTTTAATTCTTAATATGATAAAGAAGTAATATAAATAAAGTAATTTGCAGGTTAATCAATGCGATCTTGATTTTCCAACAGAAAAAGATCGATAATATTCAATTGATCATTAAAGAGGAATATTACCCAAAACAACGTATAAGAGAAAAAAAACTAAGAAATAAAGCACAAAATTGATGATAAGTACTTACAGAGTAGATCCTAAGAAATTAGACATGGTATTATAAACAACTGACAAAATAAAATCGGTTGGCTAATATTTATTATGATTATAGATTATTCTCAGTATATGATATAATATATTAATATTGAGATAAATTATAAATAATTATGATTTCTCTATTGAAAGTAACTAATCTCATCATTATCATCGTTATATTTAATGTTTAAATATATTCAAAAGTATCATTTTATAGATTATTTTTATAAATTTACATCTAAATATTTATTCATATCTTTTAAGTAATTAAAATGAAAAATTTGAGATATCTTATTTTTCCATTCCTATATAAATCTTCATTGATTAAATTATCTACTCACAATAGAGAAGACTCCTATTCAAAAGTCTATAGTAATTAGAAATAATACAAGATTGAGTAAAATTATTTTGATAATATACATTAGACCACAAACAATAATTTTTAGTGGTAATTCTAATACATAATTGGCTAATGAGGTGGCATAATGCTTAGGTGTACCTCTTGGAAAAGCAATTTTATAGAGATTTGCTGATGGAGAATGCAATATTTAAGTTAAGTTATTTATAATGGTTAGGTTTTAGATAATGTAAGAGGAAGAAATGTATTTATCATTTAATCTACATGTCCTCCTGTAAATGAGAATCTAATTGAATTATTTTTATTTATAAGTGCTTTAAGAAGAGCATCTGTGAAAAAAATAACAGTCATCGTTCCTTATTATGGATATTCAAGACAAGATCATAAATTAATGAAAACTTAATCAATTGCAGCTGCAGATATAGCTAGAATGTTAGAATAGACTGGTATAGATCATCTTGTTTCAATTGATCTGCATCGAGGACAACTTTAAGGTGTTTTTTCTACAAGTGTCCCTGTAGATAATCTTTCACCTTATTTAACACTCATTCATGAATTTAATAATCATCCCTTAAAATTAAGTCCACCCAATGATTTGACTTTAGTTTCACCTGATTTTAATGGTATAACAAGAGCAAAAAAACTTTAGGATGAATTAAAGATAGCCTTCCCAAATCTCAAGACAAGTAAGAATAAATTAATATTTCTTAATAGAACTGGCTATGATATATAAATCTAAATATCCAGTTACTGAAGCAGAAATTAGTCTAGTAGGAGATGTTAATGGAAAAAATTGTCTGATTATAGATGATATAGTAGATTCAGGAAATACACTAAGTAGAGCAGCTGATATTCTGAAAAAGGAAGGAGCTAAATCTGTGATGGCCTATGCAACTCATCCAGTTTTTTCAGGAAAAGCTGCTTTAAATTTAGGAATTTCAAATTTATCCAAGATTTATGTAACTGATACTATACAAGTTAAAGAATTAGATAAATAAATATTATAAGACAAATTAAGTGTTTTGAGTGTTGCACCCTTATTAGCTGAAATAATATACAGATTGTAAAAAAAAGAAAGTTTACATGAACTTTTAGGTGCACATAATAATTGAGTTCAATTTTATTGTTAATCTAAACATTTTAATAATTCTGATTTTGCATTTTCTAATAGCTATTTCACTTCATTAATTGATTTATCTGTATTGAATCTCTGAATACACAATATACCTTGATTTAATGCTTTAAGTAAAAGTTATGCTTAATTAATTTAAACTTCAATAGTGTCTTATTATTTTAAATTAATTGCTTCTAACAATCTAATTTATAATTTTATTTACTTATTGTTTTCATCAGGAAATTCAGGATTTTTAACGTTTTAAAATATTTTAGGAGATTTGCTGACATCTCTACTTCCTAAAAATGTAATCAAAAATTAATCCTAAAGCAGGGCTTGCTCAGGATTTGCAGATTACAATACATTTTTAATACTAAAAGCTGCTTGAATCAATTATGCTAAATTTTCAACAGGAGGGTATTTAAGAAATCTTTTCAAACATGCATTTGGATCATCTTTCTCAAGTACTAAAAATATTATATTATCTAATACTTTAATTTCGAACATAAACAAACATAGCAATAACAATACAATCAACTAATAAAAGCCATTATTTATCCTCAGTAAGATAATAATCATAAAATATAGCATCCCAAACTTTTAAAGAATCTTCAACATGAAATTCTCTTGTAAACATACATCTAAAAATTAATATAAATTTATATACCTAATCCATCTCACTAAAAATACTGATAGTTCTACATCTTATACTTTTAAATGCTTAAATAGTGTAATATCAATTATTTTCAAATATTAATCATAGATTTTCTAAATTCTATTCTATATTATAAGTTATTATTTTTTCTAACTTTCTGGTGTATGTTTAAACATATCAACATGAGCATTCATGATTTATTCAAATAATTAAAAAATATCTTCTTCTGCAAATTTGGTATCAAAGAATATTGCAATTTATTTCTTATCATCATTATCTTCTAAGTTATTGAAACCTTATGCTTCTGTAAAATAGACTTCAATTACATTTGCTGCTAATTCATTCATTCCTTATCTATATGAGATTGTAGGATTCTTAACACTCCATATAAATAAAATGTTTGACAATAAATTCTTAATCTTTAAACTTTAAAATAACTATTTATCTTAATGAGTTCTATCAACATCCTTCTTAATTTCACTTTTTAAGTGATTAATCTCAAAAAAGTTATTCCAAACCTTAATTTTATTTATTTATATATTTACATTTGGTTTTTGTTATTCTTATTAATTTTATAATAAAGGATTTCTGATACTTCTTTTTGATTCTTTCTTTGTTTCTGCTTATAAATATTGCTTGCTTAAATTTTAATAATCTAATCTATTTTGATTCAGCTTGTTGATTTTCTATTCTAATGAATCATTTATTTTAAAAATCCCTAAAAATAATCTCCATACACTAAATCTTAATTTCATTGAACTTAATTGACAATTTAAAATTAGTTCCTAAAACTCATTAATATTCAAATTCTCATTCAGGATATACTTTTTAAAATTATTTAGATCAAATGATGGTGTAATGTCAGGTCTTAATAAACAATAACTCTTACATGTTACATGAATAATTAGATAAATCTAAATTAATTTAACCTTTTTTATTGTTCCTAGCTCCACTTATGAGTAAATCATCATCATCTTCTCCAATATTATTGTTCATTATTAAAAATTAATAATAGCTTGAAATGTGTTAAAATATTATATATTATGAATTATTTACCACTATATAATTTTAGAAAGAACATCTGTAGAATTATTATTATCATTAATTAATTAGAAATTGAGATGTAGTTTGTATTTAAGGGGAATTAACATAAAAATTGTATAATCAATTTTTAAATATCTAATTGATTGACTTATAAAAAGTGTTTAATTAATTCAAAAATAAACCGAATAGTAGGATTTGACAATTCTATATATAAAGATTAATACAATATAAAGAGAATATTTTAATTAATATATATTTATAATTATGATTAAGCTGGATTTTGTATATAATAAACTTAAAAATGATAATACTAATAGAAAATGAATAGTAATAACAAAATAGAATTTTGAAAGAATTCAACAAAAATATAATCATAATCAATATATTTAAAACAGAAATAGTACAATCAGAGACTTCAAATAAAGATTGCTAATATTTTTTATTATTATATTGGATATTATTAATTTAATTTATTAAACATCTTTATATAATCTTTTTAAATATCAGAAATTAAATAATAAAAAAGAGATAATAATTTAGAAAATAGAAACATTTTATGCATTAATCAAGATATTTAAGTATTTGATTGATATCTGAATTTATTAATATTTGATTTAAAATGAGTGCTTAATAAAAAAAACTTTTAGAACTAAAATAAAAACAAGGAGTAGCTACCTTTCATAGAAGTTCTCACTAATTACTTCCTTTAAATAATTTGAAATCTCATAAAACAATTCATGAAGTTGAAGTAATAAGAGGATCTCTAAGAACTCTCCCAGATATTAATTCTAGTCCTAAAATTGAAGCATAATCAAAGTGGTCAAAACTGTAATAAATATCATAATCATACCGATCACCAAATAGAAACATTGTAATCACTAATAAACGTACTTCCATTTAAAGATTGTCCATAACATCATAATTAAAAAACCTTGTTAAATTTACAAGCTCAATGTATGTATTTAAATTAATTAAAGATAACTTGATGGTCTTGATCCTGCAAAAAATATGGTAAAAAACAGCGATAGTGTAGTAGTAAATATGTAAAAGAGCCAAAATATTGACTATCTTGTGGTTGGACTGGGAGATAGTCATGGCAATTTGGGTATACATTTTTCAAAAATAATCACTCATCGTGCATTAGACTAAATCATACAAGTTATCAATAATACACCTATAATCGGATTGAGTTTGTCAATTCATTTTAGTTTCTAAAATGTTTACTAACAAGTAGAACAAAATCTGGTATTTATACAATTTAAAACTTTTAGATTGAGTAAACGGATTTTGATGTAAAGAATAATGGGTGTTCATTATTATCAATGATTATAGTTAATAATTCGATATATTGTGCTAATTTAGGTGATTCAAAAGCTGCCTACTTTTATAAGAAAGATTCTGATCCAAATGAAATTAAAGAAGTAAGAAAGTTTGTTTAGAAAAATATCAATTTTGTTCATGACACAAATAATAGTAAGGAAGTTTAGAGAATACTAAAAAAAGGTGGCAAAATAGATTAAGCTATCTATAAAGGTAGAAAGAGTGGAAATTTGAAAGTCTGGGCTCCTAAATAGAATTTACCTGGTGTTAAATTAACTAGATGTTTTGGTAATATGAATGGGAAAACAGTTGGAATTAGTGCTGAACCAGAGATTACAGAATTTAAAGTACCTAAATCAGGATATTTATTAATTGGATCAACAGGATTGTGGGAAATTATGGATGTTTTAATCATCGATTAAATTTTAGATGCTCATTTTCCTCCAACTTGCTAGGAGGATATTGATTAAGCTATAAAAGAGATTGGTGAATAGACAAAAAAATATTGGGATTAAGATGGAGAAGGTTTAATTGATATCTCATTAATTTTGATATATATATAATTATGATTTAAAATTTTATCAACCTATTTCTATTTCAACGAAATCTTTCTTCTTGGTAAGCCTCCTAATAAGGTATGTAATCAAACTTTTGATTTTCAAAATATTTATCCACTGTTTCTCTATCTAATCCTTTCGTTTCAATCACTTTATATTGGATAATCAAGTAACTAATTTTTTAATTAAACGTATATAATAATACGCTATAAAATTAAATATGGAGAATAAGGCAAAGCAATAAGATATATCATATGAGGCAATAATTGGAAACATCTAGGCTACTAATCCTCCAGACATCCAATTCATTAATCCACTAGCACTAACTCCTAAATCTGGTAATATTTCAGTTAAATATATAAATAATAATGGACCCTAAGAGAATCCAAAACCAAATAGATATGAGAATATACAAATCACTATTGAATATTATCCAAATGTTGTATCCCCTATATTATTTGACATCACAAATGTTAACATTAACAAACTTATAAAACACCATAGAGTTCCGTACTTTAAAATAGGCTTTCTAATTTATATTATTATTTTAATCATACCTTCCAAATTACTCAATTATTATAGTTGCTAATAAAGCTGTAAATACTCCAATAAATCCAACAATTAAATTTAAATAAAACACTTTTTGTGATGCTTGACCAGTCACCTAAGTTTGACACACATATTCTATACTTAATCAAATATTGAAGAAGAATAAAACATAATACCATTTATACCTCCTAATTATTATAAAGAGGCAAGAGAAATTCCAATAAACAAACGAAATCTATACTTCGATGAAAATAATTGATTAAAAGTGATTCTTTATTCTGTTGATTTTTATTGTTATTAAAATTGTTAATACATTTTTTCTCCCTTTTCTTTGTATATCATTTCTAATACTCTATGCAATTACTGACTTTGCTTTAAATCAATTGATACTTCAAATTGTATTTAACACAATATACAGGTGTTTCATACTTATACACAGTTGACAATGCACTAGATCTTACTATACAGGGTATAATAGGTAAATATAACATCATCTTGTAAAATGGAATAGGTAATGAAATATCTTAAAAGTAGGACATCAAAAATGAAAACAATATTCCTAAAGTTATAAACAATTGATTCATTGTTCCCATAAAACCTGCCTTCTCTTTTGGTGACATCTCATTTATATATACAGGTACTAGAACTCCATTAAGTCCTAATACAACACCAACAAAGAATCTAGAGGTCAAAAGAGCATATTTGCTTTAATCTATGAATGCTATCATTATAGCCATTATCCCAAAAAGATCAGTTATTTAGAGACTCCTTCTTCTTGAAAATATTCCCATTAATATTGATGCTGATATAGAACCTACACCTCCTCCTATGGTTAATAGAGCTAAATCAAAACGGATATAAATTTACATTGCATCAAACCTTTTGTAACAGCATCATCAATTTTATAAACATTATAGACTTCTTAACTTATTACATTCATCTGACCCAAACAGAATCCCATAAATAAACTACCCAAACAACAATTTAGAATTACGAGTAATAATTTATTCATTAAAATAATGTATACTAACTAAAGTGTGTATATTCCAAAGGCTATAGGTGCAAAAGAATATGCTTATGATGAAGAAATTAATATACCACATAGATAATAAATGGAAGATTGTATGGACTGAATTTCATTTAGTTTATTTTATAAAGGACAACATTTTAGAAGATGGAAGTCAATCTATTTTATTTGGAATCATGGATGGTCATGGAGGATAAACTGTTGCTAAGTTTGTATCCACTAACTTCCCTAAAGTTTAACATTCATTAACTATCTCAAGGTTTTTCTTCAGTTACATAAGCAAAAATAAAGACCATTTGATAAATTACTTTAGGATACATTTGAAAAAGTATGAATCAATTTATTTTTTAAGATCAATGAATTGGTTAAATAAGAATGTGATTCAAATGAAATTGGATCAACAGCTAGTATAGGGTTTATGAGACTTGAAGGAGCCAAAAGAGTTTTATATTTTGCAAATGTTGGAGATTCTAGAGCATTTTTATTTGGGGATTAAGTTGTGCCATTAACAACAGACCATAAACCTAATAAATAGGGAGAAAGAGCTCGTATTCAATAACATTAGGGAACTGTGTTAATGGATAGATTAAATGGAATTTTAGCTATTTCTAGAGCTTTTGGAGATCACAGTTTTACTTAATATGGATTAATTTGTACACCGGATTAAGTTAAAATAGAATTGAGACTTTCTCATAAATGGGTAGTTGTAGCATCAGATGGTTTGTGGGATGTTGTAAACGAATAGGTATCTTTTAGATTAATATTTATCAAGGAGTTGTTGTAGTTCATAAGATACAAAGAATCAGCTGATGAAGTCACTAAGTTCTTGTAGAAATTAGCTCAAAAAAGGTAAACAAAAGATAATGTCTCAATTTTGTGTTTGAAAATTCAAATTTGATTTATATTATATAGTAACAATTAAGTGTATACATTTCATTAAACAAATAATAATTAACTAAAAATGTTGCAATATTTAGGTTGTTGATATTTACATCTTTGTAAAAGTTAATTAAAATTTATTAGAAAATTGAATTCCTTGATAAAATACCATATTTTACAGATTTTTATTAATCATCAATATTATATTTCTATTTTATTATTTAGTATTATTAAAATGTTCAATTAAAGACATAAATTCAAAATATTAATAAATAGAAATTATTATAAAATAAAATTTAATTATTGTTAATTAATTACATTCTTGTTTGTTCAATGCTGTTTTGCTTGTGATCTCTAAAAACAATAGAGTTTAAGTTTTATGTTAAATCATCAAATATAAATGATACAAGTATAGTAAAGTGCAATTGTTAATTTTTGTTAATTTTCAAATGCATTATAATACATGATTTAAATTGAACGGCTTATTTTTTCAATCTTTTAGGTTATCCACAAATTTCTTTTACACTACTATGATTAATTATTTTTCTCTTAAGAGGTCGACAAACTTAGATTATTTTTAAGAATTTTTCTGATTCTTTAAGAATTTTCATAATAAAGTATGAGATTTAAGCGCTTTGGCTTAAGTGAGCTGTTTAAAAAAATATCATAAATAATATGAATAAGAATCATTATTCTACATTAGATATATTGTTTTTTTATAAAATATTTTATTTTCCTTTATATTTAATATGATTTTGATAAATATTAACATCAAGGATGGGTAAATTATATGGATTACTTAAAAAATATAGATTATATATAATATGGAATTTTTAATAATATATAAGTGTTTTTGGTATTTCCACATTAAATTATTAGACTCAAAATGTTTAATTCAGTTCTAGAAACAAGAGGTGCTCATAGGATAAAATTGGGTATTATGGCATTCTCAGTGATAACAATCAGTCTCTCTATTGTTTTTTTAGTGAACATGATTACTCCTTATGGAAGATTAACTAAATCTTCTCCAGCAAGTACTTTTGCACAATTAATCTTCTGCATCTTTGTCTAAATGAGCTTGATCTTTAGATTAAATGATATAATGTATCAGAAAAAGCAACCCTAATATAAACTTGGGCTAGAAATTATTATTGCTGCAATAGCAATACTTTCATTTATAGATTTTATTTGTTGGTTCATTAATCCTGTTGCAAATGTTCTTGCAGCATTTATATGCTTATTTACATTTATTATTGCAGGCTTTCAATCTACTTTATGGATTCTATAGAGAATTTAGAGCAGCCAAGGTGAATAAGAGTTTGATGCTAATTTGACACAATAAATTTCGTAAAATGAAAGCTCAATACCAAAAACTTCAAAATGTATCATAACTCTAGAGTATATTCTATATTCTTTTTTCTTTGTATTGGTAATCTTAAATACCTGTTAAATTATACATGAAGCAAATCATCCAGGAAGTTTAGGAGAAGGTGAAGAATATTATACTGTCTAAAGTTAAGGTTAAGATGTCAGAATCCGTACATATTGTCTTGGAGAAAAGAATTTACCATAGATTATACTTGAGTCTGGAGGAGGTTCTAGTGGAATAGATTTTTATGAAATTTAAACTCAGCTTTCCACAAATTATAGAATTTGTAGTTATGATAGGGCGGGATATGGAATGAGTTGGTAAGCAGCTGCACCTTAGAGTTCTGATAATACTATGATTATTGCTTAATAAGTAATGGATAAGGTTGGTTTTAATACTTCAGTACCTAATTCTATAGTTTGTATTGGTCATTCTGTTGGAGGATAACTTTGTCGTTATTATGCATAATATATGACAAGTATTTAAGGGATTATCTTATTGGATTCAGTGCCAGTAATGAATTGGTTTTATTTGGTAGGATAATGTCAGAATTAAACTGTGAATTAAGTTTATGCATAATAATAATCAACTTTGCCTCTTATTAAGGCTATGGCTTCTTTATGGCCATTCTATATAGAGACACCATTTTTTATGGCAAGAGAAGGATTTGAACCTCAAAATTTATAAAGTTGGGTGAATTGGTAAATCACAACTACAAGAAATTGGTATTCATAATCACTTGGATACGCATCTGAACTTGAGGAATGTTAAGAATAATGTATGGAGTCATCAATCATAAATCCATAATCTATGATTAATAAACCTATTATTGTTATAACTGCATAAAATTAATCTATAACATGTGCTGATAGAAATTTAACAGGTACTGATTGCTAATAATATGAATGCACTTTTAATAATACATTTTAATTAGTAGTTAATTAATCACTCTTAGGTAATTAAGTTAGCACCTATGTTGAATGCCCAGGTATTTGCAATCATGATTTTGTTTGGACATAACCAGATTTTATAGTTTAACAAATAGAATATTATATCCCATTATTCTGATTTTGTTATATTTATAAATTATAAGATATAAAAATATAATTTATTAATAAATCATTAAAATTATGTTTTTTTTATAATTTAAATGAGGAATATGAAATAACTTAATAATATTATATATTCTTCATTTTTATTTACTATTTTTATGATCCTATCTTAGTTTTCTATCTCTTCTCTAAATGATTTCAAGTCTAGTTTTTTCCCTAGAGTTTAGTTTTAATTCTTATACTCTTATGCTGCATCTAAATTATTGTTTGATAATTCAATAAGATCGGTTCTAAATCTACAATCACTTGGTAATGGGGTCTCACTTTTGATGACATAGGCTGGATCTATCTTTTCTAAATCCCAATATTTAATTCCATCCCAACTAATAGATTCTAACCAAGAACCTTCTAATTTAGATATTACTCTGTTATGTTAAAACATAGTCCCCCTAAAAATACAATCTAAATAAAATACTCAAAGTAATCAGTTGGCTTCTAACTTCTTCCAATTAACATACCTGCACCCTCAGAGAATTTAATATCACAAATTATATTATTCTTTTAATCAACAAATTTGATACTCCCATACCATTCTAATAATCTAGCACCATAAATTAAACCACTGACTTTAACAGGTGGCATACTAAATGTAATTCTTTAACCATCACTAAATTCTACTACATTCTCTCCAACTTAATGACCTATAACTGCATTATATCTTAAAGCAGCTTAATATTCAAAATGACCAAAAAATCTATATCTCTTCCTAAAATGTTCTATATAGAAATGTGAAATAGGAGGATGATGACTTGTATGTTCAATGCAAATTGATGATCCATCTTACCAAGAACCTTAAAATGTTTCACCTAAAATAGGATTGAATGGTTTCTTTTATCTACCTCCATTGTATAAACCAGCTATAATCATTGTAACAACAAGTTTAAATCTCTCTTTTTCATCCTATTATCCTAAAGCATATTCCATATATATAGGCATAAAACCCCAATAATCACATATTCTTTCAATCATAGATCTAGGTTCAAATATACGAACAGGTAATGAAAATGAAATAATATTTCGTCCTTCAAATAATTATCTACCTGCTGATCTCATTAAATCTAATACTAATCCATCCTATGCTTTAATTTCTTCCTTATTAAAACATTCAATTCCACCCTCTTTAAATCTTCTATATCCTGGTACTCTTTCTTCTAATCTTTTACTTTTTAATTATTATCCATTTTTCAATAATGTGATTGAATTTATTTATTCATCAAATCCTACAATAGATTTTGATTTCTGTTTAATATAAGTAGATGATAATTCATTTACAATTGATTATTAAAATTAATGAAATCTTTCTTCATCAATAGTTTATGAAATCAAACTTAAATTCTCTGCTTTATTGTATAAATATTTTTCCTAATATTTATAATAATAATACTAATTACCAATTCAGTAGTTATTCTTTAACATGTTATCTCACAATAATAATTCACTAATCCTTTGCCTGAGACCTTAGGAATTCTTTGTATTTCATAAGCTTCAAACATATTAAACTTGTTTTTATCAGAAGTCAAAATGTCAACAATAAATGAATTACCGTTATTAATGATGAATCGATATCTCAATAAATTCATTTGAATTATGACTGGTTTAGATACAATTTATTTTTGTCTAATGGGATGTATTATAAAATGTACTTTAGCTCTTTTCTATATTTAAAATTAATAAATTTACAGTAAATTCTTATTCGTTATTATCTTTTATTTTATTAATTTAAACAAAATTACTATCCAGAACCTTTTTAAACTTAAAATTCTTAATTATTCTAAATGCTTTTGTTGAATCAACATCACAAACCATTCTCCCATAAACACGTATAGTCTAAGCTTTTTGTTTATTAAAATAAGATGCAGATAATCCTGCAACAAAAAAAGCCATCAAAAATGGTAACCAATTAGGTTTTAAATAGACACCAATGCAAAATACAATACTTAGAATAATATATAGTTTCCAATTCCTATTATTTTTATTTTAGATTGGATTCTCATATATTTTGACTCCATTTCTAAATTTTCGAAATTGCCATTATTATTATAGATCATCAAGCATAGTCAATATTTTATATTTAGATAATTCTGAAGGGATTGTGTCAGTCAATAGATATGTATTGGTAACAGCAAAAGAAGGTCGTTTTTCAGTTTATACTACTGCTGTTGTGGCTTAGGATATCTCTTCATGCCATTATTCAGTTTCATCTAAAGTTTCACCACTGAAATAGAATTATTTATTATTCTAAGCTTCCACTTCAATATAAAAACAATGTTCTCTATCATCCAAAGTAGACATAGGAGATATGTAAGCTTCCCTTAAATTTATGGCTCCTCTTGGTACTTTATCATTTCTATCTTTAAAATATATCAATGTTTATCCATCTAAAACTAAATATCTTTGATTCCAATTATAATCTATGGGTCCATCTCCTCTTTTCAAAATCATTCCTGCTTTTTTTTTCTACAATTAAGGTGGTCTGGTAGGTGTTTAGGAACTTGTTAGACTAACTTAAGATTATTTGACAGGAGTAGAAAAAGTTGATTAAGATAGATTAGGATAGTGTTTAAAGTATTTTTTCTTTAATCTAGATGTTGATGATAATAAATTACTCTTTATATGAGGTCTTTTATAAATCTTTTAGAGATGTTATTTATTGATACAGATTCAACTTGACTTCTTATTATTGTAATAGAACTTATTTATTCATTCTAAACAATTCAGAATCATTTATGCCCTACCAAACATTATAAGTAAGTAACATAGACTTATAGAAATACAATATGTATTTTCTAATTATTTCTGTTAAGAATTATGCAATTACATTTGACTCATCACCATATTGATAGATATTGATTTCAACACTTAAATTAATAGCAACAATGTTAGGACAGAATCGTTACCAATTATTCTTTTCTAAAATGCCAAAGTTGTCTCTTAATTTTCTTTCTACATCTTTTTCATATCCCTTAAAATAATCCAATTCTTCTGCAACTACATCAATGACTTAAGCAGCTCTATTTGGATTTGGAGTTACTTTGGCAATGATGGCTACTTCAATTCCTGAAAATTAAACCACATTAAATATTCTCTATTCACAATTTTCAAATGAGGTCTTACGCTCTTAAATTTGAATCTATTTCTAATTTGTCAATTACACCATAAACTCTGGTAAGTAATTAGAGAGTATATACATTTTGACAATTGGTGACTAACTTAATATCAATATAATACTTATGATACCAATTCAACTTTTTACTAATTTTATTTACTCAAATCGAAGTCAATCAAATAGTCTACAAATTTGCTTCCCTTTTAGAAATTCTAAATAGGATGAGCAAAAAGTTTACTTCAGCATTTATTGGTAATATGACACTATATTATTATTTCATTAAATTAATGGACATATCAATAGAAAAAGTAAAAAATAGAACTAATCATGAAAGCATAAGATTATAGTCCTTAATTAAGAAAGATATATCTTAAAAACTAAAAAAAAATCACTTTTCTCCACCTTCATCCCCATCTATTTTGGAAGCTGTTCGATCAAAACCATTGATAAAAATTGAAAGATAACAAAGATCACCAGTAGTTTAACAGATAAATGATCTAGATTTTGGTTACATGGAAGAATTAGAAAGGAAAAAGATGTTCATGATGATTAGACTTGGTCATATTAAGGATCCTTCAAGATTGCTTCCACTTCATAACTATGATAAAATACCAGTTCTTCCAAAAAAAAAGAATAGAAAAAACAATAAAACTCCATCACCAAAGATATCTCCTTTGAAAGTTTCTTTACATAATCCTAACGATATTTCACTACCTACTTTAAGTACAAGATTACTTGAAGATCCATATTAAATGACTAAAATACATAATACAACTAAGAAAAAATTAGATCAGAAATAAAGGAGATTGAATGTTATCAATAAAAGAATATTAAATAAATTCTCTATCGAATGAATAATCATCAAATAATGTAAAAAATTTATATTCACTATCTATGGATACTACAAATTGATATTTTATTTATTAATCTTATTTAATATATTTCTCATCTTATTTCAAAGAAATCTTCATAATTGATACATATATTAATAATAATTTATTATATATATCATATAATCTTAAATTCATGATTATGTTTCAATTATTTGTGTTTTTTTAAGGTGCATGTAATTAATTATTAGAAAAAATATAAATTTAATATTTAAATGGATATAATCGATTTTAACAAACCAAATACTGTCAAGAAGGTCAAAGTTGGTAATTGTGTTTACCTATTGAAATAGTCAAAAAGGTTGTTACTTAAGCACCTGTAGTCAATAAATAATAATAGAATAAAGAATACTACAATAAGGCATTAGAAAGAATTATTCAATTATTAAAGGAAAATAATCCATCCTTAGCCACTTAAACTAATATCTAGCTTGAAAAACCCTAGATTGATAAATTGGGAACAAAGAAAACTTTGTGGAAGAACTTTGAGGCCATTTGTACTTAAATGAATAGAGAAGCTTAACATGTTAGTTAATATTTTCTAATTGAATTGGGTACTGAAGGGTATTTTATAAAAATTAATAATAGATCATAAGCAGATGAGAAATTGATTATCAAAGGTAGGTATACAAGTACTTAAATAGAAACATTAATTAAAAAATATTTGTGTAATTATTTATTTAAAATAATAGATGAATATGTCTTATGTTCATTGTGTAAAAGTTCAGATACTACTTTAATAAGAGATGTTGAGTCTAGACTTTACAGTAAAGAATGTAAAAATTGTAAGGCCACAAAAACAGTTGCGACACTTAAGATTTCAAGTAAGAGATAAAAATGATTATTAATTGCATGTTATTATTATTATTTTATTATTATGGTTATAGAAACTCTTTATATTCTTTATTTTTTATTAATCTATTTATATATCAATTAGATATTGTTTTAATATTCTAATTATTTTGAATAATCCAAAGGAAAATTATAATTTGATGATTTCTATAAACTAATTTAAGAGATGTTAGATGTTTAATACATATTCATGTTAATAAAATTTATTATTAAATAATTCATAATAAAGTATCAAATCTATCTAATAACTACTTTTTGGTCATTGATCTTACTTCCAAATAAGCATCCATTGTAGGATCTAATTGTTTATAAAAATAAATATACCTATATTCGAATTCATAAATTTATCAACTTATAATGCATCTAAGACTTAGACACAATGTGTTAATAAGGTTTTCTCTTAGTTAGTATCTAAGAAGGCAACGTAATTAGATTATTTAATTTAATTTACATAATTCTTAATATTTTATCTATAGTTATCTTTAATTTCTAAAGATTAAGCATCTAATATAATTTTATATTCTTTCAATCCTGTATTTAATTAATCTACTTCTTTAGAAATAGTTTCAACTAATCTTGTGAATTCAAAGTTTGATTATAATCTATTATCTTATGATTATTTTAAATGAATTGATAATTTGTTTAAACTAAAATATTCAGTTGCTGTTGTACATTAATTTTTAATGACACTTAATAATTGTTATCCTCTATTATTAGCTAATAATAATAAATAATATGCAATTAATGGAGATTCTTTATTTTATGATTGTTCCAAAATAGTATGAGCAGTCTAACACATAAATTATACTTTGCATCTTTCATTTACAATCTCTTATAATATACTTACATTATTATTATTACTATTAGATGGTTATAGAATATTTTATTCAGGTTTATCTGAATAAAGTTCCAAATCTCCACTAAACTCACCATCATTTTTTAATGGTATTTTAAATAAATATTCCCAAGTACAACGTTTATTGGGATCTTTAATTAACATTGATTTTAATAAAGTGATTGTTTATTTAGTAAAATGAAATTATGGTGGTATAACCCAATCTGTTTCATCTTGTGCAGTGATTAATTTAGCAATTGATTTTTCTTCAAATGGACATTTACCAATCAGTAATTCATATAATACAGCTCCTAAACTCCAGATATCTGCTTTACTATTATAGGAAAGTCCTCTTAAGATTTCTGGAGCCATATATATTGGTGAACCTAACATAGTGGCGGTAACATCATTTTTTATTGGTTTACAAAATCCAAAATCTGCTAATTTATAAATTCCATTATGTATTAAAATGTTTGATGGTTTTAAATCTCGATGAATTATAGAGTTTTCTCTTAGAACTTTAAATGCTTAAATTAATTGATAAATGATCTCTAATGATTTTCTCTCTGTAAAATGTCCTTACAATAACAGCAACTTGTCTAGAGGACCTCCAGAACAATGTTCATAAACAAAATGATATTGATGAACGGTTTTAATTAATTCAATAAACTTGACAACATATGGACAATGTTAAAGTTTTTAAAGCACTTCTATCTCTTGCATACTTAATTCAAGTAATTTTGGTGTTTCATTAAATTTAGCCACATCAACACTTTTAATGGCAACTACTGTTTGTGTAAGAAGATTTGTTGCTCTATAGACTTTTCCAAACTCTCCTTATCCAATTTATTCATGAACCTTATATTATTCAATCATTTTTTTAACAGTTAAATTAATAAATCAAAACTATATTGCTTATTTGAATTGCTTAAATGAGTTTCATTTTAAAAGAGAATATTAAAATTAATAGAACTCACAATTTAATACATTTATTCAATTTATTCATATAATTCTCTTAATCTAAAATAAAAAATAATAATATAATATGTCTTTTGTATTATTGAAATTTCATTATAATATTCAACAATGAATTAGTAAATTAATAATCAAGTTTTGATTGTTTTACTTTTATCAAATAGATTAAAAATCAATTGAAAAATAAGTTAAGTAATTATGAATTTTGATTAAGTACTGTTTTGGAATTAAAAAATGGAACTATTTTAACAAATGATAAAGCTAAATTTATATAGAATATAGATTATAATGATATTAATTATCAAGTAAAGTCTTTAAATTTTTGTTAATCAATACTATTTTACCTAAGATTTGATATAATTATAGTTAATTTGCTAGAGCTAAAATTAGAATTAGAATTAGAACATAAATTATTATTTAATAAATACAATAGATATTATCATAAATCAATAGATTGTTTATATTTACATAATCAAGAATTGATTTGCAAAATTAGATTAATTATTCTTTGATAATTGAATTTTTAATGAATTACATAAATTCAATTTAAAGTTAAGATTAACATTTCTTAATTCTTTATAATAATATTTAATTTATGAATGTTGAAACACAGAGCAGTTTATATAACAAATTCAAAGAGTTATTAGATAAAATGAAGTATTATTAATCTACATACTAGAAATAAGGAAAAGCCACTTGTTGTCTTTACACTTCACGAATTGAATTGTGATGACACAAAACAATTTTTTCAGGTAACTACTGAGTTAATCTCATCTGGCATAAATTTTGCTATTGCTAAAGTAATACTTAGAACAATAACTTAAGTAAATTGATAAGAGAATGTGGCACATAATTAAGCAATAAATTGATATTGAATTAAAAAGCATATCTCCTGATGTAGATGAAGAAATTAAGTAATTTTATGATCTTCGAATAAACTTTCTAAAAACTATTATCAAAAACCTGACTCAATAAAATTAATTAGGTGGATTAAAGAATGATAATGAATTCAGATAATTTTTAGCAAATTTATATTGTTATGCAGGTGAATTACATGAACATCTAGGGAGGAGATTAGAGAAGATGAATAAATAGCCTAAGGATAATTATAAATTTGCTGATCTATTCTATAATAAGGCTATTTCAATCTATCCCTTTTAAGGAAAATATTACTTCTTGATTGCTACATTAATGAGATAATTTTAAGATACATTCAATGCAGCATGTTGTTTGTAAAAAGCTCATTTTGCTCAAATACCTTATAATTGCAAAGAAAATATGAATGAAGTATTTGAAATAAATAGAACTCACTATAATGAATGGGCTAAGCATATTAAACCAGCTAGTGAATTAGATCGTGATACATATTTAAGAGCTTTTATGGTGTATTTAATAAGATTCAGTACGATTGTTGTATGAATTTAAAATAAATTTAGTTCACCAAAATAGGTTTTGAAGAGTTGCCTTAATTAGCTAATATGTATTAGTATTTATAGGAATACTTTAAGATAGTAAAAACAAATGTACATAATGATCATAAACAATAATATTAATTGTTATTAAAAGTAATTATGATAACCAATTTTGGTTTACATCATAGTTTAACAACATTTTAATTGAAAACTGTATAAGATATCAAAGATAATGATTTAGTAAGAGAATCAATTAAATATGTTTATGGATTATATGTAAACTCACTTGATTTTATATTAAAATATTTGCTTTAGAATTCAATGAAGAATTTAGATTAAGTACCTCCAGTTACATTTTTATAATTAGTAATCCCAATTATCTATTATTTATATGATTAACCTTTAATTTGTACATATTTATTGTCTGAATATCCTTCTTTAAATGATAAATTGGCATAGATCTTTTTATATTCAAGATAGAATCTGTATTAAGCAGAGAATTAGAGTAATGATTTATTTTAATTTTAATCTTAATTGAATGAGTAATTTCATTCCTTTTTATTTCCATTTGAAATGCCTTTAGTAGGATTCACTTGTTATAATCATGTTCTATAAACATTTAAACAATAATCTTCAACATATAAAGAAGAAGATAATTAGACATCAATAATATTATTTTATGTTTGTGAACAAATAATATAATAATTACATGGCATTTAAATATAGACTGTAAAAGAACCAAAATGGGAATAAGAGATTCCTAAAGAATTAATCAAGAAATTAATAATAATAGATGGAATGAATGTGGCAATGAGATATGGATAGGAATAATCTTAGGCAGCAAAATTTTGTTCTTAGGGTTTGAAATGTGCCTTAGAATTTTGGGTAAAGAGAGGACATGAGGTAATGATTATCTTACCTGATTTTTGTTTTAATGAAAGTGAGATAAATAAAAAGAAAGAATCTAATGTAAATAATATTAATTAATTATTCTTTAGAAAAATAATATCAATAAATTACCTGATGATGTCAAATTATTATTGGAAATGAAGAATAAAGGTTATGCTTATGGAGTTCCTAATTGGAATTATGATGACTCTTATATGATTTAATATGCAAGAGAAAAAGGAGGATTAATTTTGACTAATGATCGATATAATGATCATATTAGAGCTTTGGAACATAATATTGTAGAAAGAGAAAGATTGAAAGAATGGATTAGGAATAATTGTATCAGTTATACATTTCTATAAAATGAATTGGTTCCTAACCCTGATCAATTAAAAAGAATTTGATTATTATTATATATGCATAACATAACATAACATACAATTTTTAAGAAAAATGAATAAACAAAATTATTTATTTATGATGTACTTATAATTTATCAAATGTTATTGTTCAAATTTGATCTGGGGGGAGCTTATTATTAAACCTATTATGGTGCTGGTTGATATTAAGGATATTATGGATAAGTTGGGTATGATGGAATCACTCTTGATGAAACAATTGGAGCAGCATATTAGACTGGATAAGTTTATACTGGTTAAACAACACTGACTGGTTATTATACATATTATTGAACAACTGGCTATTAGACCACTTATTACACAACTGGTTGTTAAACAACCTATTACACAACTGGTTATTGTACAACTTATTACTAAAAAGTATATTAATAAATAATTACATGAACAACTTATCTTTCAACTGGATAATATTCAACTCTTTCTTAATATCTGTCGACTGGAACATATTCTAATAATTTTTAATTAATTATATTTACCTGTGTATTTCTCTTAGAATACTTATGGGACATATTCTGTTTAATATTCAACTGCATAATAATCTGTGACTTTTCTTTCTCTTGGGACATATTAGACAACTTCTTGTTCTTCATATTCCATAACAGCCTTTTAGTATGGCACATATTCGATTCTTGATTCTCCTTTGATTGTTGCCTAATTTAAATTTGAATTTTTTTCTTACATGAACTGATTGTTAAACAACTGGTTAAGCAATAACAGATTATTGTAAAACAGGTTAAGCAACAACTGGTTAAGCAACAACTGGTTAAGCAACGACTGGAGCAACTGGTCTAGCAACACTGTATGTTAATGGAGCAACAGGAGCATATTAGGCTGGAGCATATTAGGCTGGATAAGTGGCTAATGGGGCAGGTGAATATTATGGAGCATATTATGGAGCATATTATGGAGCATATTGAGGAGCATATTATGGAGCATATTAAGGAGGTTGATATTATTATGGTGCTTATCTTTGTTGAGGAGGTTGATCTAGAAATGTAGAGAATAGTATTTTTACTTGATGGTGCAGGTGGTCTTTATGACATTTTTGATAAAAAGATTTTTTTTCTTATTTTTATTTATATATCCATGCCATAAATTTTATTGCTTAAATATCCTAAACAAATAATTATAATTAATGTAGTTAAGAAGTATCTCAAATAAAAAAAAACCAAGTTAGTTGACTCAAACAACTCAACTATTGGAGAAAGAAACTAAACATATGGTATTTATCAATTTAACTAAATTAATAGGAAGAACAATTATAGTAGCTTAAATAAATAATGCAATAAGAAAAATTTAAAAGAGAAACTGAAAAACCAACTGGATAAAATGGTACTAGATGGAAAGCTGCTAAAATAGATAAAGGACTAAGAAATTATACTCAAAATTTACTACAAAAAAAAAATAGTTTTGAAAAGAAATCAATTCCTACAGTTGTTAGACCAACATCAGCTAAATTACAACCTTTAGAAAAATCAATTAAAACACCAGTATTAGACAAAGATATTGAAATATTTTTTACTTAAGTAGGATTGCTGCAATATAAAGAAAAATTTTAAAATTACACAATTCAAAGTTTAAGTATTTTTTATTTCTTATTTAGAGAGAATGTCACTGTGTAATAGTTAAGAGAAATGGGCATACTACCAGGCCATTAAATAAAAATAATGAGAGCATTAAAAGAAATACCTGAAAATATATAATAAATGCAAGAAGATAGTTTCTGTTAAAGTAGAGTAAGTATGTCAGTAAGTGGAGTATAATGTGATTAAACAAAATTAGCATGTTGGTTATGTTATAAGATTTTTGATGATGCAGAAATAAATTGTAATGGAAGAAATTTTTGTAGTTAATAATGTCTGATATAATTTAATTAAGAATATATGATCAAATGTTCAAAATGCAACAAGAAATTTTACAAGAATGATGGCTGTGTCGTTTATGATAATTACTATTGTTCTCAATCTTGTAGTATAGATGCAAATGATTCAGTGAAAGGATGCAGTACAAATACTATAGAAAGTGTAATAGAAGAGGATTAATTTCAATAAACGAATTATGCAGAATAATTTAATGAATTCTTAACTTCTAGTTTATTAAATAATTGATCAATCATCCTCTGATTGTTCTGAACAGTCTTCTTTTAATTTTAATTCATTAAGTTAATATATTAATTTATCTTAATCTAAGTTTGATTTGCTTTTCATTTATTACACATCATCTACATTAGATTCTTATACTTATTAAACAATTTTTTTATCTTTTTCTTCTTCAGGCTATTATTATTATAATCGTTTAAGATCCTATAACTGTTATTTTTTTTCATTAACTTTCTTTTTTTTCTTAACCTCAACTGGAACTTGAACTCTTGGAACAAAGCAATTATATATGCGTCGAGAATGTGCAGTAAGATTCTTTAAATATAATTTATTTTTCTTGTATTCTTATTTTATTTTATCAAAGTTGATAACACTATTAGTTTATTTGATTCTCTTTTCAATTCCCTTATATTATTTTATATCTAATACTTCATTATCTTCAATCAATTTTCTCATTTCTAATATTTTCTAACCTAAATTAGATGGTTTAATAGGTAAATCATCATTTAAAGCATAAGATGAAGGTTGATTATTTATTGTTAAGATTTTCTATACTAATATTTTATTTTCTGTGTTTTCTGGATGTTTTATTTCAAGTAATTTTTTGGATGTTGAACATTTGAGTTTTTTCTTATGGAATGGTTTCTCTACATTCATTGGTTATTCTTTGATATTTTATACTTAATTAACATGCTTGTTATATTACTATAATGATATATAATTTATACATATAGCAAATTGTACTCTGACATAGGAGTGATTATTTCATTTTTATTCCAAATATTTGTCATTAAAATTTAATGGACAAGTTCGACACAATTTAGGGAAAACTGTTCTATACAGTTTATTGTATGTACAAATAAAATGAGATAACTCATTACTAAAGAGGAAGAATTAAGGGTAGATAGTAAAATTTAATCAATTAGATATGATTGTTTAATGGGATCCTTAAATTCAAGAACTCATCAAAGATCAGAACAGACTTAAATAGAACCTTCTCGAAATAGCCTGTTCTTACTCAGACAATGGAGACTCTAAACAAACAAAAATCACTCCTAGAAGTTTCAGTCGATTGAATATTAGAATTGGTCAAAGCAACTTTAAATTAGCAAGTAAATCATATAGTTCATTATCATCGCCATTGGATTAAAGAAAACAGTTATTAATATGATAATAATCAGATTATTTTTCTTTCTAAATATTTTTCAAAATTTTAGAGTATGTGTAGATTGTCATGAATGACTTTTTTTACAAATCCAATCATAATATCATATCGCATTAATACTTGTTTTCTTTATGGATTTGGAAGATAGGATCTTCTAATTTAAGTAGTTTTTCGAAGAGTTATTTTAAATGGTTTGTATCCATCTGAGACATCAGATTCTTCATAAAACATAGATCTTTTTTTTCTTAATTAAAATTCCATTTTTGATGGTTCTTCAAGAGTAGGTGTATTATTATGCATAATCCTATCTTTCGTAATACGAGACAAAACCTATTATTAATCAGTTTCAATAAATCCAACATCAGGTTCTAGATATNAGTTTATTTGATTCTCTTTTCAATTCCCTTATATTATTTTATATCTAATACTTCATTATCTTCAATCAATTTTCTCATTTCTAATATTTTCTAACCTAAATTAGATGGTTTAATAGGTAAATCATCATTTAAAGCATAAGATGAAGGTTGATTATTTATTGTTAAGATTTTCTATACTAATATTTTATTTTCTGTGTTTTCTGGATGTTTTATTTCAAGTAATTTTTTGGATGTTGAACATTTGAGTTTTTTCTTATGGAATGGTTTCTCTACATTCATTGGTTATTCTTTGATATTTTATACTTAATTAACATGCTTGTTATATTACTATAATGATATATAATTTATACATATAGCAAATTGTACTCTGACATAGGAGTGATTATTTCATTTTTATTCCAAATATTTGTCATTAAAATTTAATGGACAAGTTCGACACAATTTAGGGAAAACTGTTCTATACAGTTTATTGTATGTACAAATAAAATGAGATAACTCATTACTAAAGAGGAAGAATTAAGGGTAGATAGTAAAATTTAATCAATTAGATATGATTGTTTAATGGGATCCTTAAATTCAAGAACTCATCAAAGATCAGAACAGACTTAAATAGAACCTTCTCGAAATAGCCTGTTCTTACTCAGACAATGGAGACTCTAAACAAACAAAAATCACTCCTAGAAGTTTCAGTCGATTGAATATTAGAATTGGTCAAAGCAACTTTAAATTAGCAAGTAAATCATATAGTTCATTATCATCGCCATTGGATTAAAGAAAACAGTTATTAATATGATAATAATCAGATTATTTTTCTTTCTAAATATTTTTCAAAATTTTAGAGTATGTGTAGATTGTCATGAATGACTTTTTTTACAAATCCAATCATAATATCATATCGCATTAATACTTGTTTTCTTTATGGATTTGGAAGATAGGATCTTCTAATTTAAGTAGTTTTTCGAAGAGTTATTTTAAATGGTTTGTATCCATCTGAGACATCAGATTCTTCATAAAACATAGATCTTTTTTTTCTTAATTAAAATTCCATTTTTGATGGTTCTTCAAGAGTAGGTGTATTATTATGCATAATCCTATCTTTCGTAATACGAGACAAAACCTATTATTAATCAGTTTCAATAAATCCAACATCAGGTTCTAGATATCTTTCACTACCAATTCCTCCAAAGACTGCAATTTTAGAACTAAGTAAAATAGTTGAATGAGCACATCTAGGAATCTTGAGTCCTTCTGCAATTACTTATTACCAGATATTCAAAGTAGGATAAAAGATATAATATTCATCTGATTCCAAAGTGCCATTTACAATAAAATCTCTTAATCCACCTATGACAGCTATACCTTAAACTTTTCTAAGATATTCAATTGTATGATTATGCATAGGATATGGTCCTTTACCAATAGTTTCAATAACATCCCATGAAAGAGGAGTATTATTAGAATTACAATAACTTAATTTGCGAATAACATTAATTGAATTCCCTTCAGCATCTTTACCTCCAAAAGAATATATATTATCTAATGGCATTATGTCAGTAGATATTGATTCTTAGAATTTGCCTTGAGATGAGATATTCACTATGGCATGACAACTTACAGGAGGAGATTTTACCTTAAATAATTTCCACACCTACTTTTCTATATTGAAAACAGCAGTATCAGATAGAACTTCTTCATTAGAATTAATCCCTCCATAAACAAGCATCCACTTTGGACCTACTAAACAGGCTTTATGTTATCTTCTAGGCTCAATATAATCTCCTTGAGGATGAATCTTTTCCCAATTCATGTTACTTACAGTATATTCATATATAGAATTAGTGCATTCTCTAAGTTTTAATTTAGGATTGAATTGTCCACATCCACCAAAATAGATAAATTTATTTTTATATTGAACTACTGTTAATCCTGCTCTTCCTTATTTTGGATGATCTCCTATACCTTGTACTACCTGCCAAATCTGAAACTCTTAAAATAATCAATCAATTTACTTATATCATATTTGAGCATTTGATTTCTAATTCCATCTCCTCCTATGCCTCCATATAAATATAATTAATCATTGAATAGACTAAATGCAGCTTATTCTGTGAATGATGGTTTGAATGTTCTGATATCCCTAGTAAGACGTTGAGATTCAAAATAGAAAGTAAGTTGATTAGGAGTATCTATGATTTGTTCTATAGGAGCATCCAATTTTGGAAGCTAGAATACTAATTATATTGCAAGAATATATACCCTTTTATTATGGTTTTAATTCCATTGCTTTTTTTGGTGATTAATCTCTACGTTTCAGTTTTTAATAATTTCTAAATTTCGTCTTTTGAGTTAAAGATAAAGCTTCAGTCATAGCATTTTCTTATCTTTCCCTACTTTAATTTATGATAGTTTCTCTTTATTTCTTATTATGTTATAATTAAACTTGGAGTCGTTCCTTTGGAGAAGGTATTCTTGAAACTTAATTAGTGAATGCAGTCCTAAATTAATTCAAATATATACATCTAAGGCATCTCAGTAAATGTTTTAAAGAAGGTACTTTGAGTAAGAGAGGCATTCTTCTCAAATTATATTAATTCTATTTAAGGTTATACTGTCACAAGAGACGATGATCGTCTCATTGGTTATTATTATTGTGGCAATTATTTCAATTTTTTCATTAAATGCAATAATTTTTATTGTTAATTAATGTTCAGTCTTTCATCAATCAAACAGAATTAATACCTAAGTGCATCTAACTAATTTGAATAACCATTAGATGACATGAGTTGTATAATCGAAAATGGCAGTGTGGGATCCCTATATTTAGGTAATATTGAGTCAGCTTGTATTTAATCAAAATTAATTATTATAGCCAGTTTAGAAAACTTGAAGAAACACAAAATTAAGGGAGTTTTATCCATCTGTATGAATAAGATTCCTTTTGAAGTTTAAACATCTTTATAACATTATTTACATATTTATTTGGAAGATTGTGAATCTGAGAATATATCAAGACATTTTGAGAATTCCAATTAATTTATAGATAAAGCTAGATAATCAGGAAATGTCTTAGTTCATTGTATGGCTGGAATATCTAGATCAGCTACTCTTGTTGCAGCTTATTTAATGAAGAAAAACAATATGAGTGCTTAAGATGCTATAAGATTACTTGAAAGAAAAAGATGGTAAGTCTATCCTAATAATGGATTTCTTAGACAATTATAATAATATGAAAAGATATTATTATAATAAAATGGAAGATCTGATATCTCTTCTCCTCTTAGAGATTAATGGTCTAAGTAAATAATAATAATTATATTTAGATAATTTTAAACACCAACTAAGGATAATTTATTTTATAATAAATATGATGAATAACAATAATCAAGTCAAAAAACTAGACCATTGGATGAAATTTGTTTTGATAAATATAAAAGAAAGTCTGTTGGTTAAGGTGATTTGATTAGAAGTCCAGAAAATAATGAAAAGAAACCTTTTTCTTTAACTTAACATAGACCAAGTTCAGCTATTAGAACCACACCTGATCTAATGAAAAAAAAGAATGTATTATCTGATGCTAGTAATGTTATATTTTAATTAATTATAGTTCATGGAAATAAGAAAGATGGTTTAGCTGCATTGGCTTTGGAATTAAATTAAATTGATTGGTAAAGTAAAAAATTAGATTTTGAAAGCAAATATTCAAAACCATCCATTTAATAAAATAATACTAAATCATTTTTGAGTCCTACTCGTCCTTTATAATTAAATCAACATCAAAGTAAATTGGATGAATTACTAAATTCTTTCAATAGAAAATCCATACTATGATTATAGAAATATATATATCCAAATAATCTTAATCCATTATTATTTTTAATGAACTCCCTGTCCAAACGTATTAGAAAGATCAAGAAAACCCCTAAGGTGACCACATTTGAAGATTCCGATGATCCATAATAATTTACAGCTTGCATAGCAAACCTCAATTAAATTGTGGCTGAAGATCAATGTTTCTCTAGTTTAACTATTTTCTAGTCAAATAAATTGTAACCAAGGAGTTATTGGTTAGATTGTTAGAATATTTACGACACAACAATGTTTAAGTTGTCATCAATGCTCTAAATGCTATCTAAAATGTATTACGTATTAGTGATAATTTTGGTTCTGAAGTTAGAGATCAATTCAAAGACTTAGGTTTATTGGGCATTTTATTATTATTCCCTGTATAGGAAAATACTCTATCAAGTTTCTTGAGCGTAGCTATTGAAATATTTGAAACATGGGATATAGTATTATTAATGCCACTTTATTAAAGAATATTGCCAATTTTAGAGAATTGTCTATAGAAAGTTTATAATGAAGATATCATATCAGAAACATTAAATTTATTATAAGTATTAACTGAAATACCTTAATTTAATTTAAAGAAGATAGATATTGACTAAATTTTCTAGCATGATATTATTAAATAATTACATTTTGCCAATTAAATGAAATTGAAAGCATTAACACTTTAAACATACTTAAATATTGATAGATTAGACAATGAAATGTTTTAATTAATTAATGAAGTCATAAGAATCAATATTTTTTAAGAATTGGATAATATTGAATCATTTCTTTAAAAATAAATCACAATGGAGGAAGAATCTGAATTTAAATAAGATGAAAGATTACTTAGTACACTTTAAATTTGGAAATGTTCAGCTTAATCAATTATATAAGTATTGGTTTATTTAAATCGAATTTATGAAGAAGATAATGATGATTAATATGTGAATAATAAGAAATTCTAATAATTCTTCTAAAAAAACATAATAGTTGAATTAGAAGAATTAGTAGTAAAGAATTTCTTTAATTATTCTGGAGTCATTCAAAAAAAGTTATTTACAGATCAAACTACTTTCACTGATGAAATATTGAGTTTAACATTATTAATTTTCAAGTAATTATATATTTAATAAATTTAAGTCTAGGAAATAATTTATTAGCCAATCTATAACCTTTAGTATGTTTATAAACAGTAGAACCTATTCTACCCTAAATTTAAGCAGCCCTACAAGTTGATATTATTTCAGATGAAGATAAAAAAGAACTTGTTTAATCTGAATTTTTACTTTTGATAAAACTTTTAAAAGTGAATCCACAATTAGTGTTACAAATTCCACCATAATTTATAGTTTAATTGTCTGAATTAACAGAAACAACAGAAATATTATTTCATATTGTAGAAGTCATGAAAATAAGATATTCAAGTAAAGTAAAGAATGATTTGGAAACTATCCGTATAGTTACACAAAAATTACTTAAATTAATGAGCCAATCTAATATTTTGTTGGCTGCATAAGCTTTAGATTGTCTTTTTGATGTGTATACAGAAGAAGACTTCAATGCTCTTTTAGTGGAAATGAAGATTCTTGAACTGTTATCATAAGGATATTAATATTTATAATCATAATTACCATAAGAAAAGAAAACTTTAGCAAAAGATGATTGGAAATTCTTAAAGTTAACAGTTACCAATTTAAAATAGTTTATTGAATACAAAATAAATATCATTAAATGATTTATCATGTGTATATTAATTAATATAAATATTACATATATAATTTATTAAAAAGTTAACAAATTAAATTCAAATGCTAAAATTCATCATTTTTTATTGCCATCAATGAATTTACCTAATAATTCTTGAATACCATAATCACTCCATTCTCTATCCTTTTCTAATTTAGGTATTGATTCTGGAAGATCCAAATTGATATTATCTTTTTTATCAGAAACATAGATATTGACATCTTTTAAAACATCCTTTCTCCATTTAGAATCAACTTTGTAACTCAATTAAGGATTTAGCATATTGAATGAGAAAACTCCATCTCTTCTTTATGATGAATTCATAATTTAAATATATATGAATTAAATATCAAATTTAAAGAATAGAAGATAATAAATATATATATATATTTAGATTATATCTAATAATAACATATAGTTATTATGTACTAATTAACTAATAATTTTAGTGTATAAATTAATACATTATAAAATTAGCTCTAAAATTGTATTCACATCAAATTAGAATACAAGATCTTTACTAAATTCCTACAAGGGATATTCAACATCAAAATCGAATTGAATATTGTAATTCTGCAATTTTCTCTTTAATTTAAGAACCTTTTTATAAAGAATAGTTTATTATTTAGGAAATCTCTTAATTAGAGCTTCATAATCTTTAGTTTTTGCTCCAGGAATTACAGCAAGAATGAGATCATCAAAAGTTTTCTTATTTTTGTCTAGTTAGAGAATAATCCAAATCATCTATTAAAATAGGATATCCTTCTGATATTAATTAAACAATTTATCATATTTATCTTAATATCGATAGGGTTCATAATCATATAAGAGTATGGCTACTCAATTGCTATAATTGTATAAATCCTTGTCTTCAGAAAAAATTAAGTATAAATCATCATTTGAGTTCATATATGATTATTTAATTTGTATACATAGGAATATTAATTTATTGTGGATATAATCATTTCAGTAACAACTCTTTGGCTTCATTGATTTTAGTGGCCACATATGTAGATCCTCCTTGATCTGGATGATTAAGCATCAACAATGTACGATGACGAGTCTTTATTTAATCTAAAGGTGTTCCTTCTCTGACTCCTAGAATCAATTAGGCTTCTCTTCTTGTAAGTTGAGTAGAGAAAGTTCCTTTATAAAATGCTCTTGAAGTTTCTACAGTTTTGAAAAACTCCTTGCTTTTGATTTATCTGTAGGTACGAATCAATAGTTTTGTTCCTCCTCCAACTACAATTAAACCACAACCTATGGCAAATAGAGCAGATGACATAAATTTAATTTTATTTATGATTACTAATACAATTTATATTTTAATGAATGTTTCTCTAAAAGACATAATTCCAAACAAAAACCCTTCATAATTCAACCTTAACAAAATTCGCTTTAAAATCTCCAAAAAAGTGGAATCCTAATGTTAATGTAATCAAAGAAACTGTCTAATTTGTGCTCGTAAACGTTCTTCTTCGATGTTAAGCATGAAAAACTCTATTGTAGTTGATGAGAACTCACCTGTGTCTAAACGTACTGTAGAATAACCAAAACCAATCTAGCCATTCAATCGATCTATCTCTAGACAATAATCAAATCATATGGGAAGAGCCTCTGTTAATATCTCAAATACAACAACTACAACAATCAATTATGGTAGAACTAGAAAAACATCAATGGAGTCATCACCTCCAAAAGACAATAGTATGATATTTAATTATTATTAATTTAGTTATTGGCAGACACTCCTTTAAATACTTATATGTAATTGGTAAGGGAGGTTTTGGAAAAGTATGGAGAGTAGAAATGAAGGCTAATAAATAGGAGTATGCATTAAAAGAAATGATTAAAGCAAAGTAAACCAAGAATACATTAACTAAAGGATCATATCTAAACGATCTGTTAATTCAGTTATGAATGAGAAATACCTTCTTGAGCATCTCAAACATCCTTTCCTTGTTAATATGCATTACGCATATCAAGATAGAGAAAATCTTTACTTAGTTCTTGATCTACTCAGAGGAGGAGATCTTCGTTATCACATAGGTAGATAAAAGAGATTTACCGAAGAATAAACAAGTAATTATATAAACATTTATATAATCAGAATTTTTTGTATGCTGTATCTTATTATCATTGTAATATTTGCATTAAAATGGTATCATTCATAGAGATATCAAACCTGAGAATTTAGTGTTTGATAAAGATGGTTATTTAAGATTAACTGATCTTGGAGTTGCACGATTAAATAAAGATTCTTAAGCTAGTGATACATCAGGAACTCCTGGTTATATGGCTCCTGAAGTTATGTGTAGAATGGATCATTCATTTCCAGTAGATTATTATGCTGTAGGAGTCATAGCATTCGAATTACTCCTTGGAAAACGTCCATATAATGGTAGAAATAGATAAGAAATTAGAGAATAGATATTAGCTAAATAAGTTTAAATGAGAGATGATAAATTTTCACCTAAAGTCTAAGATTTTATAAATAGAGTAAGAGTTACAAATAATTTTAGTTATTGATACGTAAACCTTAATAAAGATTAGGTTTTTAGGGAATACATGAATTATTTGAGCATCCTTGGCTTAGTAATTATAATTGGGCTAAATTATTAAACAAAGAGATAAAAGCACAATATATACCAGGAGTATATATATAATGATGATTTAGAGCATAGATGGCAATTTTGATTATTAAAGCCAAATCTCTGCTGATTCTGAACCTTAAGAAGAAGCCTCTACTTTATTAAGAAGAAAGAGTGTATAATGTTTATTTGAAGGATATAAATATTTTTGATTATAGTATCATTTTTATTTACTTACACCTAAATTGGCTACTGTGATTCCTGCATTTAACATAGATACTAAGTAATTTGCATATTCATGAGCTCCTCTTTCTAATTCTTCAGCTTTTCTTTTTTCTAATCTTTTATGATGATTAACAGTTTCTTATTTGATTGTTTTTATTTCTGATTTCATCTTCTTTTTTCTATTTTCATTATCATCTCTCATAGCAATAGCTTCAGATTTCAATTGATCAGCTAATTTAATATATCTAGCAAATTTCAATTCTAATTCATCTTAATTTTTTTCAGATTCAGTAAATTTCATTTTGTATTCTTATATTTAATTTCTTGTTGAATATTTATTCTCAGCTAAATAGATTTATACAATTGGAGAAACTATAATATATAAAATAAAATTTACATTTAATTGGTACCATAACTCTTTTGTTTCTTGCCTTAACAGTTGTTTAACTTAATACAATTGGAGGTAGTGATTATTCATATTATTATTATTTAGCAAATTTCTATTCTGCTTATTTTTTAAATATATTGCCTGCTCCTAAATCAAGATTCCATTCTTTAAGATACTTTTAACTATTTGCAATTTCTATTCCTGTAAATAAATATGAAAACTCATCCAATAATTACTTTTTTAAATCATCATTGAATTTGCTTCTACTTAAAGGGAATGAATAAAATAAAGCATAAAATACACTTTAAGCTAATATATCAAAATAAGTCTTAAAAAATAATTGTCTATCATCTTTACGATCAATTGTTAAAAATAAATTGATATAATTTCTAGATATTCTTGTGAGTAATTTTTAATCTTCCTTTGGTAATTTATTAAAGTTTATTTTGGGATAAGTTTCAGATGTTTCATCAGGTTGAATATCTCTTTTAAAAAATTTAGTAACAACATACCAAAAGGAATCTGAAACAACAGCTTTATGTTCTTCTAAATTTAAATATTTCTGCCATTAAGTAAACATGGATTTTACCTTTATAATATGATCTTTAGTTTACTTCTAATAAACCATCTTCTTTATCATTTGATTTTGAAGGGAATTTCATACTATTTAAAACATTTGTGTTGATCTTCTTAAATTCTACTTAATTTGGTAGTGGTGTATAGAGTTCATCAAAAGTATTTGGTGGTTATGCTTCTTCAATTTTTAATATGGTTGTGGCTTTATTTTATTCTTAAGGTTCTGTTATATACGTAGCTGTTCCTAAAAATGTTGTTGTTGTTGGTCCTCTTCTTAAATCAGGAGCATACATTGTTAATCAAATATGTGAATGAATGAAAATAATATTGATATACAAAAATATTAATTCATCAATAAAATTACTATACAATTAGAGAATATTTTAGAATCTATAAAATTCACTAGTATTAATTTTATCTTAAAAACTAAACCCTATTCATCAATTATAGATGTAATATCACCTTAATAAACAGAAGAGATTATAATTTATGGAAATTTTACATAAAAGTAAAAAATAAATAAAGAAGATTTGGAACTAATAAAAAGTTAAGAGGAACAAATAACCAATTAAAAAGAGATATTAATAATATTCTTATTGTAATTTTTTGAAAATTCATTTAATTTAAACATTTAATAGTAAAGAAAATCAAATGTTATATTTCATTTTTTTATTGTATACTTAGTGCTCGATAATTTAGTAGATACTGTAGTTGTTGATAAATTGACTAATTCCTTAGATATTTCTTGATTCTTTCTTTCTTTTTCATATTTCTAAATTAAAACTTAAAATTTATACTTTGTAATATATAAAGTATAATAGCAAGATCACTAATTGTAATACAGAAATAACCATATATATTTCTTAAGCAGTATATGCTGTTTGACATGCATCATTTTTATAATTCAATCCTTACAGATAAATCAAAACTATAATACAATATACATAGTATATATACCACAAACTGGTATTTGAATAAGAATTCCTATTGTTGTTAAAAATTAATAAGGACCTGCTACTCTTTTATTTGCACTCATAAAAAAATTATAGGGAATTCCTAAAATAATTAACCAAACTGTTGAAAAAATCATTAAGTAATAAATATTGTCTTCCAAACAACTTTGTTTCTCATTTACTAATATCAAATATATAGAAACACAATTTATTGGTAAACTAGTTATTCTTATAACAATTTAACTGAAAAAGAATGCTAATACAACCTAAATCAAATTAATTAAGTTACCCATAAAGCAGTAGTTGCCTAAAAGTAAAATGTTATTTGTTAAATATTAATGACATATTAACATTCATTTATATTGATTTCAGTAGTCTGATAACTTTTCATAAATTCTATAATTCCCCAACATATATTTAAGAAGGCTAACAAAAAATTATCAGAAACTTGCATTTTCTCTTTGGCTTTTACATAAATAAATGCAGTTAAATTTAGAATAATCATGAAACTTGCACCTTTAATAGAAACAGATAAAAATTATTCTCCATCATCTAAATTTTAGATTATTTCTACTTGAACATATTTGATTAACTTTGGTAAGCATTTAAATTGATAGTATTGTATAAGCATTCATTCTCAAATACATGAGAATTATATGCATTCCTCTATCTGCAACGTTCATAATAAAATTTTATTTTTATATATAAATAATTTATGAATATTACTTTTAGTAAGAGTTTCTATTGTATAATATCTTTAAATTTAACACCTTGATTTGATAATACCATTAGTTTAATTATAAATTATAAAAAATCAATTATGAATAATAAATAATAGATGCATTCTAATATATTAAAGTGGATTGTAATATATAAATTATTGATAAAATATAAGTATTTATTAAATAGTTGAATAATTTGTAAATGTAGAATCACTCATTTTGTAAAGTAATTATTAGAATGAATCATATAGTTATCTGTTCCAACATTTAAATAATATGAACAGTTTTAAGGTGTAACTCTCTATTGCATTGATGTATAAGTGATTGGAGTAACAGCTTGGAGATTGGAATTAAGGTATTTAGCATATAAATCAAATGCAGATATAGTGATCTATTTGATTTGAATACCATTCTTAAAGCATAATTCTAAAAGTTACCTAAATTTCCAGGTAAAACTCTAAGCAAACTTACAACAACTTAAGAATTAGAAAAGCGAAGAATTAAATTGAATACATATCTCTCCAGTATATCTGAAAGACTTGAAATAGTGACATGCCCTATATTTTGTGAGTTATTTGAAATAGCAAAATATGCTCCTAAATATGTTTTTGAATAACCAAAAATAATAAATTCTTAGCAACATCTTTAAACTATAAAAAATTGTCAATACATTAAAGAATAAGGTTTAGTTCTTATTATAATTATAAGAGGCTTTGCTTGTTGTGTCATCTCAAACTGAAGGATATAAATAACTGATAGCATTTATGTAAAATGATGAAAATTCAATCTCTGAAGCTCTTGGATAAGTAGAATTATTTAGTTTAAAGGATAATTAGATTGTATTAAAATGGTCATAAATTTTTGACAATCAAGTACATAATAAATATAATTAAGGCTCAATGTTTACATTATTCAGAAGGTGCTTTAATTGTAGGACTTGAAAAAGGAAAAATTATTGTTTATTAATTGGATCAAGATTTAAATCAACCTTAACATCCTTCAAATTATTAAATGCATAAAATGAGAGTAAATGGAGTATTTTATCATAAACTAAAAAAAGTTATTTATTCCATTAGTTAAGATGGAACTTTTGTTGTAACTTAAAGAGATTATTTGAAACACAAAGATTGTATCTTATAACATTATAATAGGTAGAATTGCTATTAAAGGGTGAATTGACCACTTTATTGGTTTGTGAATATCGTGAAATAGCATTTATTGGTAATTCTAAAGGCTCAGTATTTATGTTGGATTTAAACAAAGAAAATGTTTAATATTTAAAAAGAGTTGATTGTTAAGTATTATCTAAAATTGTTGACTTTGCCATTAATAATCAATAAGGGTTTTTATTTGCTGCATGTGAATCTGGCTATTTATAAGTTATAGATATAGGTTCCATTGGAAGAGAATCTAATTCTAAAACCAAAATTTGTATATCAACTAATTAACAAACTAAGAAAATTTCATATTGTTAATAGAGACATCATATATATATTGGAGATACTTTAGGTAATGTTACTGTTATGAGTGAACAAACTGGATGTCCTATATGTATTATAATACAAAATATTCTTTTTTAGATTCTTTAAGAGCTCATGAATTAGATGTAATGATCACATTGGTTTATTACTTAGAAGAATCTAATAAGGTTATTACTTATGGTAAAGATCAAATGTTTAAAATGTGGGAATTCCCTACTTGGATTAATTTAAATGAGATTAAGTATTAAGAATATTAAGAAATCAAACAAGAATAATTGAATAAACAATAAACTAAATCAAAATTATAGAAAATTAATTAGGCATATTAAGAAGATGATGAAGATGATTTGAATGATTGGCATAAAAATAATAAATGAATTATTTAAATCTATTTTAATACATTATTTCAACACCCATCTACCCTCACTATTATTGTGCCAGTGTTTAAGAGATTCCTTTTCAAAAATTAAAGTAAATAGGTGTTAAATGTCTACTATTTGATAGAGACAATACACTTACAAAACATTTAGAAACAAAAACTGTATATGAAGAATTATTGTCAAAACTAAAAAAAGATTTTGATTAAGTACTCTTAGTCTCTAATTCAAAAATAAATGAACATACATAATTAGGATTAAGTGTTGCAAAGACAACATCTAAAAAGCCATTTAATTTTTAGGAGATTTAAAAAAATCATATAGATAAAAACATAAAATCTCATTAAATATGTGTTATAGGAGATAGATTATTTACTGATATGGTTTTAGCACATAAAAATGGTTTAATTGGTATCCTTGTTAAACCTATTGATATCAGTAATGAAGACTATTCAATTAGATTAATGAGAATTTTTGAAAATTTTATAATGAGAAATAACTAATTGTAGAAGCATTCATATCATGGTAATCTAAATTTTTGATTTAGCATTTAGTATAAATATTAAATAATAATAAAAATTTATCTCTATAATCATAAAAATGAATTTATATTTATTTTTGGAAAATAAAAATTATAAATAATTATCAAGCAAATTAGAATATATTCCATAAAATTATGATGACCAATTTCTTTAAAATTAAGACATAATCTTTAAATATGATAGCAATTATTATAATTTTGATACCAAAATACATAATCTTTCTTAGAAAATTACTATTAGAAATGAACTTTTAGAGTTATTGCATAAAAATTTAGCCAATGTCTAATAAATACACATAAGCATATAATTATCTTTTTAGACTCTTAATTCAAAATTAATATTTAAGATCTTATGAGACTCCTCTTTAATATTGATTAAAAAAAGAAATATCCAAAGTAAATCACTTATATTTGAAGACTTTTCATCATATTATTAAAACTATTCTGATATTTAATGAATTTCTTAATTTTCTTTCTACTTATTGCTAAATTCTATTAATCTCATTAATTCGATTAGTATAATACTAGTTTGTGTTTTTCTATTCATTAGTTTTTATTTCTATTGGTTTCAAACTTCTTTTAAACTTAGTAATAGAAACTATTTCAATTTATATATAAATAATGTTTAATGTTTCATAATAAAATTTATAATAATAATAATAATTATTATTATTATCTTATTTATATAGATTTTTATAGGTTTTGCTTTTAAAATGAAGCCTAAAGCTATATTTTTGTATTATTAATATTCTTGGTTTATGAATTAGAATTTATAAGTAAATATAAATTTTCATAAGAAAACAAAAGTCTTTCTTTTATTAAAATATATTGAGGTAAATTTAAAATGAAGACAGTTAGTAAGTTACGAGAAATATTCAACAAAAATTTATCCTTAAGAATTCAAGGTTAAATGATTATTCTATTTAGTTTATATCTTTTTTTTTAATGTTTTCAAATTTTATTTATTATTATTGTTTACTTCTCCAATTATAATATTCTAAGAATTTTTTAGAATTTCAATATAGTATATAATATTGATAACAAATATTGTTCCAAAAATATTCATTATGGGAATATAATGCTCGAAAACTTAAAATTCTATGTTAATATTTTAAACTTAGAACTCATTTGATGACAAAGAATAGTAACAAAACCATTAAGCTAATTAAACTTTAAAATATAGTTTTCCACAAAAATAAATATTAGAAAGCATTAAAACTAAATTGTAATTATAGCAAGAGTTAAATCTTCCTCATCAACCAGATGATCCTGGAAGTCCTATGTAGGCATTATCTGAAAATACTTAGGAAGGTTTTGAATTTACTAATATACATTATTCATGTCCTACAACAACAAGAATCAATAGGAGTAACTCAAATTAATTTTCTATTTAACAAAATAAGACATTAAGTATTAAAAATATACACTTTTCTCCATCAAATTTAAATAAATAAAATATTTAAGCAAAAAAAGGAATAATAAAGAAAAGTAGATATAATAATGATTCTTAATCTCCAAATTCTGTATAAACAATTAAATCTGTTAGATTTTTAATAACTGAACAAGTAAGAGTGAAAACTAAAATGGTACGAACATAAAGTTTATGTAGAAAATATTCAAGCAAACGATTAAATTCATCAACTATTTATAGTAATTGTGATTAATCTTTATATTACAAAATTGAATTCTGAAAAATTTGAATTAATTTATTGATCAAAATTAAATTTATACCTAATTGATCTCTTAAGTATCTCTCTACTTTATTAATGATCATCTTCTTTTTTAAAGAACAATTCAATGAATGCTTATTCAGTATGTCTCATTTTCAATCCTTTCTAATGCTCTAGAAAAATATTTAATTTAAAAACTAAAAATAATAAACACTCCTCTATTTTAGTATCTGAAGTGAATAAGATAATGATTTTACATATGTAATAATTATCAATCTTAATTAAAGTAAATTAGATACAAAACTTCAGATACTAAAACATGTTGAAATCTAATGAGTATTTACTAATAGATTGAATAATTTGATTTCATTATAAAGTCAAATTGATTATTACAAAAATCAGAGTCAAAAAGAGAGGTTGAGCTAATAAAGGATCTGTACTTTATTCAATTCAATCTAACTGTACTTTAGAATATTTATAATATCAATAAATATTTAGTGAAGTAGAAACAATGAATCTTTATTTGGCTTCATCTAAATTTATTTATCTATTACTGATTTTTCAATTCTAAAATTATTCATATAATTCAATACATTAATAATGATGTCAATCCAAAAAAAAATAGATTAATAATAATATACTCTTTAAACATTTAATTATTAATACTTGAATGAATGAATATCCTCAAAACTAGTTTTAATATATCAAAACCTACTTTCTGAAGAATAGTATTGCAAAATAAATAATACCAGATAATTTAGATGATATTTAACCAGAGTAATCATTGAATTTATATTTAGAACATTAGATGAATACTCTACCAACCATTAATCCCATAGAAGAGTTAAATCTGATATAGTGTAAAAAAAAGAAACATAAAAGCTTAAGTTCGTTTAATAGTTTTCATAACAAACCGATACATCGACATAAAATCAAAGCTTCAAATCATAAGGTATTTTGAAAAAATCGCAAAGAAGCACAACTAACCAGAGTGATAAAACTAGGTCCCATAAAAAAAAAGTACATTTTCTATGAGAAATGTGAAATTTTAGTCAATTTTGACAATAAATTGTATTTATTTATCATACCCTTTTTCACTATATTTGTATTTAAATCCTTTAAGATATATAACTATTCTAAACCAAAATGTTGATCATATGTAAGTTACTTTTTCATCATAAAGAAATTGATAAATAACTAAGATGTGAATATATTAGATTTGTTAAATTCTTATTGTTATAGTTATATTGATTAATGCTCCCTGAAAATTTCTTATTTTTTAAAACAAATAATATTATGGGAATACTACATTCCTCTCTGTTAAATAGCATCATAAAAGAATGCGAAGTTTTGAATTAACTTTAAAGAAAATCTTTGTGCATGAATAATTTAAGAAAAAAGATTTAATTATCAGCAATAACTAATATTTTTAAACATGAAATCATTATAGAACTTTTCTATTGTTTAAAACATGAAAGCTTACTTTTCAGACGATTTATACAAACTATAAAAACGAATAGATGGTCCTATAACAAGCTAAAATAGTATTAATACTAATATACTTTTGCTACCTGATTTAAAATCAATAATCTTAAATGAAAGTGATTTAGAAAGATTAAATTATGAAGGGCTTCTTCCCAATGAAACATACTCAAGAAGTGTTACAACTGATACCTCAAGTATTTATAAAATTTAAAATAGGTAAACTGCCCATAATTGAAGACCAATTCGTTAGTGAGATGTCCATTTTTTAAGAGTTTGACGAATTTTGATGTTGCCCATTATTGAATATAGGATGAAATATATTATATTCTCAGAATTCTCTGATATCACTTAATTAAAATAAAATACATTATAAAAGTCACATTTAATTCCAAAAAATCAATCTGCTAAAGTTGTTCCATACGTTGATTTAAAGTGATCATAAACTGGAAAATAGAAAACGGAAAATATGCTGCATAAGAATACTCTAGTTCCTAAACCTTTCAGAAAAGCTTTTTTTCCTTCTAAGCGCCAAGCTTCCTAAACTAATTTTTTCACAGATAATTATTGTTAACTACTGTCCACAAGTTAATATCTAGTAATAATGAAATCAACAGGATTGACTAAGGCTGCAGCCAAGGCAGTTGAAATCATTGATGCAATAATTGATTAATGAATGGCCAACGGTTGATTTTTTAAAGTGGGATCAATTCTTTTTTTCAAGATTTGATATCTTAATAATTCGTAGAACCACATTTAGAATGTTGTGTACAAAACTACTGATGCTAAATATAAGTAAGATGCCTAGAATAAACGACTCCAACCTTCTTTTCTAGAAATTTCCATTAAACCTGAAAATATTCCTTTATAATTGTATTCAGGAACATTCATCTACATTCTGGTTCTTAAGGTATCAAAAGGAATGTAAGCTATATAATTATGCAATTATACTTATGACAGAAACAGCTTCAGCCAAGGGTGATGTAATAAGAGGAATCAATAAATTAAGCTTACTTTTTTTGCCATCCTTCTCTAAACCTTTTGTTATTTTAATTGCATAAGAATTCATATATTCATAAGCCAAAAAATATGAACCATAAGGAACAAATGAACCTATTTTTAAGCAATAAGAAAATACCCATTACTGTTGTAGAAAACCCTTTAAATAAATATTTAAATCCTTCATTCTTAACTATAAGATCATATCCTTGTTTCATTCCCAAGAACTCAGACTTATGTGCTTTGATTCTTGTTCCAATGGTATCGAAGGGAAACATTACCATATCACCAACCAAAGAGGCAAGACCTGAATAAAATGCTATTAATAATGGATTGAATTATTATTGCTTTTCTGTCATATATATAAATTTTAATTATTGGTAATTTTATAATTGTAAATAAATTAATAAATCAATAAACGACATTCTTCCAACCATGTAATTCGTCATGCAATTCTTATCTAAACTCTTCAAGATGCTTGTATACAAAGTGCTTTTTTTTAGAATTATCCACTATATCTTATCTATAATTATCTCCTAAAGTATGCATTTATCCCGATTGTAGTAATAGAACATTACCAGGATGTTTATTCTTATAATTCTTAATTTTATAAATATATGAAAAAGTTGTGCTCTGTCTAGCTGCTATAACATGAACCTCATCAATCACTATTCTATATTCACCCCTCAAAAAGCATTCTTCAAATTACATCTACTTTTAATTTCCTTGTTTAGGGATGATGGCAATCTCAGGATATTGAAAGTATTCTATTATTTCTTGCTTTGTTAATTTTTTAGAGGAAATGAACATTGTGAATGTTCCATCCCTCCAAAATCGAATATATCTAAAGAAATCTACTCTATAACATGGAGCACTTGACTATTAAAATTAAGCCTCTCCATATTTGATGTAGTATTCCTTCATAGCATATATACCGCAGTAATTTAATCTCAATTATTAATCATACATATCCTTATGTGATTGATATTGTAAACGTAATTCTTAATAATTTATTATTTATTCTTAAGCATTCCCCCAATTATTCCATATCGTTTAACTTGGATTCTGGTTGATTTCATTAATGAGTTGTAATTATTATTCATATAGATGTAAGTTTTCATTTATGTACTTTCTTGTCTTTTCAAAAGGACTAATTATTGTAGGTTTTATTTCAATTTAATCAAATAAAGCTTTACAAAACTTTTAATAAAACTTATCACTTATCTAGGGATTATTGAAAATTTCATTCATTTTTAAACATACCAATCTATTTGTATGTAAAGAATAGGGATCAAGGAAATCCATAATGAGTAAATGTATATAAGGTGGCAATTCTAGGAATTTGCTGTCTTGCTATACTATTGGTCTCTCTTATACTTCAAGAGCCTATAGCTTCTACTTTTCCTCTTCTATATTGAGTTTTTCTAAAGAATTGATCAACTTTTCATAGCTGACTCTCTATTTTAAAAAATTCTTTAATTCTTTCAAATTACCATATGTCATTGATTTCAATAATCCTTGTTATTAGTTTTAGTATTTTAACTCATCTATTAGCTTATCTATCAATTCTGGTCTTTTAATATTATAAAGAACTCTGTAGAGAATATCGATATCACTGTCTAAAACATCGTATAGGTATTAGACTTATAATTTGTTTAAATTATAAAATTCTAATAGCACTTATTTCGGGACCTAATTAATTGTCTGTAACATTAATAATTGATTTAAAACTTATTAAAGAATTTAAAATATTACAATACAATGAAAGAATTATATTGTTATTAATGATTAAATTATTATGGAAATAATTTTCGAAATAAGTAATTAGATCAAAGTAATTATTAGTACAAAGAAATAACTAGCAAGAAATTCAAGATTATTTTAGACAATTAAAAATCCAATCTGCCTAATAACGAAAGGTAAACTTTACTATTAATTTTTGAAAAGGATTTTGAGAACATTGCATTACAACTTTTGTCAAAGGAATAAGATAAATGTAAAGCTTATTTCTATTTCCTTGAAATATCAAATGATGTGACATTGAAAACCCTTCTTTAAGAGATCTTCACAAAAACCTTCTTATAATTAAATGATTTTGGGAATAAATAATTAGCTTTAGAAAAATGGCAACTTATTCCTTTAGATTTTATAGAAGATTACATGAAAGGGTTTGATATTAAACCCGCTGAAATCTAAGAGTAATTAATTTATCTATTAAAAGTGCTTAAGTAAAAATATTAACTTTATTATAAAATAAAAAGCCACTTTAAGCTATGAAATTAATCATGATTTTTAAAGATCAATTAAACATGTCATTGTTTATTGATAAATTCATTTAATTAGATGCAGTATAAGATTTTTCTAAAATATGCATTACATCTCCAAATTTACTAAAAGATTTTTTGATTAAATTAACATAGTCAGATAAAAGACATCATCAAAAATTTGCTACAGAGTTAATTAGAAAATATAACCTCTAAAAAGAAGACTATCCTTAATTAATTAAAATCTAAAATAGATAAGCTATTGATAGAACATATTTCCCTAAAATAGAAGAACCTTATGAGAGAGTTGAAGAACGTTTGGAGGGATACCCTTATATGCTTTTTCATGCAATAGATAAACTATTGGAACACAATAAGATAAATGAAGCATATTCTATTGCTATTAGATAAGGGTTGAATGACCAATACAAACTAAATGGTGTACTCCTTGAAAATCCACTTTTAAAATATGATGGTTTTGGAATTACAGAATAAATTTGTTATAAAGAAGATCCATCTGGCTTCATTTAATTTTCTGATTTCAATATAAAAGAGGAGTAAATTGAATTTATTGATACAGTTGAAAAATTAATGCTAATAAAAGATTTAATTTTAAATTCTTAAATTACAGGATTTGATACAGAGTTTTGTCATTATTTTGATGAATTTGCAATTGGAGGAGTAGCAATAATGTAAATTTCGACTGAAAAAAATATTTACATAATTGATATATTTAATTTAAGGGAAAAATAAGAATTACTACAATTCTTAAATAGTTATTTTGCAAGTAATAAAATCAAAATTGGACATAGCGTATGGAATGATTTTACCGTTATGGCTTAAAATATGAATTTAGATTAATCAATTGAACCAACTAATATTGTGGATTTAACATTTTTATATAATGAGGTTTTTCCAGAAAACAAAAATAATGTTTCCTTAGCTAACTAAGTATATTAATTATTTGGAAAGAAATTATCAAAAAAAGAATGTTTCTCTAATTGGTAGAGGAGACCTTTAAGAAAATGTTAATTACATTATGGAGCAATGGATGCTTATATATGTATTGCCCTTTATTTAAAATTAAATGAATTGAAAAATCTTGACTTAGATTAGCTACCCTAACTTTAATAGCAGCATTAAACTTAATAAAAATAGAAAAAAGTCTTACAAATTTAAAAAGGGGAGCATTTAAGATATGATGTATAATTCTAAAAGTTAATTGATGACAAATAGAATATGAAATTTTTAGTTGATTCAATGCTTAAAAAATTGGCAGCTTTTCTTAGAAATCTTGGAATTGATGCTGAGTATAATGAGAAGAATGATCATTTTAATATTGAATAATAAGCCATAGCTGAATAAAGAATAATTATTACAAGAGATAAAAAACTATTTGAAAAACCTTAGCTGAAAGCACCTTGTCTGATATTGTCAGATAACTTTAACACTGGTAATTTATTGTAGTAGATATAGAATAATAATTTGATGAAATGTTAAAGGAATTATAATTTTAAATACGTGAAGATAAAATTTTATCCAGATGTGTGAAATGCAATTTTGATCATGTGATTAAAATTACACCAAAAAAAGCATAATAGTATTTAGATTTTAAAAACGTAAAAATATATATTTAAAATAGAATGATTCATTTGGATAAATTAAAATATTCTGGTAATGTGAAAAATGTTTATAAGTTTATTGGGAAGGAAACCAATTTAAAAACTCAATATAAAGATTCACTAAAGTAGCCAAAAGTAAGGATGATTGATAAAGTGAGATTTAAAATTAAATAGTCATTTAAATAATAAGAATTATTATAACAATATTATTCTTTTTAATTAGATTCACTAAAAGTATAATCATTAATTAAAAATATCAAAATATATTAAATAATCAGAACCTTAATATCAAAATATTTTTTTATCTTTGAAACACTTTAGATCTGGTGATACAATTGCTGGAATAGAAAACTTTCCTAGATGCGATATATAAAATGAAAAATTGAATACTAATATAAATAGCCTTGGTTTATTACCTTAAATTATTATCTTAATTTCCAAGGAGGTTCAATAATAAATAAATCAAAATCAGTTTTCCTAGATTGCTGATATGTAAATTTTCCAAGACTTTAAGAAGAAGATAGTAAGGAAATAATGAGCATAATAAAGAAAAGCAATAAAACATAGAAAATGGCTCCAAATGTATGATCAGCCATGAAATAATCAAGGGTGAGTAAGGTCTAAAATTCACACTATAAGAAAACATATTAGAGATAAAATTAATTTTGAAGGCCAAAACAGCGAATAGTGCTTTCATGCTAGCACATCAAACAAGAGCATGAGTATTAAAGTGAGCATATGCTTGCTAAATTTAAAATCACTTCAAATAATTATTTAATTATACTTTTTGGAATGTCTCTTCAATTAAATCATAAACTCTTAGTGAAGCTAAACAAAAAATAGCACACATATTATGTTTATAGGAAATAAAAAAAAAATTACAAACTCCTCTTTTTATACATATTATTACATATTATAATAAATTAAGAAGCCATAATTCAAATAGAGGAGGAGGAATAACTGCTGGGATTCATTAGCAATTCTTTTCGAAAAGTATATGGATTTACTGCATAAGTTACATGAGTTATTAGAGTGCTTGCTAATTCACATAACAGGTTAACCATTAGGATTATTTATACTAAATAATTCAGTATTATAAAAAATCAAAAAAAGCACTTGAAATACTTTATTCTTAAGCTCATGCAACAAAGGGAAAAGTTATTTATAATATGTGGAAATATCAATTATTCAACAAATTTAATGCCCTTTATGAAGGAAGTTATCATTCAAAAGAATAATAGAATAAAAGGAAGTTAAGAGAGTAAAACAGACTTTATACTGGTATATTACAATGCTTAAGTTCATCTTAATGTTTATGTGACATGCAAAATAGATCACTTTATTTTTGAGTGGTAAAAATTTAATTATCAAATCACATCTATCACTAATTCTACGAATTCAAAAAAATATTTATTTATTTTTTTCAACTCTATAGTAAATGAAAAAAGATTTTTAAATAGTTTTTTTTACTGAGAGATAAAATAGAAAATGAATTAAATTCAATGCTTTTAGAGGATAGCACAAACTTTAAAAAGAATTAGTCAATACTATAACCGATCATTAAATATTACTTTATAAAATATTGAATAATAAATCAGAAGTAATAAATCGGAAAAAAGTATTTGAATCTATAAATAGAATTTTAATTATGAAGCCTTCAAAGAAAGAAGATAGTGATATCATGAACTGTTTCATAGATTGTGAATTGCTTATTAGCTGTAATAAATATATTCTTTAAAATTGTTTATAATAGATTGCCATTTTTTAATAGATATAAAAAAACTCTCAATTAAAGCTATTCAAATTGAATCCAATATCTCCTGAGGAATGTTAATTAATGAAATAAAGACTGTCTTAAAATAAAGGGTTAAATTTTTATCTAATATACGATAAATGGATTAAATAAGATTAAACATATGAATGCTTTCCCATTTATGATCTTAAAAGAATGCAGATTTAGTTTTAAACTTTGGCGAAAATCGCTAATTCCATTAAATTAAGCATACCTAAACATTCCAGAAATAGACTAATTCAAACCAATAATAATCAAATGTCCAATTATGAAATGACTAGAGCTTAAATTCCTACATAAAATTCAAACAATTCTGTTAAAATCACATCATTAAAGAATAATTGGTTTCGTTTGAGGTGCTGGAACTAAACAGTATACTTAAACTCATAACTGATTCGAAAAATTTTGGTAAAACAAATCAGAGAGTAGTTATATTTTCAATCAGCTTAAAATTGTACAGATTTGTCAATATTATTCAACTGAAACTTAATGACTTGGTAGTATATATAATATGATAAACAAGAAATAGCAGTAAAAAATGGGGTGCCATAAGGAACCGGACTATCACCGTTTCTATTTTATATATATACTCACATACATACAAAAAATTAGATTAAAGTTTTGATTCAAGGAAAATAGATCATTTTTACCTTTATGTTGATGATTCAACGTTTATTTGTCAGGAAGAACATATCGAATAACTATTATTATTATTATTATTATTATTATTATTATTATTATTATTATTATTATTATTATTATTATTATTATTATTATTATTATTATTATTATTATTATTATTATTATAAATCATTACTCCAATTATTCTCATTATACATATTTTAATATCTTCTGTATTTATTGTTCAAGACTTCTTTTCATTACTGTATTCGCTTTGGTTTTAATGGCTTTTTCTAATATATCATAGAAGTTTATTCCATGATATTCAGATAAATGCAAAAGTCCACATCTTCTATTGATATGAATTTTGCATTTGCTTAAATTCAATAGAAACAGATATTTAAGATTATTTGGTAAATTCATAAATCCGTAGGTTTCTTTGTTTTTTTTTTTAATATCCATAATTTGTTCTTCCTCTCCGTATCTGAATTAACACTTTATTGATGTTTCCCATTATTTTTCAATTGCCATGTCCAAACATGATCCTTAAATTAGTTAAAGAAAACAATCATCTGTACATTAGGGCAATTATAGAAACCTCTTCATACTTTACTTTCAAATAGCATTAATTTTATTTTATATTTCTTTTGTTTAAGTGAATAAAATCGGAATTATATATTAGATTTGAGGTTTAATATATATATTCCAAAGTAAAATTCTGGTTCCTAGACTAAAGTCTTTAGATAGTTTCTTTATTTACAATTCTAAATATTTTATTTTTGATTTGGTAGCATTGCCATGATTATTAATATTCCCCCTTCCATCAATATCTACTCCAAGGTACTTATAATTTCTTTGAAAAGGAATACCAAGCAAATTTTTTTATTCTTATAGTTCTAATTTCAATAATCTTCTAGTTATTCTTATTAAGGCACATTTTTTTGTATTTATTTGGAGATTTAGATTCTAAGAAGCTTAATTAAGACATTATAGTGTGGAATCAAGATATCTCTCCTTGCATATAAAGGCTAAATCATCTGCATATAAATAGTAGTGGTCAATTCTGCTGAAATTATATATTTGTTCCATTTTTTTTATTAAGATGTGTGAGTATATATCAAAAAGAAATGGAGATAAAATACTTCCTTATGGTATTCCATTTAAAAAAGCTATCTTTTTATTTTTATTTTTAATATATTGCCAACTCATAAGGCTTTGTAGGAAATTTAATTCATCTTCGTCTAGTACTCCCATTTCTTTGAGAAAACTAAATAACACATCTATTTTTGCACAGTTATAAGATGAACGGAAGTCTATAACAATAACGACTCTATTATCTTTTTCTTTAATTATTATATGTTTGTAATCAGTTTTAATATCTGTGGTGTGTTCCAGCTCCTTGTACAAAACCGAATTATTCTTTTATAATCTTTTTTTCACAGTATTATTAGAGTTTCTTAAAGAACCTCAGTTCCAGCCATTTCATTATAGGACTTTACACTATGATTGGTCTAAATTGATCTTTTTCAGGAATGTTTGGAAAGGCTTTGTTGAGTGGAATCAATCGGTTTTCCCCAAAATTTTCAATTAGATCCGCTGTTGATTGCTACCACAAATCAGACATCTAATTGTATGTACTATGTTATTTAATCCATGTATCAGAAATTAGATCAAAGGTTAGTCCTTTGTTTTGTGACATTTTTTCTTTCATAAATTTGAAATCTTCTCGGGTGATTTGTTGCAATTTTGGTAGTTATTTTGGTGAATATTTTTTAATTGTTTAGAAAATGCCAAGTTAATTTAGGCAATTTGAAAGAATTTATTCATTATCAGTGACCAGGTCATTTCCATCAAGAAAAAATTTCATTAAGCCTCCATCTCATTTTGCTGGTTTAATGATTACGAGCCTTTCAATGATGCGAAAGGCTTCCTTGCTTTAATTACTTCTAAGGTTTTTTTCTATTTCCTTCAGTATGTTATCAATTGATGATTCTTTATAGTGATTTAATTGCATCAGTTTTTCTCTTATTCTATTAAAACATTTGATACGGTGTGAGTTCTATTTCAAATTATTATAGAAATCAGCAAAGGACTTAGATTTGCAGTATTGAATATTAAGAGAAAGAATATTGAGTTTTATAGGATAGAATTAGTATCGTCTAGGAGTGAGGTGTGACTATTGGATCTCTATTTTGGAAGTTATTAATATATGATCCGAGAGAGAATTTTATTCGAATATGCATTTAGCTTCTAAATTCGCGTTAATTAGTAGGCAGTCTGTTTTGCTTTTTACTACTTTTGATTATATAATTCTGCTAAAAGTATGCTGAGTTTATGGCACTAGATCTTTTAATTGTAGCAGTTAGATTTTCGATTGGTTAATGTCACCACAGACAATAAGAATAGCTTTATGTTTTACCCTAAATAAGCTGATTAAAAAATTCTCCAATTGTTTCTTTGATTTTAAGAAGAATTGTTTTTTTGGTGAGTAGATATTCAATATGAATATTTCTAGTCTTTATCCAGTTATTTAGATCAATTACCATTCTAATTATTTGTCTTTTTTGAGGGAGTATATTTGAAATATCTTTCGTGAAGAATTAATTGTGAACTCCGACTGCTATCCCACCTCCCCTGGTATGATTTTCTTTTCTTAATCTATTATAATATGTATAAGAAGGGGAGTTTAGTATTTCTTTTCTTGTTTCTTGAAAGCACATTATATGTGCTCCTGTTTATTTGGTAGTTTTTAGAGTATCATATTTCATTGAGTATACGTTCCATGTGAGGATGATTAATTAATTTGGAGTTTATGATTTTATAGTTTACGAGCATATGCTCGTTTTGGTTTNAGTTATTTTGGTGAATATTTTTTAATTGTTTAGAAAATGCCAAGTTAATTTAGGCAATTTGAAAGAATTTATTCATTATCAGTGACCAGGTCATTTCCATCAAGAAAAAATTTCATTAAGCCTCCATCTCATTTTGCTGGTTTAATGATTACGAGCCTTTCAATGATGCGAAAGGCTTCCTTGCTTTAATTACTTCTAAGGTTTTTTTCTATTTCCTTCAGTATGTTATCAATTGATGATTCTTTATAGTGATTTAATTGCATCAGTTTTTCTCTTATTCTATTAAAACATTTGATACGGTGTGAGTTCTATTTCAAATTATTATAGAAATCAGCAAAGGACTTAGATTTGCAGTATTGAATATTAAGAGAAAGAATATTGAGTTTTATAGGATAGAATTAGTATCGTCTAGGAGTGAGGTGTGACTATTGGATCTCTATTTTGGAAGTTATTAATATATGATCCGAGAGAGAATTTTATTCGAATATGCATTTAGCTTCTAAATTCGCGTTAATTAGTAGGCAGTCTGTTTTGCTTTTTACTACTTTTGATTATATAATTCTGCTAAAAGTATGCTGAGTTTATGGCACTAGATCTTTTAATTGTAGCAGTTAGATTTTCGATTGGTTAATGTCACCACAGACAATAAGAATAGCTTTATGTTTTACCCTAAATAAGCTGATTAAAAAATTCTCCAATTGTTTCTTTGATTTTAAGAAGAATTGTTTTTTTGGTGAGTAGATATTCAATATGAATATTTCTAGTCTTTATCCAGTTATTTAGATCAATTACCATTCTAATTATTTGTCTTTTTTGAGGGAGTATATTTGAAATATCTTTCGTGAAGAATTAATTGTGAACTCCGACTGCTATCCCACCTCCCCTGGTATGATTTTCTTTTCTTAATCTATTATAATATGTATAAGAAGGGGAGTTTAGTATTTCTTTTCTTGTTTCTTGAAAGCACATTATATGTGCTCCTGTTTATTTGGTAGTTTTTAGAGTATCATATTTCATTGAGTATACGTTCCATGTGAGGATGATTAATTAATTTGGAGTTTATGATTTTATAGTTTACGAGCATATGCTCGTTTTGGTTTTTGTGCTTTTGTAATTATGGTCAGCAGCACAGATCTGACTTACCTGAATTGATTCCCCAAAAATTATTATTTTTTTTTATTACAATGTAGAATGGTGTTTTTTTGTAATGTGTTGTTTTAATCCTGTCTTATTTTTAAAGACAACTTTACATAAATTGCAATATCTATTCAGGTCTATTTAGCAGTCATTGTTTGATTCTTATTGTGAAATACCTAATTATTTGGATTCTTCTGTATCATCTATTTAAATGGGCCTTTCTTAGTTTATTAAACTGATTCCATTATCATAATTATTTGTACTACACTTTCTTTTGTTTTATGGAAGAATTGATTGGTTTTTTGGTTTTAGTTTATTATAGAAAATGATCTTTCCAAATTCTCATCTTCTTTTTGGTCTATTTATTATGTTTTCTTGATAACATATGAACTATCTAATGAGTAAAGTCCATTTTTCTTAATTATTTTCAGGGTTTATTTGAAAGATCTTCCATAATATATTATTATCTTGAATTTTGTTAATCGTGCAATTAGTTCAAGATGAGAATATTTTTCTCTGTTGATCCTTTTTTATAGTATCTAAAAATCAACTTATCTTTTTAAAATGAAATTATCAAAAATTCCATATGTGAGTATTTTTAAAGTTGTGTAGATGTCATGAAATTTGCATTCTTCACTATTTTAATGGATAGTACAGAGTTACTAATATTAGGGTGATTACTAGTTATTAGTGTGAGATTTTGATTAATCTCTAATGATATTAAAAATATTGTTCAACTCTTAATTTCTGATTTTTTCTCTAAACTTTTCTCTAAGTTCAGAGTTTGTATGTTATTTATCTTAGATAGATTATTCATCGGTTGGTTTTGATATTTTAATCATAATTAAATTTTAATTAAAATATGAATAATTATTAAATTGCTTGCTTATAAATATTAAGAAAAATATGCCAATATAAAAGATTTCTAAGAAAGTATAAAAGGAAAAGGAGATAAAGAATAAGTTTAGAATAACTATATTGAGAAAAAAATTCGATAGAGTTTCAAGTCTCAATATTATCAAGGGAGTTTACACTAGGAAATAAATACTACTATGGAGTATATATACAAGACATTAAATATCATATATTCCCTTTAAACTATACCTAAAATAAGAGTTACAGAAAAAAATTGAGCAACGATGGAAAAAGAGCTTGAAAAGAATTATGTAACTTCCAAAATCTACTGAAGATGAATCTCTACAGCTAATTTAAGGAAATTGTTTAAATCTTGCCATAGAATAGTAATGGAACAGTGCGATAAAGTGCGAATCTAGACTAGGGTTAGAAATTATTGAAGAGGAAGATGGAAAAAGTAAAAAACACTTGGAATATCAGAAGATTGTTTATACTGAATCTCAGAAATTGTAAAGAGCATGTCAATTAGAGATATGGAATAAAAAACCTGAATAAGATTCATTTAATTAATATCTACGATATTATCGATTCTACACTAAAATAGAGAGCATTTGTGAACATAATAAAGGTAAATAATCCAAGAAATCTTAGAGAAGTAGCAAAATATTATTAAATAATGTATATTTTTGAAATGCTTAAAATTTGTGAATTTATCATTAGATGCAATCTTATTTTTAGTCAGTGGGATTATTTGTAATTTTAAAGGAGCGAATTATATTTGATTCATACTCTTGTCTATTTATTGTAGGATTGCGAGATACTTTAAAGTGTAAAATTCCCATCCTTTCCTCTAATTCTTATCCTAGGGTTTTATCCTTATTATTTGGAAGGTCATTTAATGCCTCTGGTTGAATATATAAATTTTAAACAAATTATTCATCAATTTAAGGTAACTATTAATAAGAAGCTAAACCTTACAATCTAATGTAAAGAACTTTAATAATTCATATCAGGTATTCCTAATTTATCAAATAGAGATTCTAATGTAAATTTCGATTCTAAATATTTTTTAATTTGTTATAATCCTAAATGTTCTTATAAGATTAATTATAATCTAGAATAGAATTAAATAATAATTACTTAGCTACTTCATTTTATAAATTCAAATAATTCATTTTTTCAATTGCAATTCGATCTAATCGATTAAGAATTTCTTCAGATTTTTAAAGATCATATTCTTTTCCTTTATAGTTTACCCTTTAGACTTTACCTAAACAATTCTTTTAAATTTAAAAATCATTAAAATCATTATAATACATTGTTATTATTTCTCTTTAAGTTTTTTCTAAACTTAAGTTTTCATTATATTTTGAAACAATAAATGAAATTGAAAGAATCCAAGATATAATTGAACCAGTATCTGCTAATATTTCTGATATTTTTGGATATTCAACCATATTTACTATTTTTATTTAATCTAAATTAAAATATAATATAGAAATTAATTCTTCTCCATATACTTTTTTAGCATGCTCTTAATCAAATTAAGTGGTTAAGATAGATAATTCAGAAAAGTAACTTTATTTATTAGAGTTTGGAAATAAAAATCCATCATCCATTATTAAATCTCCTGCTTTTAACATAAATTAATTTTAAAAGAGGGATTTTTTAATCATTTCAATAATGAATTCTCTTGGAATTTTAACAATTTGTTTACTTTTTGGATCAAATTGTTCTAAATATATCAATATCTAATAGTAGTTGTCTTATAAAAAAAATTAATTGATTAAGTTTTAATCAGCACAATTTTATCCATTTTAAAGTAGCTATGGATTGCAATATCCAAATGATAATTGATAGTTTATATATTTATGGTCTAGTGTACCTATTGGTGAATTTTTAATTTCAATATCTTCAATCAAGAGAGTATTTACAGTTTTACCATCTTATCTTTTCCTATATTAGAAAGTTGCATTGATAGTAGTTTCCTAGAGATTAATATAGCTTTACCTCAAAATAACTAGTTGTAATAATTAATTATGGTTGTAATATCATATTTTATGGATCAAAAGGATCTATTTAATTTGATAATTCTTAGAAGTAGCTTATTTCAGCAAATACTCCTTAAAATTTCAATGTTTAATCATTATTGATCTGTTAATTTAGCGATGTTACTTTTGGAAGTTTGTTGTTTTATTGCCAATCAACAAATTGAAATAGAAAATATCCTAAGCTTACACCATACAATGTTAATGTTACCAATCCACCTAAAGCACTTTTTTAAGTGGGATTGATTGGTGGAATTTACAGTTTCTACTAAACTCCAAATTGATCAATTGATTATAAAAAGTAGAACATTTTTTAATATATATTGATTAAGTTTTATTTAATAATCATAATTATCTATTCATATGCTTTTGTTTTTATATTTTTTGAGTTTAATTAATTCTACACAATGATTAGTTTAACTAAAAGATGAATTTATTTTAAAACACATAATGTTTATTATATAATGTAATAATTTTTAGCAATAAAATTCAATTTACTTCTTATCTGATTTTATTTAAATATAAGTGATTGATATTATTAACTTTTAATATAAAGCAAAAATATTTTTAAGATTGATAAAATTTGAAAAATATTCTTTGTGTAAATTTTAGGATGAATTAAATTTTCAATTAGGAGAGGAAGAGAAAAAAATATCGCTAAATTCATAAATAAATTAATAGATATCGATTATTGAATTTAAATTATTGATGTTGGTTATAATAATCTATTATTTTTAGATCACTTAATCCCATCAGTCTTATCAACATTGATGACTGTTAAATAATTATTAATTTGTTAGAGGGATTCTTAGATTTATAAATTGCTATTCTGCTCTCTAAATTAGAGATTTTCAGAGGTTTTCATATCTAAAAGCCCCATCCTTAATTCTACTTCTTGCTCTACAATATCTTTATTAAATTTAGAATCGATTTCTCCTTCTATATTTAATTATTAAACTACTTCCTATTGCAATTCTTGTTAGGCATGCTTAAAAAATGAAAAGATAATTACAATTTAATTGATTTCTTATTAGGAGATTTTTTCAGGTATTCCTAATTTATCAAATAGAGATTCTAATGTAAATTTCGATTCTAAATATTTTTTAATTTGTTATAATCCTAAATGTTCTTATAAGATTAATTATAATCTAGAATAGAATTAAATAATAATTACTTAGCTACTTCATTTTATAAATTCAAATAATTCATTTTTTCAATTGCAATTCGATCTAATCGATTAAGAATTTCTTCAGATTTTTAAAGATCATATTCTTTTCCTTTATAGTTTACCCTTTAGACTTTACCTAAACAATTCTTTTAAATTTAAAAATCATTAAAATCATTATAATACATTGTTATTATTTCTCTTTAAGTTTTTTCTAAACTTAAGTTTTCATTATATTTTGAAACAATAAATGAAATTGAAAGAATCCAAGATATAATTGAACCAGTATCTGCTAATATTTCTGATATTTTTGGATATTCAACCATATTTACTATTTTTATTTAATCTAAATTAAAATATAATATAGAAATTAATTCTTCTCCATATACTTTTTTAGCATGCTC